TTAAATGATAGAAAAAAAAATTAATTGATCGAATAAAAACTGGCTGATTACAGTAGTTGATTTTAAATAGATGCATTTTAGAAAAACGCTAGTTATTTGTTTGTTGTTGTGAAGTACTTTGTGCTAATTTCTTTTCTGAAACACATCCTTTCTGGTGCACCGAAGGAACCGTTAATTCCATATGAAATCAAGTAGTTTCTGTAAGAAATTGATTGAAATTGATGCATTTGATGTGCTAGGAAAGGTGCGTTTCTAGCGTTGAGCACAAAGATTCATCATCTATTGTAAATTATATTGCTTTTCAATCTAGTTTATTATATATTTATATGACTAATGTAACGATAATACTTTTGAGTTTACAAAAATTTATACACTTTTCGGATTACTGTACAGATTACTATACAGATTACTGTACAGATTACTGTATGGATTACTGTACGGATTACTATATGGATTACTATATGGATTACTGTACGGATTACTGTAATCTTGTTATCCAAATGACTCTTTAGAATAGATTTCTGAGGCTTTACAATTAGATAAATGTTCATAAAAACTAGAATTTCCTTTTCAGCACTCTTTGCTCATTGAATTCGTTCTTTGCAATTGTTTTTTGGTTGGTCAAAGATCTAATCGACATCATCGGAGAGCGGTTGAATAGACTCTCTTCCATTTAGAATTGTAAATAGAACTCTACCCTTCTTTCCTTCTTTCTTTCCTTCCTTCTTTTCCTTCTTCTTTTCCAATATTTTGCGACTATTTCTCTGCCTGTTTGCCACTCTTCTAAACAAAATATTTTGTGACTTGTAGTACCTTTTCAGTTTAAACATCGATCAAGTAACATTTTAAGATCTTTTTGATGTGAATCAGTTTTCATATAAAGATTTTCTTTAATCTTTTATCGACTAACTATATAAACTACCAATTTGTTGGTGATTTTTGTTGTCTTGTTGGTAAAACACAGGTGATTTTTTCGGGAAACTGCTTAAGAATTTAATCCTTGAGAGGCAATTAGCGTATTTTCTCTAATAGTAGTGCACACCGGCGAGCCGAGTTGGTGACTATTTTACGGTTTCCAAATTCCTGCCGAAGCTCAACACTTGAATCCCCCACTAGATCTCATCGTGAGCTACATTTTCCGACCCCACATCGATAGGTTCTGATAAGCGGTTCTCGAAATTTCGAGCAATTTAAGCGACGCTCAGGGTGCACTACTATTAGAGAAAATATGGTATTCTAATTCTAAATTCAGGCATAATCTTGGTATAGATGAATAGCTAAATAGGTTAAGAAATAGAGTTAAAAACCTGATCTACCAGAGTGAATTCGTGTTCTTTGTGCTTCGTAAACGCATCCTTTTCTAGTCACATTTTTACCGCAAAAGTATAAAGATGCTACCAATTTGTGGAAAAGTATCCAACAACTACTCCATCAAACACTTTTAACTATTAAACAAATCATAAGCTTAATTCTTATCTCATTTTCATTATCTAAAGCTGTTCAATGGTGAGCCTGTGCATAATTAACATCAATTTCATCAACCTTACAAGTTAGTTACAAGTAAAAGCTTACAAGTAAAAGGTTCAAAAGTCAGATACAATCCGATCAGAAAACAGTCACATGCTTGTCCCTTGATGTTTTTATTCAATTGCTTGTTAGGAATGGAAAGTAGTAAGATTTGATAGAGGCAAGTCTTGGTTGAAAGCAAATCCTTGTTCAAATATCTCTAGTCCCTTGTTTGACCTTGTTTTTGCACTTTTTTTGAGGGCATTTTGCAGCCACCAAAAAATTGTAGACTGGTCGAGATGAGGTAAAAATAAACCTTGCTGACCTTGAAGTTTTTTCTTTTCCTAGACAAGTTTTGAAAAGCAAATTTTGCATTTCCTCTTGATCTTTTGTCGATTTGGCCATGTTTTTTTTTTTTGCTGTGTTTGCATAAGAATTGTTTTTTTTAACTTTTTCCTTTACAATTAGGCTTTTGTTTTTTTTTTTTTTGTTTTCTTTAATACTGTATGGTTAGTGTAAGATGTCTTAAATGTCTTATCTATTGTCTTAAATAGAACTAAACAGAACTAAACAGAACTAAATCGGTTTTGAACTAAAGTTAGTTTAAGTAAGAATTTTGGGTTTTTAAAATCAAAATCAACACTTTGAATATCTTTGATTCATGAAAGATCCTAAAATATTGTAGTATCTTTGTACTGTAGTACTCTTTGTACTGTATACTATAGTACTCTTTGTACTGTATACTGTGGTACTCTTTGTACTGTATACTGTAGTACTCTTTGTACTGTATACTGTGGTACTCTTTGTACTGTATACTGTAAAGTATATTTATTCGACAGGAATAATGAATGACAACACAATGGAGGAAATTTTGACCCCTAATTACCCCTATTACCCAAATGTAGTTAAGAACAAAAAAACCTATAATAACGGGAAAAAGAAGCAATCTTTCTAGCCGCCGAGATTGAACCCTTAACGCCCCGACTAGGAGACAAGACTCCTATCCGGTTGGCTACGACGGCTGTAGTATCTAAAAGAAATCTTTGATTAAACTCTACTGTGTTATTGTAGTGATTGTAGTTGTTAGACTTATTAAAGTTTTAATTTTTGTTTAATTTTTGATATCCTCATTTGATTCATAGTGAAAATGGGAAAATCAAGGTGAAAGCGGCGATTTCTTTTTTTTTCTTTTCTTCAAAAATGGTTGTTTCCCACGAGTGTGTGTGTGAGCCATTTGTGTTGTGAATGTGGGAAAGGGGAAAGGATTGGAAAAGATGGAGATGAGAGGAAAGGAATGGGCGGAGGAGGAATAGGCGTGGGAAAGCCTTTTCCACCACAAGCAAAACATTGAAATTCATTTTGGTATCATCTTGACTCGTTTTCATTTCATTTGTCCACTAATTCATCTTCTCTTCCTGTTTCTGAGGAAATTTGCTTAAAGATTCGCATCTCTTGTACAGTTTTCAAATGCATTTCGCACCCCAGTCGATCCGTACCGATCTTTGTCCAAAAAATCGTTTTTTTTTGGCTTTCGGGGGAGCTCTTCTTTAAGCTATTGAAAGGTGAAATCAGCATTTTGAATCAGTTTGAAATCCCCCAAAATAAGACCTATCTATCTAGGACCTCTGCCAGACGAGGAGCGATTGTGAGCCTGCACAAAGAACACTTCTTTATACACTCTTTGTTCTGTCAATGATTCCTAAATCAGAATTTTGAATCAGTTTGGAATTAAATAAATAACAGCTATCTATCTAGAACCTGTGCCAGATCGTGCGCGCACACAAAGATCGTGCGCGCACACAAAGATCGTGCGCGCACACAAAGATCGTGCGCGCACACAAAGATCGTGCGCGCACACAAAGATCGTGCGCGCACACAAAGATCGTGCGCGCACACAAAGATCGTGCGCGCACACAAAGATCGTGCGCGCACACAAAGAACACTCCTTTACACAGTCTTTTGTTCTGTAAATCATTCCCCAATGAGATTTAATGTTTAATACAACTTTTGCCTTGGGGTTTTCAGGGTCGTAGAACCTATTGGAAGAGTTGATTTAAAGCCTTTCTCTCAAGAAAAGTCTCAAGATTCAATTCAATTCAATTAACTTTTGGTTTTGTACCTTTTCAATGAAAAGACCCGGAGAAGAATCGTTATCTTTTGAAGAAAGTCTTTTAATGCTGTCAATCTTTAATGCGTTATCTTTAATGATGTCAATCTTTAATGCTGTCAATCTTTAATGCTGTCAATCCTTCCCCCATCCCCCCTACCGTATCCAATCCCCGCCCCAAGACCCATCCAAGTAAACCAGCCAAATTCTTCTCAAAGATGTTCACATATTTTACAACTGACTTGTTTTTTTGACACTTATTTCTTATTTAAATTGTTTTTTTCTTAAGTTTTTTGTTGTTAAAAATTAGTTGAAAAGGTATTTGATCGAATCGGAGAAATTTCTCGAGTTTACACATTTGTTGGATGCTTATTTTTTTGTCATAAATAGAATCTAAATTAATTTTATTATAAAAATCTAGCTTTAAATTGTAACTAGATACTAGAAAAGAAGGATTTTGTAAAAATAAATGAAAATCTGCATCGAAATTTGGTTAAAAACCCGGTCTTTTTAATGATTTTTAAGTTGTTTTTTGTAAAATTTTCGTTTTTTTTTAAATTATCGAAATATTTAGATAAGTACTTTAAGCTTTTTAAGTTTTTTAAACTTTTTAAACTTTTTGAACCTTTTTAAGCTTTTTAAGCTTTTTAGGCTAAGCTGTAAAATGAAATTGATTCTATATTTTTCAATTTCAGTCTTTCACTCATCAGCAGCTCTACGGGAACTCCGAGGGTGATCCATTCGGAATCATTTCCCCTTTACAACAATCAGGATTTGCTGTCAACAATCAACAATCAATCCAGTCCAATCAATCGTATTCAATTGATCGAGCGATCGATTCACCGAGAAATCACTTCTCAATCTCAAACAAAAACACTTCTCATCTATTCACTTTTCATCCGTATACAGGTTAGGGAAAGTTTTTTGTTTTTATTATAAACGAGTCACTAAACTCAATTTGCATACAAATCTTTAAAGAAACTGAATCTCGTGGCTGAGAAAATCAGCTGAAAGCCAGCTAAAAGCCAGCTAAAAGCCAGCTGAAAGCTGAAAAGTCAAGTTAAGCTTTATCTATCAGATCAAGGAAACAAAGGAATTGAGATCGCTTTTTCAGGCTCATTTAACTCAAAATTAACTAGAAAGAATGATTTTAGGACATAACTGTAAGCTTAACTTAAATTTCCTACCTTAAAATCCGCATTCCAGATCGTCCGTCAAACCATCGGATCCTCTCCTCCTCCCTTCACTCTCCCCTTCACTCCATCACCACCTCAACGTCTTCCTCTTCCGCACATCTCCCCTTTCTGAGTGTCTCTCATCACTTCCAATCTCCACCATCCCATTCTCCAATCTCTTCAATTCCATTATCATTTTCACCGTCGAATCAATGCCCAATGTTTCCGTCTTTTCAACCATCGATCATCAACAATACACAGGTGATTTTTTCGGGAAACTGCTTAAGAATTTAATCCTTGAGAGGCAATTACCGTATTTTCTCTAATAGTAGTGCACCCCGGTGAGCCGAGTTGGCGACGATTTTACGATTTCCAAGCTTTTGCAGAAGCTGAATACTCAAATCCCCCACTAGATCTCATCGTGAGCTACATTTTCCGACCTCACATCGATAGGTTCTGATAAGCGGTTCTCGAGATTTCGAGCAATTTAAGCGACACTCAGGGTGCACTACTATTAGAGAAAATATGGTATTCTAATTCTAAATTCAGGCATAATCTTGGTATAGATGAATAGCTAAATAGGTTAACAAATAGAGTTAAAAATCTGATCTACCAGAGTGAATTCGTGTTCTTTGTGCTTCGTAAACGCATCCTTTTCTAGTCACATTTTTACCGCAAAAGTATAAAGATGCTACCAATTTGTGGAAAAGTATCCAACAACTACTCCATCAAACACTTTAAACTATTAAACAAATCATAAGCTTAATTCTTATCTCATTTTCATTATCTAAAACTGTTCAAAGGTGAGCCTGTGCATAATTAACATCAATTTCATCAACATTACAAATTAGTTACCAGCTCCTTCCTCCTTTTCCAATATTTTGCGACTATTTTTCTGCCTGTTTGCCACTCTTCTAAACGAAATATTTTGTGACTTGTAGTACCTTTTCAGTTTAAACATCGATCAAGTAACATTTTAAGATCTCTTTGATGTGAATCAGCTTTCATCTAAAGACTTTCTTTAAACTTTTATCGACTAACTATATAAACTACCAATTTGTGAAAAAGTATGCAACAAGTACTCCATCAAACACTTTTAACTATTAAACAAATCATAAGCTTAATTCTTATCTCATTTTCAAGTCATTATTGTAAGTCATTATTGTAAAAAAAGAGAATTCAGTGCGTAGAGAGTGTACGTTTAGAGTTCTCAAGGACAACATAACCTAAGGTTATGTTAAAGTTATGGTTATGTTAAAGTTGTATCTAATATTTCTACAGTATTTGTATAGATATCTAAATTTTTAAAGCACTATAGATAAAAGGTAGTGAGGATAGCTAGTGTAGACAATGAGAGTGTCAAGAAAATCGATAACAACACCACCTAATTAATTGCCTAAACAGCAAAGCTAATTTGCCAATGGGCTTTCAATTCTTTATATTGCTATTGAGCATTAAGTTTTGCACATTTCATTCCATTATTTAAATGAAAACTACTAAATAACAAATGATTTCTTTTATTAGAAATGTTTTTCGTTTACTTTTTCTCCTTTTAAAACAATTTTTAGTATTTTAGAAGAATTTGCGGAATGAAAACTGATATTTTTTTAAATATTGAAAAATGATCACAATCGCTAAACGAATTATTTTTAAATTTTGTTTATAAACCTAACTTTTTATGTGCTTTTTATTCTATTTTTTAAAATTTTTTCATAAAAATAGGTTTCATTTAAAGAAATCGTTTAAATCGCATCATTGAACCTTGTCATTTTTGAATACTCAATTTATTGCTAATCTTCAAAAGCTAAAACCTTTTTTTTTGGTACTCAAAACAAGCGCTTTAGTAGGAAGTTTGGGGGTGGCTACTTTGCGCCAAATTTTTTGCGCAACTGGGTCATTTGCACAACTCGCCATCACTTCCTTCTAAGTGAGCCAATCTTTATGATTTTAGTTTCATTTTGTTGCACTTATTGATATCTACATGATTCAAAAGCTAAAACCTTCAAAAAAAGCTTTTAAAAGTCATTTGCAAGAGAAATGATTGAAAAATTGGGGGTAGGCTTATTTGCGCAATTCACCATAACTTTATTCTAAGTCGACCAAAATCATAAAGATTGGCCCACTTAGAAGGAAGTTATGGCGAGTTGCGCAAAAAAATTTGGCGCAAAGTAGCCACCCCATTCATTATAACTTTCTTCTAAGTGAGCCAACCTTTATGATTTTGGTTTCATTTTGCAGATCTCAATAAGTGGAACAAAATGACACCACAAATCATAGAGATTGATCCACTTAGAAGGAAGTTATGGCAAGTTGCGGAAATGACCCTGTTGCGCAAAAAATCTGGCGCAAAGTAGCCTGCCTCAAAAATTGAAAAAAAGCCGTATTTCATTTGGTAGCTCAGAGACTTATTCAATTAGAAAATGAATTTGTGCGAAAGAAAATTTAGAAAACTTATTTAATTGATTGAATAACTTTTCTTTATTGAATATTTGTTTTTAGATGAACCCATTGATGTCATCACAAGTCCCCGTCTTCCCTTCAACTCTCGCCACATCACTTTCATCATTTTCTCAATCGATTCCCTCGACGTCAGCCATTCAGATACCAAATGGGATAATGGTTTGTGTTTATTATTTAATCTTTATTCTAAAGTACTTTAAGATTTCTAATAGTAAGATTAAAAACTAGCTTAATCTATAGTAGATATTTTTACAAATCGTATTGTAAAGAGTGATTCAAAATTTTCCGTACAACTTTTTATTAAAATTCGATTTTAAAAAAACTGAGGAAAGCATTCCAGTAAAGTTTTTTGTTAAAATGAAAACCTTAATAAAATTATATTTAAAACCAATAATAAGGAGCTGATAGGTCATAGCTTTTATTTATACAATGCTTGGCTACAAATCGACGATACGCGCCTAAATTAGTTAAATTCTTTATCCTTAGCAGATCAGCAGCAGATCCTTAGCAGATCAAATTAAACAATTTACACAAATTTTAAGCTTTAATCTTTTTTTCAATTAAAATAAACTAAACTTAATATTAAATAACCTTTCTCGAGCTTTTTAGAGAATGCTCTTTTTTGATAAAAACAAAATCTGATACGAGAGAGTTTCTATTCATATAAATGTTATTCAAGCTTTTAAAAACATTTTCTAACTTTTATAGCATAATGTTGAACATTAAAAGTTTATAAATTTTTCTTTAAAATTAGTCTAAACTTCACGAATGACTAAAAAAATTGAAAAAAGTTAATTTTGACAGCTGTCGACCACTTGTCAACGGCTCAAAAGGTCATCCATATAAAAAACTATGATAAGCTATTGGCTCATTGGTATTAAATATTATTTTATTAAGGTTTTCATTTCAAAAAAACTTTACTAGAACTTTACTTACTTTCTTCATTCATTTTAACATCAAGTTTTAGTAAAAAGTTGTACGGAAACTTTTGAATCACTCTATAAATATTGTATTGTATGGAAAATCATTTTTTTTTTTGAGCTAATAATATAATGGAAATAAACTAGAGTTAACAATTCTTTGTTTAGCCTACTCCAAACAATCTCCTCCATCAATCCGAAGCGAAACGACCGAGAGTTTCATCGTCGGGAAATCTTCGTGATCCATCAACTTTGCCTGAGACTCCGCTATCCAGAAAACGATCACCGCCCGAGACGAATAAAGATGAAAATAGAGGTAGGGTTTTATTGCAAGTTTTGAAGATTCTGGGAGTGGGACAAATGCGACCTTTTTTTCGCGCACCCGGACATTTGCGCACCTTTTTTTCCGCACCTTGCCCATTAGCGCACCTTTTTTCGCGTTTTAAAAAAGCTCTAAAAAGCTAATATTAACCAATTTCTATTCCAAAAGTTGTTTTTCTAGGTAATTTGAGGGTGTCGAATTCAAATTTTGACATAACAGAGCGTGTAGAACCAATTTGAAAGACAAAATGGCTAGATCAAATTACAGAAAATTGTCGATTACAGAAAATTATTGATTTTTCTCCGTCCGTTTGTTTCCACAAGCTCTGATATGTCAAAATTTCGATTCTACGCCCTAAAATTACCTAGAAAAACAACGTTTGAAATAGAAATTAGTTAATATCAGCCTTTTAGAGCTTTTAGAGCTTAATATTAGCTTTAAAACGCGTGGAAACTTGTGGAAACAGCTTGTGGAAACAAACGGACGGAGAAAAATCAATAATTTTCTGTAATCGACAATTTTCTGTAATTTGATCTAGCCATTTTGTCTTTCAAATTGGTTCTACACGCTCTGTTATGTCAAAATTTGAATTCGACACCCTCAAATTACCTAGAAAAAACAACTTTTGGAATAGAAATTGGTTAATATTAGCTTTTTAGAGCTTTTTTAAAACGCGAAAAAAGGTGCGCTAATGGGCTAAGTGCGGAAAAAAAGGTGCGCAAATGTCCGGGTGCGCAAAAAAAGGTCGCATTTGTCCCACTCCCAAGATTCTAGTTAAATAAAAGCTTAAGTAAATCTTATGTTGAAAATCAGAAAAATAATGAAATTTTGAAGTGACATAAGTGTTAAAGCTGTTAAACTGTTAAACTGTTAGTTTGTCAAGAAATATTTGTTATTCAACCTGTTAGACTGGGTTTTAGCTAGATTTTAGCGGCTTTACAACTTTGCGTAGCTTTCATATACCCGTATTGTACTTAAGTCGGCAAATAAGTCTTTTCGTTTCATTTCATACCATGAAAAATCACAAATTCACCAATTAACCTATGATTTTCTCTAAATAAAACGTGTTTATTACTCAATTTTCCATCTTTTTAAGTCAATTTAGATTCATTTTCTAACAAATGCGAGAGTGAAAATCGTGTTTTTCATAAAAATCTATAAAAACCTCTACGAAGAAATTGGCTGAATGAATTTCTCTGTAAATTTGGCTATATACAAAACATTTTGTGCCCTATCTTTTATCTAGTGACACGAAAATGGATTTCCTTAGTTAAAGTGTCTAAATCGCATCATCGAGTCGTCACCCTTTTTGATTACCCGCTTCACACTCTCGAAAAATCCACACATAATCCACACACATTTTAAACCCATTTTAATGTTATTTTTGCAGAAAAATGATTGATCTTTCTAATGAAATAAACCGTAGTTCAATTGGTGTGTTTGTTGATTTTAAACAAAAGTACGAAAAGGAACGAAAAGACTTATTTGCCGGTACTCTCCCATTATACCCACACAGCACACTTGAGTGAGTTGAATCGAATGAATAAGACTCTTTTCTTTCCTTTTTTCTTCCAAATTCTCGATCTTCCCTCCTACCCTTCCTTCCCAGACTGAATGTGGGAAGTTCGATTCAACTCCCATTATACCCACACACGCATCATTCCTGTTATATTCCACATTTTAAAAAATTTGCATGCCAAAAATTTGCATTTATCCGAATGCTGTTTTACCCAAAGAAGAGACAAATATTTTTCTATTCTCATTTTCTACCGCCGCCGGGTTTAATGTTTTCTTTACCCACCCCACAGAGGATATGAATTGCATAATGGGATTGATGCTGTGGAGGTATAATGGGAAAGTACCTATTTGCCAACGTAATTCTTAAGTTTTCCAAAAGGGTAAAAAAACCATTATTTTAAAGAAAAAACATTTATTCTCACGAATGGTACAAACAATACACAAGCACAACTCCTAACTGTAGAAAAGAAAAAACCCATCTAGAAGGAAAAGGAACCAATAATCTAGCTGACGAGATTGAACTCTTGACCTCCTGATACAGGGCTCTTAGCCAGTCGGCTGTGTGTTAAAGTTGAGATAGGTAAGGGGGGAATGGATGAATCCATCGACGAGGGAACTTCCCACATTCAGTCTGGGAAGGAAGGGAAGGAGTGGAGATCGAGAATTTGGAAGAAAAAAGGAAAGAAAAGAGTCTTATTCATTCGATTCAACTCACTCACTCTAAATGGTTTTGTTTATTTTAAAAATTTTTAAACATCAGTCTTTGGTGCTTGCTTCTCACTTTATCTATTCGTTTTATCTCGCTACTCTACTTCTATTCTATCCCTGTTCTTTCTCATCAAGTTTTGTGTTTTCAAAACAGCTTTGGATTGTTTAGCAGATAGTATTTAATTTCACTTTACAATAAATTAAAGAAAATCTGGCTTTTCGATTCAAGCTTGGTCTTTAGTTTGACTTTTCTTCGCCTTAGCTCTTCTTTTCTGACTTTCTATTAGAAATTTGACTATTTAAAGCTCTAGAATCTTCTAGAATAAGAAGCAAACAATGTTCCGAAGCTTTAAATCGAGTACTTCTTTGAGAGAGATTCAGTTTTACTTTATTGCTTTTTACAAAAAGATACCCTATACTGTAAATATGGTACTGGATTGTGTGATTTTTTTACGTAGAATTAAACGGAGCCGATTCTAACTCTAACTATGGCTAAAAGTTGGCAATAAAAAGCTATTTGTGGCTGCAAGTTGGATTGCTGTTAAAGAAATCTTTCTCGTTTCGAAGTGTCCCGTTTTCACCAAAAGATCCTCAAGAAGAAAAGGAGAAAAAGAGAAAAAGAAAGCTTCTTGAATGGATCTGCATTATTGAAAAGAAAAGGACCATATTCCCACACGAATCGATGCTCCTCGAATCGGTAAAGGGGAAGCTTCCCTCTCCACCACTTCCAATCGAAATTCGAGATATCACGAATTCAGAAATGCAAAGTAGGATGGAGAAAAAGAGAATTCTTTTCTTTCTTTGATAATCATCAAGATTACTGTAGGTTTGAAAAAAAAGAACTCAAAGCTTTTTGTCGTTTTGTACCCATTGCTTCAAAATTAATGAATACAGTGAGAGAATCACATCGAATACAATCCTTTCAAATCATAAGAAGAATATTGGGTTTGGATATGAAAAAGTATTGAGTAAATATAGGTGATTAAAGGAGTTGAATTGAGATATTGTGATGTGAAGAACGGTAGAGTATATGAGAAAGGTTAAGCGAAAATATACCTATCAAATCATAGAATTAAATCAAACCAAAATTAAATCCTTTAAGTCCTAAATACAAATATGATACTTATCTAAAGGAAAAAAAGTGTATCTAGAAACTGTTTTCCATAGTTTTCATTTGGAATGAGTGAATAGTGTTCCCCATGCTTCCCCATTCTTCCCCATGTTTCTCCATGTTTCTCCATGCTTCCTCATGCTTCCCCATGCTTCCCCATCTCCCCTTTCCCCTTCTCATCCCTTCATGGGTGTGCGACTTTCCGATAGCCGCCAATTTATGACTCTTTTTCCTCCAAAAAAAAAAGATAACAAAATCTGTAACCAGTGGCGTTGCCTTGTTTCTTCTCGAAATGAATCCTTTATTCACACCCTTAAGGCAAACAATGAACTGTTTTGGCTTTAATCCTTTCGATCTCCATCCAGAGCAATCATCATCAAATTCTTTCTTTTCAGGTAAAACATTGAACCTTCGCTTTGTGATACTTTTCTTGTTACTTTTCTTGTAATAATCACCTATTTAACTTTATAATCAACTGAATTTCCTGTGTCTAAAGCAATCTTTGTAAAGTGCATCAGAAGATTTGCGTTTTCTTTCTACAAAAAGCTCGTGCATTTAAGCCAGTCTACGGATCTTATTGAAGCATACTGTAGATACAGATAGAACTATCTGTATCTACAATATGTTCTACAGTTGTTCTACAGTTATCCCATAGTATCCTAGAACAAGGGGAAAGAGTCTACCCTGAAAGGAATCCACTGAACGAGCCTTGACGATGTCTTAAATTTATCTGCATTGAAAACAATATCCATCGATAAAAGTATCCGAGAAATGGTCTACAAAGGACTACAAAAGGGACAAGGAAGTCGATTTGCATTGAAACCAATCTCTACAGTATGCTAGATGTCGGGAAAAGAGGCCCTTCTCTCGACGATTGGCCCCGAGTGGAGTGGCTGGGTGGGGCGGGGCCTCCCCTCCCCTCCCTTCATCGATATATGGGAGTCTCCCATCGGATCAGTCCCTATTCCTTCCAATTTCCCTTCTCATCACCTATCTTCTTCTTCTAAGGAGGATCTCTTCATCATCTCCTTTTTTTTCCCAGCTCCCCCCTTCTTCTTTTCCCAGAGATGGATTACCAGAGCTCTCCACTTGTGCTCGACCAGCCACCTTCGCAACAGGCTGATCACCATGCTACAACCACACTCCTCGTTAACGCTAATCAACACCACAATGGTGAGTTTGAGATATTTGATTGGAGATTGGAGAGTGATAGATTTGGGCAATTGTCAACCAGCTTCGGGATTTCTAGATTAAAATTTATTGCAAGTCTGCAAAGTCTAAACCATTACATTCAAACCATCTACGAGTACATCCAGTTGGGTAACTTGCTCACAAATCTATCACTTCCCAGCAATCCTATCAACTCTCAAATCCAAATTCGATTTCTCAGCCTCAATGGCGGCCCAGCAGCAAGCCCTTCTCGCCTCATACGATGCGCTTGCTCAACTCGGCTATCCATCGGTGACATCGGGTGGAATGGGAGGGATGAGTTCAAGTGGAGCACTTCAAACGATGGACTCATCTTCCTATTATTACACCACTCCGCAACATCAACCCGAGATGTGGCAAGCGCAATTCGCGCAACTCCCATCCAGCTTCAGCCAGCTTCCCCAATCGCTCGTCACTCCGAGCACACCGACGACAAGGCATTCGCTTATTTATGGCCAGCATGGGCTACAACATTATGCAATGGGTTGGTTGAATGCATTTAGATTTGGCTTGGCTTGGCTTTGTCTTTGGCTTGGCTTGGCTTTGATAATGATAGGGAAAAACCAATCGGGAAAAGCTATCTATCAGGGATGTGTGCCAGAAGGCGAGCGATTACACTGCCGCAAAAAGAACACTCAGTCGTTTTACAATGACTTTTTTGTATTGTGGTATAGAAGATATTCAGCTGTATAATTGTACCCTGAGGTTTTCGGGGGCAGGCAATTCATTCGAGCTATTTATTTTATTGAGTCTAGTGAGAATCGGTTCTTCAGAATCCTTCTTTAAAGCCATCATTCAAATTCTTCCCCGTTTTCCAAAAAGTGCCAAAGACAAAAACTCTGCTTACTCATTGTGCTCAACGAAAACTCTTTTCCTTAGCTCTTTAGCTCTTCAGCTCTTCAGCCCTCTCCTTCACTTTCCCCCAATCTTTCTTTTTGTCCAAATTTTGGCGCTTCACTTTTTCTCTCCTTTTGCTTTTTTTATTATCACTTGGGTGGTCAAAATTTTTGAATGATTCTGTTTTTCGAAATCGTGAAAACATTCAATTCTTTAAGAAATTAAAAAGCTTAGTATCCAGTTATATCTATCGATCCAACACTTCTATCAATTCAGAACAAAAGTAAGGGTTTTGCTGTAGGTAGGTAATAAGCATCAATAATATACTAAAAGAGTTGATACTTGATATTTGGTCTGATAGATCTGATCTGATAGATTTGATCTGATAAATCTGATCTGATAAATCTGATCTGATAAATCTGATCTGATAGATCTGATCTAATAAATCTGATCTGATAGATCTGATCTAATAAATCTGATCTAATAAATCTGATAGACCTGATAGATCTGATCTAATAAATCTGATCTGATAAATCTGATCTGATAAATCTGATCAATCAATAAATCAATATACAAATCTGTTAGCTGATATCATCTAGGGATTTAAAATTGAAACTTTTCTCTGAGCCATTTTTTTTGTTGCCATTTTTTTGATAAGTAGAGAAATGATTTGATAAATTATGCAATAAAAAATTACAAATTTCACCGATAAGCTTTTTAAAATGCTAATCGATTTTGTTACTATCAACTTATCAATTTGTTACTATCAACTTATCAATTTAAAAGATCTCGTCGAATTTTAAGCTATCGATCTTTCCTCCTTTCCCATTTTCCCAGGCCCGTTGCGAGCCGCGAAATGAGACATAAAAAGACGGCTAATATGTTAATTTTACTTATTATCAATAAGAAGAAACTTTGCTTTAGGATTTTGTAAACAAACAAAAAACTGAAAATGTGAATGTATCCCGATTTTAGATCCCTCCTTCTACACCCCGAACGCCTCGTCGTCTTTCGGTGATGCCAATTTCTATCATCAGCTCGTTCATCCACAAATCTCTGAACCAATCCCCATCGAACCGCCGAAACCACTCACGAAGTTCGTTTATTGAAATGCTTATCTAAGTGTTTGAGTTGTTGTTGTATTTGAGTTGAAATTTCACTTCAATGCCTTCGAGTTTTAGTCAGATTTGTTTTTTAAAACAGTTAAAACAGTTTAAAACAGTAATTTGCTCAAAAAAAAAAGAAAAACGAAATTTCCAGGGAAAAGATGGCGCATTTCTTATCGAATCGCGATCGTTTAGAGTGTCGTGTGTCGATCTTTCACGCAAAAGTCGCCCAGAAATCGTATGGAAACGAGAAGAGGTGCGTTTATTGGTTGAACTGGTCAATAAGATGTAAAACTGACTATTCAATAGTATGATTGAATATTCAATTCAAAAAAATCCAAACCTTTTATCACTATCACTATTAGTTTGTTCAATTTGATGAAGTTGAAAGTATAAAAAAACACACGACACTTTAAAAATATGTGAATTTGATTTTGGTTTTGGTTCATTGATAAGTGTACAATGGAAAGGATTTAAAAGTCTTTAAAGCATTGAAAGCATTTAAAGTCTTTAAAGCATTTAAAGCATTTAAAGCATTTAAAATCGCTTAAGCCTTAAGCCTAAGTCCCGTCTTAAGCCTTTAAAATCGATCTTTTCAAAGGTGTTTATGATAAAAGAGAATATTGACTTAAGTTTAAGCTATAAAGCAGCTATAAAGCAGCTATAACTAAATAGGAAAAAGGTTTTAAAGTTTTCTATTTTTCTGGCTTGTTGTTGGCTTGTTGTTGGTTGAATTGCTTGTTGTTGAGGCTAAGAGAAAGTGATTGGATGAATATGAATATGAAATTGTTTTGGTCTTAAAGGAGGGGATTTTTAAGCTGAAAAGGGGTAAATGGGAAAGACGGGGGGAAAGTATTTGGATGGATGGATGGATGGATGGATGGATGCGACTGGAAAGGCTGAGTGCTAGAGTGTCAGCCGGGAGGGTGAAGGCTGATGCAACGCTGTGCGCGAAACAAAATCCCCTTCCCCTAATAGAGTGGGTATTGTGTCTCAATTAGCTCATTTCTTTTCTTTCCTCAACTCATTCCTTTCCACACCCATTAACGGATTTTGGATTATCGTTTCTTTCCGCTGAATGCTTAAGATTCTCGTTCTTCAGGATTACTCCCAATCAACCACAATATTGCGGGCACAACTTTTGTAACTCTAATTGTAATCCGAAGCTTACAGAGAACTGTAAGAGAGTTACATTTAGAGGAAAAGAAATCTTTAAGATTGAAAACAATCGGTTTTTTGGCTTAACAAAGACAAATGAGTTTAAGAAAGAAGTTTAAGAATGACTAGAGGAAGCAGAAGAAGCAGAAGAAGCTTATCCAAGCTTCACAGATACAGTCATGCTTCATTTATTCACTCATTCTATTTGTTTTCATATTCGATGATTACCCGATACGATTCGTGTTTATTTATCTCTTCCACTTCGATATTTGCACAAGTGTCCCAGGGTCTTTCTCCCCTTTTTCCCCCTTTTTTCTATTCTTGGGATCTTCCCCTCAAATAGAGCTTCTTCTACTCGATCTTTTTTGATCCCTTTCCCCCAATCTTCCCACCAATTCCGTGGTCTCTTGTCGATCAAGTACTTTCATTGATCGGCTTTTTCCTTTGATCCTTCTCATCCAATCCAATCTAACCATGACCAAAGTTTGCACCCAACAAATAGAATAACAACTGGATATAGATTCAACTGACAGATCGGAAGAAATGATTTGGAAGAGCTTTAGCAAGCTTTAGCTTTGCCGGACTGGCTTTGAGACCTTAACAGGACTGTTTTGAAGGATAATCTATTAGAACAGGCAGGTCTAAACCTAAGCCAGGTCCTGGGCCTGCTCTTGCATTGTCTAGTCTGGCTTGATTTTGCTATAAATCTGGGAGCCTGGCCTACAAAAAGTCCTGACTTTTTACCGGGCTTTGACCTGACTTTCGGCCATCAGTAAGGCTCGGTTGGAGCGACTGTGATCCTCAAACATTGAGCTTACTGTCAGGCTTAGTGTTTGGGTCTTTACTTTAGTGAAACGATCATTATTAAATCTAAAAGTAGAGTTCACAAACATTAAGAGTACACAAACAAACATTAAACATTACTGCATACAGTACTGTATGCAGTAAAGTACTGTATGCAGTAAAGTACTGTATGCAGTAAAGTACTGTATGCAGTAAAGTACTGTATGCAGTAAAGTACTGTATGCAGTAAAGTACTGTATCCAGTAAAGTACTGTACGCAGTAAAGTACTGTATACCATAAGAGGGATATTTCTCTTCTCTAATCTCACAAGGTTCATGTTTTTAAGTGAAAGACAAAATTCTAGTGTTAAAAGTTGCACTTTTTAGTACAGTAATTTCATCTTAATAGATCACAATCACTTTTCATAAAATCATCTAACTTTATTGTTTTTTCTATAAGATATTCATTCTCTATGAGAGCTACCGTATCCTTTAGATGAAAAGAAGGGGGAAAAGGGAGCAAAAGGGAGCAAAAGAGACTCGATTCTCCCACGAGGCGCATGCCTGTGTTTACCTGTGAAGAAAAGGGGGAAAAGGAAAGGAAAAAGAAGAAAAAGATGGAAAGATCTCTCCTTCATTCTCCTTTCCATCAAAGCAACGAAAAACTAGACAAAAACTATCGTAAAAACTCTTATCGAACGGCCCTCTATAGGAGCGTCGTGTAGTCTAAGTTTACTCTTAAACAAACCCTCAGAACTCGACATCAGTACTTTTATTTCTGTGGGTTTTGGTATCAAATTAAAGTAGAAAGAATGGGTAATTTTTTGAAATAAAAGAAATATTTTTAGAATTAATCAATGCTTAGAAAAAAATGATTGAAATTTGTCTTTTTTTGCCTATAAGGGATTCGATTAGAGTTTTTTTGAAACAAAAAAAAATAAGAAAATGATTGATAGATTAAAATTTGCAGATTTTTCTGCCCACCCCCGTGCATTTACATCGAGGGTGATGGATGGAAAGAGAAGAAATCCGCCGTGCAATCGCTTTACAAAGAGTGGAGGGTGAGGGGACAATTGTGCATTGTGCATTGTACAGTTTACATTGTGCATTGTACATTGTGCATTGTACATTGTACAGTTTACATTGTACAGTTTACATTGTACAGTTTACATTGTACAGTTTACATTGTACAGTTTACATTGTACATTGTGCATTGTACACTGTACATTGTGCATTGTACACTGTACATTGTAACTGTACACCTAACTTACTTTACTTACTTCTAGTAACATTTTCATGGTTGCTGATTGGAGAATCTCAAAATCCTCAAAAAAGCTTGTGCTTAGGCAATGATTTTGAGACTAAATTGCCAAAATTTGCTAGCTTCTAGCATTGATTTCGATCAAAGTTGAAGAAAAAGAAAAAGCGATGAAAAGAGATTCACTTATTATATTCAAAACTTATTGAGCTTATTGAGCTTATTAATATGTTTTCAGTTACAACAAAAACGTCTCAATCAGTTCCCTGAGTACACACCAGAACAAGAAAAACAACAAGAGGAACAGGTTTGGAAAAAAAAGAAAAGATCAAACTTCAAATCTTTTCTTTAAATTGAGGCGTAATCTTAGAAATTACAGGCAGCTGAATTGGTTTCTTATATTGGAATCGGTGGCTCATCGGATCAAGACAAACAAACACTCGATTTCACGAATGGAAAGGTTTGGGTTAAAGATTGCTTTTATAAAAGCTGGATAATTTAAAAAAAAACTATTGTAATCTTTCTGTCAGATTTTTTCCCGTGTTAGACAGATTTAGACATTTAATTTTGAAAAAAAAAGAATATAAAACAAATAAGAATTTAGATAAGATTAAGCATTAGGCAATATTTATTCTATAGTTTCTATTCTATAGTTTCTATTCTATAGTTTTTATTCTATAGTTTTTATTCTATAGTTTCGATTCTATAGTTTCTATTCTAGAGTTTCTATTCTATAGTTTTTATTCTATAGTTTCTATTCTAGAGTTTCTATTCTATAGTTTCTATTCTAGAGTTTCTGTTCTATAGTTTGTATTCTATAGTTTTTATTCTATAGTTTCCATTCTATAGTTTCCATTCTAGAGTTTCTATTCTATAGTTTCTATTCTATAGTTTCTATTCTAGAGTTTCTATTCTATAGTTTCTGTTCTATAGTTTCTGTTCTATAGTTTCTGTTCTATAGTTTCTATTCTATAGTTTCGATTCTATAGTTTCTATTCTATAGTTTCTGTTCTATAGTTTCTGTTCTATAGTTTCTGTTCTATAGTTTCTATTCTATAGTTTCGATTCTATAGTTTCTATTCTATAGTTTCTGTTCTATAGTTTCTGTTCTATAGTTTCTGTTCTATAGTTTCTGTTCTATAGTTTCTATTCTATAGTTTGTATTCTATAGTTTCTGTTCTATAGTTTCTGTTCTAGAGTTTCTATTCTATAGAAATATCCCTTGATTAAGAAGCTAATTGGAATTGAAATGGGATAAAAAAATAAGGAAAACGAATAAAGAAAAAGGAAAGAGATCTAAAGGGAAGAGATCTAAAGAAAAGATCTAAAGAAAAGAGATCTAAAGGAAAGAGATCTAAAGCAAAGAGATCTAAAGGAAAGAGATTTAAAGGAAAGATCTAAACGAAAGATTACGATAGTTTGTTCATCTTTTAGAAAAAAGAAACTTGTATTAGATATGTGCTTTATATGTGCTTTAATGCTTTATATGTGCTTTATTTTTCTAGGAATATTGTGCAGCGAAAACTCTTTTCATCTCGGATGCAGATAAACGAAAATACTTTGAGTTAAACGTTTATTTCTTTTACGGATGCCAACATCAAATTGGGATTTTTGCTAGTCAAAGGATAAAGGTTTTTTTATTTTAAGTTTAAATTAACTATAAATATGATATTCAGGTGATTAGCAAGCCATCCAAGAAAAAGCAATCGATGAAGAATACGGACTGCAAATATCTTTGTATTGCATCGGGAACAAAGGTTGGCTTTTGTTCAGAAAATTTTGGGAAAAAAGAATCGTGTTCTTGTCCTCGTGGTCTTGTTCTTGTGTTCTTTATGTGACCGAGTAATCGCTCGCCATTTGGCAAACGATGATAGATAGGTGACAGCTATAAATTTCTCCCTTCAGGTAGCTCTCTTCAATCGTCTCCGTTCACAAACCGTTTCCACTCGCTATTTGCACGTCGAAGGCGGGGCTTTCCATGCTAGTTCATCTAAATGGGGCGCTTTCACTATTCATTTATGTAAGTTACCGATTTCTACTTGTATCCTAGAAGTTTTAAAAACTGCAAGAAGAACCAATAGCTGTAGTACAGTAGAGGAATCTTTTCTTTTTCTTTTTAGTATTTTTCTGAAAGCTTGATCTTGATCTTGATCTTCATCTTCATCTTTATCTTCATCTTTAGTCTTATCTTCTAGTTTTCTCTTATCTTCTAGTTTTCTCTTATCTTCTAGTTTTCTCTTATCTTCTAGTTTTCTCTTATCTTCTAGTTTTCTCTTATCTTCTAGTTTTCTTTCAGTTGATGATGATCCAAATTGCGCTGAATCTGAGAATTTCAATGTGAAAGATGGTTTTATTTACTATGGAGCCGTCGTGAAATTGGTGGACTCAGTCACGGGGATCGCCTTGCCGAAGCTCAGGATAAGAAAGGTTTATTGAAAGGAAAAAAAGAAAAGAATATAAAACAAATAAGAATTTAGATAAAATTAAGCATTTAGCAATATCTAATACAGTACTGGACAATGAAATATGATATTTGAAAAACGATCGTCACTTTCGCGCGTCTGTAATTCCTTTTTCTTTGAGTTTAAACTATAGTGTTATGCATTTTCTGAAAGCTCTTTTCAAGGGCTACACAATGGTAGTATTAATATTTAGAAATACGGTAAAGCCAAGGGAGTTACAGACGCGCGAAAGTGACGATCTTTTTTCAGAATATGATATTTCATTGTCCAGTAGTGTAGATTCAATTCTATAGAAATTTCCCCTAAAATTCGTCTCCAGGTCGACAAACAGCATGTGATTCTGGACTTGGGCGTCGAGGAGCCCGTGTCACAGCTGCACAAATGCGCTTTTCAGGTGAGAAATTTGCTCCATTAGTTTATTAGCTGAGTATTCATTGTTAAACTAATAGCTATTATCAATATTTATTATCTAAAACTTAAATTGATCTCTAATCTAATCTCTAAATTGATCTAGATAAATGAAAATCCTTTCAGATGGTCGATAATGAGATGGTCTACTTGTGTTTGAATCACGATAAAATCATTCAGCATCAGGTGAGAAAAATGACAAAATATCTTCATTAAATAGATCAATTATCAATTGATATATTTGATATCAATTGATACATTATCTAGAAATCTACCGTAAATACTGTAATAGTATCCCACCCCGATAATGACGGTGCGGAGTGTTGCGGAGTGTTGCGTAGTCTAGCTTTGAACGAGTTTTTCTCGACACTGGTTTATGCTACAATGCGCGCTTTGGTATCAAAAAATAGCCCTGAATTTCAGCTATTTTTTGATACCAAAGACGCATTTTTTGAAAGTACGGGTGCTTTGCAAAAAATGAAATACTAAAAAACTTTTGCGACTACGCGACTGTACGAGGGGGGTGCGGTACTATTACAGTATTTACGGTATGCTATTTTATTGCTTAATAAGGTGAAAAAGGCTTAAAGATTCAAAGCTTAAAGGTCAAAGCTTAAAGGTCCAAAGGCTTAACTTCTAGGTAACTTCTGGGTAACTTTTAGGGCCTAAAATTATTTGGAAAAACCTAGATAAAATTATTTATCAATAGATTTATCAATGATCAAGTCATTGTTTAGATATTTCTCTAGTTTAATACTTGATAATTCTTTGAGGCAACTCGGATAGACGATCACCATCATCAGATCAACGATGGAGCCGCATGGACGATCATTTCCACGGATAAGGTTTCTGAGCTAAGAAAATGAAAAAAATAGACGAACTTATTGAATAAGTATGGTCAAATATCTCAATCAAACCTACCGTAACCCACCGTAATCGATTCCTTATGAAAAGTTTTCAATTTTTACAAACTCTCCGACTTTCAGCTATGATTTCTAGATTTCTAGATAAAACTTCTGAGGGTTTCAGACGTTTATATTTATATTATTAAAGCTTTTAATCACTATAGATCATTATATAGTATGGGGATGAAGAATTTAAATCTAATAGATATATTTAAACTAATCTAAATACATTTAAATATATCGAAATCTATTTAAACTTATTCATATCACGATTTCCAGGCTGAGTATGCTTTTTATGAAGCAATGGGCCCAGTGAGAGACGCGGTCACACCCGTCCCTGTTGTCAATTCGATCGATATGATGCAAGGTTGATTTTGACATTAGATATTCACTTGAGGTACTGTATTTTAGACAAACCTCACTACAGTATGATAGAAAATGAAAAAATCGACATCGACAGTCGACAAATCTTTAGCTCTTTAGCTCTTTCAGAGATTATTCCTTGTCAAATGAATACTTTTTTAGCATAAACTGATTGTTAGATGATAATAATATCTATCCAGATATTCTAGGCCATGAAAACATTGCCCGAATCGAGCTGCAGGGGATTAATTTCCGGCAGAATATGAAAATTTGGTTTGGCACGACTCCCGTTGATACAATGTTTAGGTAAGCTTTGAAAAGAATGCTGTATTCTTTAGCTTTTATTCAATCTGAAGATAAACAATGAGCTTTTAGATCAGATGAATCAATGACCTGTGTCGTGCCATCGCTTGCACTTGTTCGAGAAGATTTCTCGAATCCAGATACACTTGATGTCAGTTTGATTAATATCAAATTAATAAAGTTGAACAAAAGAACTATTGATATTGGTTCTTCTTGTCAGAAGCCAGGCTTGGATCAGGTTTCTGGTCATGTTTTAGCTTTCTGGTCATGTTTCAGCTTTCCGCTCATGTTTCAGCTAGGTCAAGTTAGACAAAACAAGACCAGAGTTTAACCAGAAGTCTAGATCTAGTTCTGTCTTTTTTATAGACCTGGATCAGGTTTCTAGTCATGTTTCAGCTAGATCAAGTTAGACAAAACAAGACCAGTGTTTGGCCAGAAGTCTACAAAGCAGTCACAAAGCTAAAAACCTTTTTTTTTTTAGTGTAATCTGAAATAGCTCTTAGTTAAAGTGGAATCTAGGTGCCAATCTCTCTCGTTCGCGACGATGGCGTAATCTACTCAACGAATATGACATTCAGTTACAAGGTTTACATTAAGAAAAGCATTTTCTTTATTAATTCATAAATTTTTAGACAGTTCTCCCGCCAAGACGTTATTAAGAAAGCTCAGGATTTTCGAAATTTATGGCCAAAATGAAAAGAGATGTCAAATGATTAACAATTGGTGCCTTTAACTATAAAATGAGCCAAAATGAGCCAAAATGAGCCAAATGTTGTCTATTTTTAAATAGTTAATTCATTCACTGAATATCTTTTCTTTGATCTTATAAAACGGGTCTCCCCGAGCCAATATTTTCAATAATTTTCCTGTAATCCGGTGTGTTTTTTTTTTGTGAATATAGTGTTTCATTGTGGCTTTTTTTTTGCAAATCTATATATAAATCTATGCAACGAGGACCTTAAGATATTAAAATGGTGGAGAAATCGAGCGATTACTGAATAATTTCAGTACTAAAGTACAAGTAGTACTTTAGTACTGACCAATACTTTACGGACAGTAATGATATTTCATTAAAAGCCATTAAAAGCCTAAATTGCCTCCCAGATCAGCCAAAAAGTGGCTCGAATTTCGATGACAAGTTGAGGTTGGCGAGAAACGGACGAGAGAAGCTTTCTCGTCGAGTTTTCTCGCCATTCTTTGCGTGTTTTGAGATTTCGCTCTTTTTGCGTGCTCTTCTGGCACGCAGCTTAGATCTTTAGATAAAGTTTATCCATTAATTTCTCCACCAAAAGAAAACTAATTTCGTGTCATTTCCCCCAACTTCTCCGATCTCCGAGACCAAAACTTGACAGCGATTTTCTTGTAGATTTGTGTGTCGAAAAGAAACAAATAATTGTATAAAGCATCCACTATATTTAACTGCTTTTATTCTCCGATTTGCTCATCATCAGTTTTTTTTGTTTTTTAAAACAATTTTTCTTTCTTTTAGCAATGGTAAATAAAATTTGGAGTATAGAATCGTGTAAAATTTGAATGAATTTGAATGATTTTGAATGATTTTGAATGATTTTGAATCAATTTGAATGGATTTGAATCAATTTGAATCAATTTGAATCAATTTGAATCAATTTGAATCAATTTGAATCAATTTGAATCAATTTGAATCAATTTGAATCAATTTGAATGAATTTGAATGAATTTGAATGAATTTGAATGAATTTGAATCAATTTGAATCAATTTGAATGAATTTGAATGACTTTGAATCAATTTGAATCAATTTGAATAATTTTGAATGACTTTGAATCAATTTGAATCAATTTGAATGAATTTGAATCAATTTGAATCAATTTGAATCAATTTGAATGACTTTGAATCAATTTGAATCAATTTGAATCAATTTGAATCAGTTTGAATCAATTTGCATGTGAAAATTGCTGAAATAAGCACAAATTGCACTTTTTTTTTGAGTAAATTCTTTCAAAACTTGACTCAAAACAGAAAAAAACATTTGGCGAACAACTTTTCTGAAACTTGAAAATCAACGAAAATTTATTTGAGTGAGAGAAATTTCCATTTCAGGAAGGATTGAGGATATTTTTATGGGAGAAAAAGGGAAATTTTTGAAGGAAAAGTGCACAATGAAAGAAATGGGAGAAAGAGATGGATGGAGAGATCCACAAAAAACAGAACTTTTTCATTTCTTGAGCTGAAAAGTATTTAGAGCTGAGTCAGAGTCAACCAAATTTTACTTTGGACATTTGCTCGTACATTTTATAGATATATCTATAGAAATATCTATCCTTATTCCCATAAATTTCTTTAGCATTATCCCATTTGTTTGCTTTGTTCAAATTGTAATAAGAATTTCAGCTAAGCTATTCTTTCTTTGCCTTTTATTCCAACAAAAATTCGAAGCGAACTTTAGATTTTAGATCTAAACTTTACCTCATTGCAAGCAAGGTCAAACCAAAAAAAAAACAAGTCCATATAACGCATTGAATACGACAAAAAGTGACGTTTCTATTTGTCAGTTCCCCAAAATTCCACGATCAGTCACTGAATGTCATAAAATCTTGATACTATGGGGTGCTCAATATTTATGTGGACCAGTAGATTAGTAGATTTAAAGCTTATTTTGTACAAGTTTAATGCTAAAAAAAGGAAACACACTTATCATAACGCTCAACGTTAACAACTTTATAAACAACTTTGTTAACAACTTTAAAGGAGTACTCCGATCTCAAAAGTGTTTTCCTAGAACCACGACTATTTGTATACCAATCGACGCGTTTCAGTCTCCTCTACAAGAAAAGAAAGAAAAGAAATATGCATACAGAAAAACCTTGATAACACTAAAAATCTCGGAAAAGCTATGAAAAACTGTCAATAAAATGGGTTTGGGAGTTTAAAATGCAATGTGACAGAACCTTTATATATCAGAATTAATTCTACCGTAGCTTTCGTCTAGTCGACGGTAACAATTTCTCGCCTCATAAGAACCAGCAAAAGACCGTTAAAGATATTCAGCTAATCAACCGAAAGTTAATTAACGGTTCTGTTTTGGGGTATTTAACGAGTTTTTTTTCTTTTTACATCTTTTTGATCTTTTATTATGTTTTTCCCTTTTCTATCCCTTCTTTACATCTTTTTTTTTCTTGTAATATTCTCTAGACCACATAAAAATGGGTTCCGAAGAAAAAAGTTTCTAGTTAACGGTTTATTAGTTGTGCTTGAAAGGTATTTAGAAAAATTGTTTTTTTTTTATTTCAACGTTCTATATCTACAGATTAACAAGTTGTTTAAAAAGTATTAAGAAAATTATACTATCAGCCAATTCGAATCAAAATTTCCGTAATTTTCAATGATTTCTAAAAGATAGGACGATGGGAAAGTATTAATTAGAAATTTGGTTTTTTTTTCTTTAGCTTTCGTTAATGAAAGGGTAATAATTCGTCTCTACAGATCTCTACAGGTCTCTACAGATCTACAGATCTCTACAGATCTACAGATCTACAGATCTCTACAGATCTACAGATCTCTACAGATCTCTACAGATCTACAGATCTCTACAGATCTCTACAGATCTACAGATCTCTACAGATCTCTACAGATCTCTACAGATCTACAGATCTCTACAGATCTACAGATCTCTACAGATCTACAGATCTCTACAGATCTACAGATCTCTACAGATCTACAGATCTCTACAGATCTACAGATCTCTACAGATCTACAGATCTACAGATCTCTACAGATCTACAGATCTCTACAGATCTACAGATCTCTACAGATCTACAGATTCGTAAGGACCTTGGCCTCAGCTAATCGATTCTTGAAAAATCTAATGAAAAACAAAAAAGCCAAAGCCAACTGAAAATGAGTGGGATTCGAACCATCGAGGGTTGGCTTCTATGACAAGAACACCAACAAACCGTCCATTTCTTCTATGACAAGAACACCAACCAACCGGTAGCGAGCACCGGTCGCTGGGAACGGCTTATAATGGTTCGAAGCAAAAATAACTGGAGACCGGAATACCCTTTTAAGTTACTTTTCTTCAATTATTGTTCTTTTGCATTGTTGCCTTTGAAGTTCAAAACTGAAATGTGATTCTAACATTTTTAATGTCTAAAATTCAAAAACTATTAAATACTTCGGACTTTCTCATCGTTAAATAAAAACAATTGAGGATCTCTTTTGATAAAATTTGGTGATCGAGTTCCGATGAATCGATTTTTAAAATTTAAGCACTCATTCTCATCATTTTCAAAAGAAAACTTCCTAAAATCAATGATTTTCTTCTTTTTATCCATTCAATATTATGCCGAGGAAAAACCTTTCATGAGATTTTTCTCATTTTTCTCATTTCTCTCCATATTTTTTTTTGTCAAACCCTCCCCTTTCACAAAACCATTCACCACTTCAGGGATTCTGGTTTTTCCAATCTTTCCCTCAAATCCTCTCCATTTCTATCGAATTCTCTATTCAACATCGATTCAACAATGAAATTGATTGGTAAGATAATTTTCTCTTCAACTTTAACAAGTTCTTAGTTTTCATTTCGTTTATCGGAGTCAGCCTCTGCGCAGGCGGGATGGCCGAGCTGAAAAGTATCACTGGTGATGCACCGTACACGGGAGGAGGTATTCATTTATTCATCATATAGAGAAAATCGATTCATTGTACAATAAAGCTTCAATAGATCAATAGTAGTCCAAGTCCAGTAGATCAATTTCTTAAGAGCATGTCATTATTTGAAGGTAATTAATTACCTTCAAACGATGGCTTGACCCTAGCCAAGCCAAATCAAAACCTCAGCAGGCTTCAAATCCAATCAGCAATGTTTTCAGGTAATGCACCAGCAATTCTTCCTCAACCGATGGGTTTCTGGGGAAGACCACAATATTATGGTGGAGGAGGATTTTCTGGTGGAATGATGGGAGGTGCGCAGAAATATCTAACTTTTCGGAAACTATCGTAACTTTCTTCTAGCTTTTATCCATTTCTCAATCTAAAAGTCAATAGTAAATAGATAAATAAACTAGAAGCAAGATTACAATAGCTTTTGTACGAGTATTCCACAGTACGGTAGCTTGACAGATTTAGAAAACATAAGAAAAATAATGCAGAGAAACATGGACTAGGATAGAAGCCAAATCCATGCCTGACTTCTAGAGCCTAGATTTGAGAAGGATCTCACTTCTGCGCTTCTTGTGTTTTCTAAAACATGTCATGCTATCGTAATCTTGCTTCTTGTATGGTAGTTTGAGTTCTTATCAATGAAAAGATTCAATCTTTATCTTTCTAGGTTGGCATCCGGGTATGGGTTGGTTGAATGGAGATGGTGGTCGTTTCACTTCGTCAAGTGGAGGACCGTATGGTGTGTAAGTGATCAGCGAAATGACTAACACTATTTCAGTTCTCACTAACAAATAGGCATCGAATTGAAAGATCGTTTCCTCATTGAAAGAGTTCTATTTGTTTACATTGAAGAGCTTTATAAGACGTTCAACAGTCTCTAACTGGTTTGCATTGAAAGAAGCTCAAGGAGAAAACGAGAAACTTCTGTCTCGTCTTCTGTTTACAAAAAAACTTCAAACTTTTACAGGAACTCGTGGCCGTATCCCTTCAACTGATTTCCCTGACTCAATGGAGGGAATGGAGCGGGAGAACTTGATGCTAGGCGCGTTGACAGTGCTCGGCAATCTGCTCAACCCTTCATCAATCCGTCAAGCATCAATCCATTCCCCCACTCGTCCATTCCCATCATCAAGCTCTCCATTCTCATCTCGTTCATTCAATCCATCCACATCCTTTTCTTCAAATCCTTCAAATCCTTCAAATCTCCCCTCAAACAGTCCCTCATCGATTTCCCTTTCCTCAGCTACCGGTGGTGGCTTTTACAAGGGTAAGGGAAACGATTTCGGACGATGAATCGCATTTTTGTTTCCCTAATCCAGTACTCAGTCCAGGGTTACGGTACTTTAGCTGTACATTTTGAATGATTTTCCTTTATCTGTTGCATTCCCTGTCTGTGATTACTTCTTTTTATACTTAAATAAAGCTTTATCACTTTGAGAGAATGAAAAGACCCGTAAGAAATGAGAAAAAAAGTGGGAAATGCCAGAGATCTCGAGCAGACATCCATGCTTCACGGGGGATTTTCGGTGAGCCAAGACGACGCCAGAAATGAGAAGATTTCGGAGTGTAACAATCGGAGAAAGGAAAAGCTGAGGAAGAGTTGAGAAGTGATGGAGAGGAGCAGGAGAGCTGTAAATGGATTTCCATTTCATAGATTTTCATAGGTTTTCTTATAAGGTGAAAGTTTGTAAGCAGGTTTTTGTTTCATCGGGTATTTAATACCGAATTCTTGGACCAGCTCGGATCTTTGTCCAATAACGGAACAATGGAAGATCTTGAGCCAAGTTTAGGTCGTGGCGACAGTAGACTGATCAGAACGACAGTAGACTGATCAGAACGACAGTAGACTGATCAGATCGACAGTAGACTGATCAGATCGACAGTAGACTGGTTAGTTCGACAGTAGACTGATCAGATCGACAGTAGACTGGTCAGATCGACAGTAGACTGGTCAGACCGACAGTAGACTGACCAGATCAACAGTAGACTGATCAGATTGACAGTAGACTGATCAGATCGACAGTATCAGATCAGATCAGCACTTCATCTCACATGAAAACATTGACCTATCTATATTGTTACCCTTTTTTTCCTGTTTCAAATCTTTGCAATATCACCGACCGATCTCCTTTGTGCTTCTCGAAATGCTCTTTCAACCAAATAATTGATCGTTGTCACATCATCCATCGGGGAATGATGAGTGAGATGTTGAGCGAATTGCACACATCTTTCACGATATCTGAATCAAAGATTTTCAAATAGGAAAAGATTCTTTATATCTTACCTCGAATCATTGAGAATTGTGTCCAATTTCTCGACAAACTCTTCCTTATCCATACTCATCTTGTCAACGAGTAAACCGACTCGTTTCGCTTCGACAATTTTTGAGTTCTTTGCGTGATCTGTAAATATTAAATGTATAAAAATGAAATGATTTATTATCTAACTATTTACTATCTAAATTTTATATAGTAGAGATTATACTGTCAATTTATTTTGACAGTTTGCTTTTTGTTTAGTAGAGTTTTACAACGAACTCTATAAATGAAATCTTTCTACTACAGAGACTTTACTCTTCCTACTCTTTCTACTCTTCCTACTCTTTCTACTCTTTCTACTCTTCCTACTCTTTCTACTATGTATAAAACGCCAGTCGGCAGTGTCTGTACGGGCTTTCTTAAACGTCTTTAGGCCAAAAAAAGTTGAAACTTTTTAAAAAGTCTTAAAATCTAATAAAGTTATGGCATATAAAATGAAATTCAAAATCGAGCGGCACTATGGGGGGTCGAACCCGAATCCCGTGGGCTGTAGAAAAGCTTGCTGCCGACTGCGCCACGGCGACCGGTCGGAGGACCGACCAAAACATCTAGTTAGAAAACCCGCCGTTTAGCTGGTAGCATTCTCCATTATCAAATCATTATTGTATTTTCTTCACTAACAGAGATGTCCGGATGCGGATCTCTACACAAACATACAAAGAACGAAAAGACGACTACGCGGCGCTCCAATAGACAGTTTCCTAGTACTGTCTTTTTTGTTCTTTGTATGCTTGTGTAGAGATCCGGAAATCCCTGTTCACCAACCAGCAAATAATGGCATCAAAATCATAGGTCTCCCATGCATCAAAGACTCCAAAATGCTACTCCATCCACCATGAGTGATAATGGCTCGATAGTTGCGATGAGCTAAATAAAAAGCGTTACAGTTCCCGTAGTACGTTATGATTATAGCTTAAGTTTTACAGTAAAGTAAAGTAATCTGTGACTAAACCCTCACCAATCAACGAGATTTGCGGGATCCATTTCGTGAGCACAATGTTCTCTCCCTCGAATTTCATCGACTCGTTCATACTTTCGTATTTGACAATGAAGTTGAAATCAGGGAATTCCTTGAAACCCTAGAATCTAGAGTTGTTTAATTGTCTCATTGTCAAAAGGTGTAAAACGGAAAGCGAATTTTGATCACTTCAGGCAAAGAAGATATTCATTTTTAAAACAAGTAATGTACTTGAAGTACATTACTTGTTACTTGAAGTAGCATTTGTAATATTTCAGAGATTTCAATTATCAATTTCTTTTTGATAAGTTGATCATTGATTATTTGGGAGAAATTTGAGGAAAAGAAAACTCTTTGAAAAACTCTCTCAAACAAATTACCATCTTTTCACTTTGCAAAAAGATTTACGGCAAATCGTTTTGAATTCTTGTTAATTTCTTTGCGTTTTTCATTTCAAAATTGGACAAAATTGGACTTCATTTCTAGAATATTTTAAAGATTATCATTAAAAGAATTGTCAAATCTTCTAGAACGCTTTAAATCAGGGAATTGCTTGAAACCCTAGAATCTAGCGTTGTTTATTTGTCTGATTGTCAACAGGTGTAAAACGGATGACGAACTTTGATCACTTCAGGCTAAGAAGAAAGAATTTTATCTACCTCGAACTTTTTATCTAAAAAATTAGTCTTTAAAGCTCGATTTTTCCGTTGTACACTTGGCAAATGGACAGCTTTATTGGAAGGTAATTGTTGAAATCGTAAATTGAACAATTTCACCTCAAAGAAAGCCGATTGCAGTCGAGGTGGCATTTCGGAGGTTTTCGCGATTGAGCCGAATGTCAAAAGGACGAAAGGACGCATCTCGGCGATCGTTTCCCAATCCTGGACATAGAATTGTTCAAAGAATCGATATGTTCATTTATTTTCATTTCTATATGATCTTTTTTTTCGAATTCTATGCTTATAATAAGATTCGTGTTTAAATTTTGTGTACCCGAATAGGTGAAGTTGAAGATTATGAGATTAAAGAGGTATTACTCAATGTTTTGTCTTTTTAAAAATTGTGCAAGTGAAAGGGGTTATTCAAAGGGCAGTACAAGTGAGCTTAATTCGAAAAGCTTTCAGGACAAATATTGTTTAGAAAAAGAAGAACAATGTTTCGCAAAATGTTGTGAATCAAAATGCAAGATCGATTGCTCCCAGCGAATCATCGGATGGAAATGGTTAGTATTGGAAGAGTTTAGCAGACTTTAGACAGAGTTTAGCAGACAAGAGTTATAGTTTAGCAGACTGAAATGCAATAAAAATACCGACTGGGGCTACCAGTGGTGAATTTATCGCATACACGAAATATATCAATCACAATACAACGACACACACAATACTAGGCTATATCTTAACTTAACCCACGTCATGACAGACGGCTCCCTAACCCTAAGCTCAATGGGGAACTAAATAGCTTTTTTTGTGGTGAAGGGAAGATGACGATGAAGGAGTGGCTTGTCACTTTAAAGAACTGGGGCCACAACCACCAGGCTGCCCTCCAGAAAACCTCTCAATCCGAAGGGAAAGGAAATCCGAAGGGGGTGACCATGTCGCATGTGGGGTTCGAACCCTCGACCTTCCGATTAAGATAAAAGACACTTAACCAGTCAGCCACACGTGCTACCGTGCTACAATAAGTGAAAAGATTAGGCTAACTCATTTTCTGGTAGTCAGTTATTTAACTATCGTTACCGAACAGCCAATTTTCATTAATCATTCCAATTTCTGTATCATTGAATATTTAAAACTCTAGAATTTTTCATTTTTAATTTTTATTACTTTTGTAAGTGGTGGCGGCTTTGCTTCAACAGTGAAACCGCCAATCCAATGAAAATGTGAGAGGGTTGGCGCGGAGAAATCGAATGACGGGACACTGTTCACCAAAACGGTGGAAACGCTTTGAGCTGTCTGCAAAAGGTAAAGGATTACGGTAGGTTTTGAGATGTTCTAGAGGAAATCGCTATAAACTCACCTCGACAACGCCGTGCTCATCAAAAACACCATGTCCCCGCCAGATTCGGTTGATCGATCGAAGTGATAAGACCTGGACAAAATTTGTATTTAATTACACACATTTAATTCTCTTTAATAACTACATTTAATTCTCTGAACCAGCAAATTACTGTATTTTGCTCGAAAATGGAAACACGTACCATTTCTATCGCACTTAATTCTTAGCTTTCATTCAAAAGCAAGCAATTTTGTAAAAACTGCAATTGCAGAACTGCAGAATTGCAGAACTTCAGAATTCAGTGCTCTAGAAAGTTTCGTTTACAATTTCAAGCACAAAGTACAAGAAGTTCTTTGATTTTTTTTTACTTGAAATAGATGATGAGTGACACGAGAAAGCAATGTGTTCTGCGCTCTTTCCAACAAAGACATCTCATCTGTGAACGGGCCAAAAAGATCTGTAAACGGGGATTTTGACAAATGAAATGAAATAGTAATCCAAATCTTTGTCTCTATGTAGTAAAGCTTAAGCTAAATCTATGTAAATTGTATTTATTATTCAATTCTTGATTCACCTGGCACATAGCTGTTTGGTGGTGGAATCCCGAGGACATTTGGCTGCACTTGGTGGATTCCTGTCGCTGAAAGCCATACCTAAAGTGAATCCTTTTTTAAAAAAAGCATCGAACTACTGTAAACCAGTTTTCTAAAAGAGATATTGTTTTAGAAAACTGATTAGCCAAAATATCCCATTTTCTACTTACGATAGCCGGAATTTTGAGCTTTTTGAACAATCCGAATCCGCAAAAATCGTATTGTTCAATGGTGACGACGTCAAAAGTTTGATTTGATAAAGCAATTATGATATCTTCATCAGCTGACATTGCTGAAATGTTGACGAATAAAAAATAAGAGTTATGTAAGATTTAGCTCATGAGATTCTTGCACATGAGATTTAGCATTTATTAGGTTGCTGCATAAGTGTTTTTGTTCCTTTTCGTCTGCCGTTTCAAGCCAACAAATGCACCAATTAAACTACGGTTGATTTCATTAGAAAAACCAATTATTTTTCTGCAAAATAACATTAAAACGGGTTTAAAAATATTTAATGCCTGGATTTTCTTGAGAGTATGAAGTCGGGTAGTCAAAAAGGGCTAACTCGATGATGCGGTTTAGACACCTTAAAAATACCGACTGGGGCTACCAGTGGTGAATTTATCGCATACACGAAATATATCAATCACAATACAACGACACACACAATACTAGGCTATATCTTAACTTAACCCACGTCATGACAGACAGCTCCCTAACCCTAAGCTCAATGGGGAACTAAATAGCTTTTTTGGTGGTGAAGGGAAGATGACGATGAAGGAGTGGCTTGTCACTTTAAAGAACTGGGGCCACAACCACCAGACTGCCCTCCAGAAAACCTCTCAACCCGAAGGGAAAGGAAATCCGAAGGGGGTGACCATGTCGCATGTGGGGTTCGAACCCTCGACCTTCCGATTAAGATAAAAGACACTTAACCAGTCAGCCCTTAGCTAAAGAAAACCTATCTTCGTGTCAATAGATAAAAGATAGAGAAAAAAAACGTTTGATATTTCGCCAAAATTTCAGAGAAATTCATTCAGCCAATTTTTCCGTAGAGTTTTTTATAGATTTTTACGAAAAAGGCGTTTTTCACTCTCGAATTTGCTTGAAAGTGAACCGAAATTCATTTAAAAAGATGCAAATTGAACAAAAAAACACTTTTTTTATAGAGCAAACTATAGATTAATTGGTGAATTTGTTACTTTTTAACAGAAGTACGAAAAAAACGAAAAGACTTATGCATCAACCTAATATATCATTCTTAATACTTTAATAGTACCCCACCCCCATCGTACAGTCGCGTAGTCGCAAAACTTTTTTAGTATTTCATTTTTTTCAAAGCGCCCGTACTTTCAAAAAGTGCGTCTTTGGTATCAAAAAATAGCTGAAATTCAGGGCTATTTTTTTGATACCTAAGCGCGCATTGTAGCATAAACCAGTGTCGAGAAAAACTCGTTCAAAGCTAAACTACGCAACACTCCGCATCGTCATTATGGGGGTAGGGTACTATTACAGTATACGGTATGTAATATTTAGTTTACGGTATGTAATATTTAGCTCTCTTGCACATGATATTTAGTATTTATATCATAAAATCTTCTTGATATCGCTAGAAAAGGAGAAATCAAGTGAGCTGGAAGCCTGGAAGACTGGAAGAATTACATTTACATCAGCACAGAAAACAAAAAAAAACAAATCCCTATAAATGAAACTCACTTGTGCACGAATTCACGAAAAGACTTGAGAGACGAAGGAATTTCCGGAGAATTTTCGGATTTAGGGGATTTGAGTTCTCGAAGGGACCAGGGTTACGCCATAAAGTGTTCAAAAGAGCACCCGGTGGGACACCGACCTCATGACGAAATTTCTAGAAATCATTTGAATTGATTTATTGCTATTGAATACCTTAGCTGTAGATCCTTTGTAATTATCGACCCCGTCATCGATCGATGTGTGAAGCATTGTCTAGGGTTCAAGAAAGATTCAAGAAAAGTATCGGGTAGCTGCTTTTGGTAGACTTTATTCAGACAATCAGTTAAATTAATAGCTCTATTAGATTCCTTGACCCCGAAAACCCCCGGCTACAAATCTACAGCTAAATATCTTACAGCTGAATATCCCTATGGAAATTAGAAGAGGTATTCTTTGTGTTGCAGCACAATCGCTCGCCATCTGGCAAACGTCCACGATGGATAGCTGTTTCCTTTTGATCTCCGTATCTCATTTGGGCCTTATTTCAACTCACCACAGTGTGCCCCCTTTCGATCAAAGCTTCAGCGATTTTCCCATTGAAAGAAACATGAGAATATGCCAGTGTTGGGACGTACATCAGAATATTCAGTCCATCGATTGGACGATCGAATAAAATGAGAAAAACAAAGAGAATTTGGAGGAAATCGGAGAAACGAAAGCGACATCGCATTGTTGAATGGAATGATTGAGATCGAGTCGAGGTACTGTGATTTTCTAAAACTAAAGCGTTAAATATTTTCTAACGATAAAAGCGATTCAGGGAGAGTATAAAGATGAAATTTTTGAATAATAGAAATGAAAAATAGACAAAAATTAATAAGAATAAGAAGCGATATGGAAAAAATGTCGTATTCTCTCTAATAGTAGTGAGCGTTGCCTAAATTGCTCAAATCTCGAAAAGCGCTTATCAGAACCTATCGATGTGGGATCGGAAAATGTAGCTGACGATGAGATCTTGTGGGGGATTTGAGTGTTGAGCTTCTGCGAAAGATTTGAAACCGTAAAATAGTCATCAACTCGGCTCGGCAGGTGCACTGGTGCACTACTATTAGAGAGGATTAGGTATCTAGGTATCTGAATTTCAATTGAAGTCAATTCAAGTGACTGATTGACTTGGATTAGCTAGGATTACTGTAAAATTGCCTAAATTTTTGACTTTTCTCTAATAATCTCATTTCTAAGCTTTCAAAAATTTTCTTTAACAAGCTAAGTCATTTTAGAGTTCAGTTTAATAAAGGAAAACTGGTTAAATTTGAAATATAAAACGATTAATGGTAAGAAAATATGACTAAGAATTGGAGATTTCAAAGTCAATCCACAGAAATCTATAGATGTTCATAACTGGCTTCGAGTGGTGTTGGAGTTGGAGTTACCGGTCTCGACCCGCCTCCCTTTCTTTTAAAATGACCCCTCACTTTTCGGTAATGATCCGATTCCTTTCTTCTTCTTCCTTTCTTCTTCCTTTCTTCTTCTTCTTCCTTTCTTCTTCTTCCTTTCTTCTTCTTCTTCTTTTCTTCTTCTTCCTTTCTTCTTCCTTTCTTCAATCCTTCCACTCCTTTTCACTTGCAATATCCATTCATCCATCCATATCCCCTTTTCCCCTTCAACCATTCTCCTTTCAACGATTCTCCTCATTCACTCTCGAAATCGTCTCCTCCTATTTCCTTCCCATTCTGCCAGTCTATACTAGACATAGAAAAATTCCAATCCGAACCTAATTCCATCTTCGTTTTCTTAGCCGATTGCTCTGAAATTTTGTCTACAGATAGAAATCGACATTTTCAGTCAAGAAAACGAAGATGGAATTAGGTTCGGCTTGGAATTTCCCCCATAATCTATCCAAATAATTCTTCAAACCATTTTCAAACACAAAAACATATAGTGAATCATAAGAACGGAGATTAAATCACAAAAATCTTGTAAAAACTCGAAAGTTTTGTTGAAAAATGAAGAGTAACAATGGTTTAGATACAAGTCCTATAGAAGATCATCGATTCAAACTAAAGAGTAACAAAATGAACCCATTAACCCATTAACCCATTAGTGGAGTGGGTTTCGAAAAAGAAAAGATTGATTTCGAGGGAAAACACTTTACAAGTACTCTCCTACAAATTGAGAAAAGGAAAATGAAAATGGCAAAAACTCTTCCAATTTTCTCTTTCTTCAAACCTCATTTCAATGCAGAAATCGAAAGGATAGATCAAAAAAAAAAAGAGATTTAACACAAATCCAGATCAGTTGGCAAGAAAAGAGACAAATAAAAAGTATATAGAACAAAGCTACAGCTCTATTATCAAAAAGAAATTTGAGTTTGGATTTTGAAAGGTTTTGAAGGTTCAAAAAAAACCTAAGACATTATGGACACAATAGAGTAATTATTCTAGAGAAAACTTCAGGCTTTTGAAAGAGAAAACTGATTTACAATTTGTCACAATTCTAAAAGAATCAAGCCACAACACTCTCAACTCACTCACAAAGAAATCACACATTTTTTTCGATTTTTCTACAAAACTAACAAATTTTGCAAAAATAGACAAAACTTGATATGGTAAAGACTAAAAGTTTTGGAAAAAATCTTGATTATTTGCTTGAAAAGTTCTATTTAACTAACAAAAAAAAAGGCCTCACATTTCAAAGATCGTTCACAAAGAACAAATCGATAAGTTGTGCTGAAAACTTCTTCCTCACCCACCATACGGCCCTGATCTAGCCCCATCAGATTACCATCTCTTTCGGTCAATGAAACAAGCAGTTTCTGCTCAGCAGTTCAAGCAAAAGCAGGACATTGAAAATTGGGTTGCCAATCAAAAAAACTAGAATGAGCTCAAAGAAATGCTCAAGAAATGACGAAAGCAAAGTTGAAAGGAGACACGAAATTTCCCTTTGATTTCACTCGGGAAAAATTTTGAGAGAAAAAGGCATTACTCTCCTTTTTATTTCCCAAAGTTTTTGAGAGAATTCTTTCATTCTTTCATTCATTTTTCTCGGTTCTCTTTATGAAAAATTCCTCCATACTTTGGCTGATAGTTGATAGAGAAAAGTCGAGACTAAAAGAACAAAATGGAAAAATAAAAGGGACAATTAAATGCGACATTGAAGAACAGCAGTTGAATGGATTGGGGAAATGAAAAAATGAGTTTACAGCCTTAATAGTAAATAGCGTGGCATTTTTTCCGGGCAAGCCAAGATCAGACAACGTCAGAAGCCAGGTTCTAGCTCACAGAGACTGACTCTGTCATTCCTGTCTATCAGCTGTCATTCCTTTTGTTTAGACTTTTGCTTGATAGGCCACAGTTCTAGCCTAGCTCTTAGCCTAGATCGGCTACAATAGAATACAATAGAATGGCTTAGTCTGACTTAGTCCGGGAGTTCAACAACCTTGATAGTGGCACTGAATGATTGAATGATTGATCTCACAACAAAATCCATGACCAGTTTTCCAGAGCTTTCTCTACTACGGTAAACTTAAGTGTTAGCTATAAGTGCTACGGTTTTAGAACAGCTCAATAAATGACTTAAATGTTGTTTCTTTCAGAGATCAATCCCTTTTCATTCATCACGAATTTCCCTTTTCCTCACTTTCCCTGTCTTTTTCTTTTCCCCGTCATCTTTTTCTCTTCTGAATTGAGGCTAATTTGATAGAAGATTAACCTAAAAAAAAAGCTATTTTCTTTTAGCTTCACTCATCACTCGACCTTCATCTGAAGTTTCTTCCGAAAGAAAGAAACAAAAGAGAAACAAAAGAAAAGCATTTTCAATGATCAAGTAAGATTACAAAGAACTAGAACAAAGAGATTTAGAAAAAAATATACACTAAATAAGCAGAGTGCTTGAGTACGCCAGAAAGAAAGCGTTCGTTTTCGTAAAGTAAAGCTTTTGCTTGAACTGCTGTTCAAGCAAAAGCAGGACATTGAAAATTGGGTTGCCAACTATTTTGGCTCTAAAAATCTCCAGTTGGCAGGATGGCATTCGTGATTTGAGTTATTTGAGTTGAAAAGAAGTTATTTAGTTATAAAGAAGTTATTTAGTTATAAAGAAGTTATTTAGTTATAAAGAAGTTATTTAAAGAAGTTATTTAATGCTTGTTATTTATTTAATACATTTCATTTTGAAAGTCTTTAAATAAATTTTTTTGTTATGTTAAAAATGATTAAAATTAACCTTTCATATTAGTCAAGCTAATACACAGTGAACCAGTACACAATACACAAGTACAGAGTCTAGTATCACTATTGTTTGATGAGGGAAAGATACGGTTTATGAAAGCCCTTTTAGAGATTTGCATTCATGCAATGATCTATAGTGTCTCTAGATGTCTTTAGATGTCTCTAGATGTCTTTAGATGTCTTTAGATGTCTTTAGATGGATCTCCATCTCATCCATTCTATCCAAACCACTTGGAGAAAAGGGGAGTGATCAGAAGGAGGGGTGGAATGGCATCTCCTTCAAAACCATTCACCTCCCTCTTTCCTTTACAGACAATCCCGTTAGCACTTGATTCCTCTTTCTTTTCAATCTTTCTTATCCATTTTTTCTTTCTTTTAAAAACGTTTTAGAATTAAAGCAGCTATAAAATTTCTGTATCAATATCTATTTTGATCTAAATTATGCGATGCATGATCGTTGGTAAGTCGATTTATTCATATTGATATTAGATTAAAGTTTTTACCGTATTTCTTCGAATAGAAGACCGGGTAAAGAGTATGGCCGCGTACTCCTGCGTAGCAGCCCTTCTTTTCTGCATAAAAGCTTTCAATCAAGTGCTATAGAGCTGGAAAATGGCTCAAAAATCTGTTAGCTCATGTCGTATTTTTAAGTCATTTTCCAGCTCTATAGCACTTCATTGAAAGCTTTTATGCAGAAAAGAAGGGCTGCTACGCAGGAGTACGCGATCATACTCTTTACCCGGTCTTCTATTCGAAGAATGACGGTATATAGAAATATTACTCTAGCAATAGCAGTACCTCATCATAACTATAGTTTTACTTCAAAAGAATTCAGCCAATAAGAAAATACTAGCTATTTCAATTTCAAACTTCATTCATCTTTACAGAACTAACTTCTTCTCTACCCTATTTATTATATTTATTCACTTTCATATCAGCCAATCACTTCCCATCAAATTCAAGAGTTACTCGATCAACAGGTCACACATTCTAGCAACTATTTATCAATCAAAATTCTTCTAGAAAATGTAGAAAATGATCCAGACGCTTTCCCGAGTGGTGTCATGTCGCCGCATGGAGAATGTTTTGGGGAATATCGAACGGGATTCATGCGCACATCGGGTTTACTTGATCAAAAACCGAGAATAGCTGCAAAGGTACTGATAAAATGAATAGCGCTAATCGATTCTTTGATCACGCCTTGGATCAATTTGATAGCTGAATATCTTCTTTCCCTTGACCCCAGGGGACAAATTTATAGCTGAATATCTTCTTTCTGATCTAGCATCTACAAAGCAAGACAAAAATCTCAATTAACTGGAGTGATGTTCTTTATGCACAAGCACAATCGCTCGCCATCTGGCAAACGTCCCCGATAGATAGTCTCCATTACGGGATTTTTTAGCAACCCCTTCCTCGCTGCCTCGATTCATGTCGGATAAACGTTTCGCCGCTATCTAGAGATCATTTTCCGTGTCAGGTCAGATATTCCCCCAAATTCTTTCAGTTCTCTGATATCAATTTCAGAGTTTCAACGTGATCCCCGGTCGAATCCCAATGTGTGAATTCTTTCATGTCGATAAAAACGAGGTGAATAGAAGAGATTTCTCTTGATTTCTCTTGAAAAAGAGATGAAAATTTTGAAAATTTCTCTTCAAAAACCCCAATTTTCAGCGTTCCTCCGAAGAAAGGCATTGGAAAGAGATTGATTTTGGGTATTTCTATGAGAAAACTTGTTTCAAGTGAGTTTTTTTTTGTTGTTGCAGAATTCCCGAATTTTTTATGAAATCAAAAGCCTTTGAAATTGTTGAGTTACCCAATTTTTCCAGAATCCCAAAAGAATGCGAGCATCAGGCGTTCATTTTTGATTTAAGACGTGACTTTCGACTAAAAACTGTAAAGAAAATTGTGAGTTTTTTTTTTTTAAAAAAAAAAATACCGACTGGGGCTACCAGTGGTGAATTTATCGCATACACGAAATATATCAATCACAATACAACGACACACACAATACTAGGCTATATCTTAACTTAACCCACGTCATGACAGACGGCTCCCTAACCCTAAGCTCAATGGGGAACTAAATAGCTTTTTTGGTGGTGAAGGGAAGATGACGATGAAGGAGTGGCTTGTCACTTTAAAGAACTGGGGCCACAACCACCAGGCTGCCCTCCAGAAAACCTCTCAACCCGAAGGGAAAGGAAATCCGAAGGGGGTGACCATGTCGCATGTGGGGTTCGAACCCTCGACCTTCCGATTAAGATAAAAGACACTTAACCAGTCAGCCACACGTGCTCAATTTTTAGATCAATAAATTTTTAGCTTCCCGATGTTTCGACAGAATCGGAATGTGAAGAGAAATGTTTGGAGAATTTCTGTAAAGCCGGCGAATTCGATCACAATACAAGGTTTATACTATTTTTTTTTTCTTGATATAGTGCTTCCAAGCTACCGTAATCTGTTTAAAATGTTTTTTTTTAAAGCTGGCAATGCTACAGTACCTAAATGAGCACAGTTTATTTCTTGTAGTCGTCAATTTACAGAAGTTGTGCTTTGTACGAAGTGACAAGACGCGAGAATGAAGGAGAAACGGCAAAAGGAGTCAACTATTTCGAGAGCGCGTGCAATCCAGGTAAATCAAGTAAAATCGAATTTCTTAACCTATGCGCTTGTCAAAAACGATTTTTCTCGATCAGATCGATGCCAGTCTTGGACCTGGACCTGGGTCTACCAATCTAGAATCTAGCAAACTAGCAACTAACATTTTTTTGTTAGTTAAGGTTCATCCAAATGATTTATGATCTGAGCATTCTAAATTTAGCATCCAGCTCTTTTTCTATTAGATGCTGTTCCAGCCCTAGCTTCTGATTGAGCTCTGATCTTTTCCTGATCTGATTTACAGACTCTAGGATCCAATTGAACTACCCTGTGGGATTTTATTCGATAGAAAACTTGATCAAGCAGATTTTAAAGCCAGAATAAGGCTGACTGACTTTAAATCCCGTTTTGTGAAGCCCTTTTATATTTATCCAACTTTAGACAAATCTCGTTGCCCGGGTGGTCGAGTGGATTTCGTGATGGCGCGTCATTCTGATGTCGCTTCTTTTGGGGTTCAATCTGGTGATTTACATAAAGCATAAGAAAACAAAAATCCTAATCATCACCTCGCTTCATTTGTTCATCTTTTCTCCTAGGTTCTCGGTCGATTCGTGATTGTATGCGTGAATGTGTCTCATCGGATTTCCTCTTTTGTCGCTCACTTCAATACGATCCAAAGACGAATGAATGTTTCATTTCAGGTCCTCTTTTGCATATAATAAATGTAAAAGATGAATTCCAGAAGATGCCTCCGAAGTCGCCGTTCCGTCATCCGATCTTGATCTTTTTGAGCCGATCTGTTTACCCCAACAATCCCCTATCGATCAACATTCGTGCAATCGACCGTACGCCTTCGAGAAGCTTCTCACGACGAAACTTCTTTACACGAAAGAGATTCAAACGCTTTACAGTTTGTTTTTTTGGTTCTATAATATTTTTTTTGGTTCTATAATATTGTTTTTACTTGTTCCAGCTTCTCTTTGAGAATCTGATTAGTCATAGCTTTTCACCGTATCAAAGTACTCATCCATTTCTTCTAGATCAATCAATCGAGATCTGTTTGAGTGGTTGTGTTGAGGAGTCTCAATGTCGAGCCGTTAATTATGATGTTCGACGAAAGGATTGTCATCTTTTATTGAATGAGAGAAGGGTGCAAGGGACGAGGACAGGCAAAATTTTACAAGAGAGATTCTTCATTTAATTTCTTAGATGTAATCCAATGCGATAAATATCCTTTCAATCATAGTATAGTAGAAAAATGAAGATATTTAATCAGCTATTAAACTTGAAATGTCTTTAACTTCAGCTAAAAAGCTTCAGCTTCAGCTAAACTTTACTTTTAAAATGTTTATTAGACTTGTTCATTAAAATAATGAAAAATAGATTAAGAACAACCAAAACTAGATCTTTCAGAAGCTTTAACTTCTTTGAAACGTTTGTAAGATCAAACTTTACTTGAATCGAAATCGTTCTTGTCTGCTGTAAAATTTATTTAATAAATTTTACAAGAGCATTTAGCCAATGATGAAAACTTTGATTACTACGAGGTGGCCTGTGAGGGGATTGAGAGGACAAGTGAGGGGACGGTGTTGATTGGACCGGAGAAGACATTAGTGTATGTTTGGAAATCGATGTCTTTCCCTTTTATGATCAACTTGAGTCGTTTATTTCTTAAAAGACACCTATTTTCGAAAGCTACCGTAGTCAGTTTCCATTCTATTGGCCAAATTTTCACATTCGATGAAGAATCACAAGGCTCATTCAATGATTCAAAAATTCGGCTGATCGGATGGAAACTGGCGGTATGGTTATAGTAGTTTTGAAGAAATAGGAAACTTTTAGAAAACAGAACGCAATCTAGACAAAATTAGAGTTCTTCTTTGCAACTAATCCCTTTTCTAAAGTGTGCCAACTTTCTCGACTATCGTAGTATTGCTAAATCCAATCAATTTTTGGATCTTTTGAGATCTTTTATAGACCCTCAAAAGTAGAAAGATTGTAGAAAAATTACGGTAGTAAAAATTAAGACGCTTTAGAAAACATATTAGTTGGTGACGAGCTGCAAGCCTTTTTAGCCCACAACACCGTCAGATTCAACACGTTCACATCGCGACCTGGGACGAATGCAAACAAGCTTGTCAACGGGTGAATTTCGAATTAGAAATTAATTTTAAAGAACTAGGCTTTAGCTGACTGGCTTTGACTGATTGGCTTTAACTGACTGGCTTTAACTGACTGGCTTTGACTGACTGGCTTTAACTGACTGGATTTAACTGACTGGCTTTAGCTGACTGGCTTTGACTGACTGGCTTTGACTAAAGAACATTAGCAAATTCTTAATCAACTTTAGATTGATAGTTTTTAAAATTCTAAAAAACGAGAAAGAAAATTTCTTGAAGATCTTTGAAATATAGCTTTTTTAAAAGATCGTTTTTAAATATCGTTTTTAAAGTTCCAAAATTTCCTTTCTTTAGGCAGTCTTCGGTTGTCGAGTTTTCTCATTCTCAGCCACTCTATCCGAGTGTCATCTCTCAGCTGATCTCATCGAAAGATCCGATGATCAACGAATGGAAATCAACGTCGATTTTGATGTGTTTATTTTGGAAATCAAAGAGAAAACAGGTTCACTCGTTTTTAGACACATCGCTAACTCATAAGTAATTGTTGTTTTTGAGGAAATTCTAAAAGAAATTTTACAATCTTATGTGCAAATTTTACTATGATATTTTAACAAATAAAGAACCGCTTCTAGATTTAATTTACCTTTCTCAGATCCAAGAGACGACGCCGATTTCTCCACGCCTCCAATTGTCCCGAAATTTCATCATCCAACACTCATCCAATCTCGAAATCGCCAACAAGCTGAAACGGTTGGAAAAGAAGACAAATCGATTGAGGAAGAGAAGACTTTTGAGACTTCAAATGTGCATTTTCAAGCTTACAATACTTTAAACTATCTCCTATTTTACAGATTCAAGAAAACTTCTCCGCAATTCCACCGCAAGTCTTTCGCCGAACCACAAAACAACCGGAAACCGTTGAGGAAGCTGGTTAGCTTTGGTTTTTATGAAAATTTTCTAAAAAAAACTTTAGAAAACGCCCTTGATGAGGAGATTTTTGCGTCATCCGCCTCTCAATCGGAACTCTTTCCAACAACAGAGGAAATTGAAAAGGATAACGGTTAGGGAATTCTTATTTAAAGAATTGTTTTGTTATTTAGGGAATTGTTTTAAATGTTAAAACCAGTGAATACAAAGAATTTCCTAAACGAATCGTTAATTTTCAATCATAACTTTAGAGCCAACTCTTCTAACGATCGATCCATCAGTCTTTGATGAAACTACAACATCAGCATTTCGGAATGAGGTTTAAATGAAAAAGAAAAATTATCGTAATGTCTGAAGTTAGATAAAAATTCATAAACATCCATTTTGAAAGTTTGGATTATCGTAGCTAGGGTATAAAAAAGAATTCTGGGTACTTGTGGAGTATCCGGGGGTCTTTCAATATCCGGGGTGGTAAAATTTTAAGATCCGGTGGGATAAAATTTTATATACTTTATATACGAGCCCTTTTAAAGATATTCAGCCGCTTAAGTGATTTGGTGGCAAATTCCCTTCAAATGTAAAGATATTCAATTTATTCGAGGTGATTACTTGATTATTAGGTTGGTGCAAAAGAAATTTCGGTCGATATAAAATGTTCTTATTTTTTTAATCTGAAGAGCTTATTTGATGTTCTTTTGTGCATTTGTACTCTTGGATATTTACTTTATTTTCGCATTTTTTCAAAGTCAGAGCTTTCACTTTTTAATTGATTTTTGCTTTAGATCATGGTGGATCAAAAGTATGTTCTGCGCACGTGTCTTCTCTATGACTTCAAAATGGGCAAAAACGCTGCTGATTCACATCGTGATCTCTGTTCCGCCTTTGGAGAACAGGTTATCACCGAAAGATCATGCCAGCTCAGGTTTGCCCAATTCCGAGATGGTAATGAATCCCTTGAAGACGAATCGCATGGGCATCGTGCCACAGCCATCGACAACAATGAATTGGAACAATTAATTGAAGCTGATCCAATGCAAACAACACGAGAACTTGCCAAACATCTCCAATGTGATCATTCAACAATTGTACGCCATTTGGAAATAATTGGAAAGACAAATCGTAATGGACAATGGGTTCCACATCAATTGAGTGTTGAGAATCTGGGAGCACGCGTTCCGATCAGCCATATCTTGCTCCAGAAGTCGAAAAGAAGCCATTTTTTTTGAGAATATCTTGACGATGGATGAGAAGTGGATTCACTTTGATAATACTTCTCGAAAAAGACAATGGCTGAGCAAAGGTCAAGCGCCAATTCCAACTCCAAAGCCGGATTATCATGGGCGCAAAGTGATGTTGTCTTGCTGGTGGAATATCAATGGACTTGTTCATTTTGAATTATTAGAGCCCGGAAAAACAGTCGATTCATCTTATTTTATTCAACAACTCAAGAAGGTTGACGAAATTTTGCGTGAAAAAGGCCTAAATCCCTCAACTATCAACTTTCTCCGTGATAATGCTCCAGCTCACACGGCAAAAACCTCTTGTAAGGAACTAGAGAAGCTAGGATGGAAGGTCTTATCACATGCGCCGTATAGTCCAGACTTAGCACCCTCCGATTTTCACCTTTTCAGATCGATGCAACATTCCCTTGAGAATTGCCAGTTTAAGAATGCAAAAGAAGTCGAAAATTGGGTGACCAACTACTTTGCATCACAGAATCAAGCGTTCTTTGAGAAGGGGATCCGCAATCTGTAGCAACGTTGGAGGGATGTCATAGATAATAATGGTGCTTATTGTTTTAAATAAATTGTTATCAAAAAAAATTTTGGATGACTTTAATGTTTGTAAAAAAACGAAATTTCATTTGCACCAACCTAGTACGTGATTCGAGGTGATACTCGATCAAAAAACGTAAATTCTACAAAAATTTTTTATGTCATTATTAGAAATGTTGATACTATCCTAGTTGGCGGGTCACTTTTTTTCTTCAAAACCATTTTTTGGGGTAGTTTTATGTGTTGATGTTTGGCCTCCTGGCCTAGAAGTAAATTCGATAGACTTTTACAAGTAGTATTCATTGTCACTGTTACAAATAGTCACTGTTGTACTTCACAAATTTATTTAATTATTATGTTTGGTTTATGTTTATGTTCTTGCATTACTCGTGCATCTTGTTTACCCCGGATCTTAAAATTTTACCACCCCGGATATTGAAAGACCCCCCGGATACTCCACAAGTACCGAATTCTGATATATGATAAACAAGATTCAAATTTTCAGCGCTTCCAACCAAGGAACAAGGTGAAAATCTTTGGAGGAAATAATTTCCCACAGAAAAGTCATGAAAATGAGAATGAGAATGAGAATGAGAATGCGAATGAAGAAGAAAACGAAGAAAGTACGACAAAACAAAAACAAGTGATATTCAGTGAAAAGGTTTCTTTGAATACTTTGAAATTAAAGAAACTTTTAAGGAAGAAGCCGAATTTCTACCCGACGAACAGCTGAATTCATCGTTTCTCGGTAAACCCCGCGAGAAATCCCAACCACCACCAAGGTTTTTCTTTTGTATATAGAGAAAAATACAGTCAGACTATTTTAAGTAATTAGTTTTTGAATGTGAATCTTGTTAGTTACTATATTGCTTTGAATCTTCATGATTTAGACGTTTACCTCAAGTGAATGACCCGGAAACGCTTGAGATGATCGGCGAGTCGATGCCAAGAGTAAACTTTAAATTTCTTATTTTAACACTTATCTAGTGAAAAGAAATTAAATTTGAGTAAAAAAATCAAGAATTTTTCTGATTCAGGTGATCCCGTTGACGGCAAATGTAGGCCATGTTCCTCCCGGATCGCTTAAATCGAGAGCCGAATGTCACGAAAATGGAGTGAATATCACGTTTGAAGTGACTGATGCGGAAAGTGTAAGTGATGAGATTTGTATTTACAACTGTCCTTTAGGTGATCATGCAACAAATTTTCTAATTTAATTCAAAAATTTCAATCCAGGACTACACAGGAGCCGTCTATGCAGCCGAGCGTTTCTCCCAGTGTCGGGTTTTCGTCAAATCGGCGAAAAGGTTCTCGATTTTTGTGCCCCGACCCGAGCACAACACTTGGTGTAACGCGTTGGAAGTGGTGAGTAAAGGAAAAAGGTTATTTTCCTTTCAAAAACCTATTCAAGGATGGTGTGCTATCGGTGGTGATCGTGATGTCGAATGATCGAGTCCTTCCGCACGATGTTACAACAAAAGATGATCTATTCTATCAAGTGATCTTTTGCTGTCATTTGCCGTTATCAGCTATATAGCTTTCTTTCTAATTTCAATTTTATCTCTAGGTCACTTGCAACTATTCATCGCTTGAGGTGAACGAGGTGCAGAAAGGGCTTGTCGTTGGGTGAGGAGATTGAAAATACTGTAAAGTTACAGTACAACAGAGTACACTACAGTACAGTACATTGTGCACAGTATCCTAGTAGCTTAGCTTTAGAATTTGAAAGGATACTCAGTCTGTCAACATACTGTACCTGACTGTTACCACATCGTTAAGCGCCAACTTTTTCACTTTTCACTTATTTAGCGGCCCTTCTCCAATCTCGATTCGCTCTCGTCAATCTCGTTCATTTTCTCTTCAAATCATGCAAGGAAATCAGCCAGTGGAGAGTGTTTTTATTGGGGAAAAGTTGAGAGCAAGAGTGCGAAGCGATACACCAGGTGAGTGTTATGAAATCAAGAATTTGAGCATAAAACTGGAGCACAAGTTTCGAGAAAACTAGAGAAACTAGGTTTCTAAATTGTCTACTTCTTCGGATTCAAATTATCCAAATCTTCAGCGAGCCGTCTTCGCGTCACCGAGTGTACAGCAACTCGCGTTGGTGGACAAGCGGCACCAGCAACCGTGCAACTCATCGCTGATGGGTTTGATTGAAAGGAGTGTATTAAAGAGTGATATTTGGCCTCTAGCTGTGCTTTAATGCCCTCAATTATGGGTCCAATGCGTTTGGAGGAGAGCGGATGGGAGGCCACATTGAACGCTTTTCGAATTGATGGCTCGGAACAGGTAACAACTGGACAAATAGACGGATTATCGAACGGTAGTCAACTTTTCAAATATCTCTCTTTTAGATCGACATCGTTTGCCTGGTTGTCGTTTGTCAGGAAACGAAATGCCCGGAAGCAAATGTTTACGCAAAATCTGATTTTTGATATGCAAATTTTCAGTTAACCTGTCTCCCAGCGGCAACAAGACCGACAAGATCTTTGCTTCATTCAGCCATCGGAGAATCAATTCAAGTGGATAGTCGATTAGAGGTCAGAGAAATGATGTAAAATGTTGTGAAACGAATTCTAGGTACTAGGCGGTGATCGTGAAGCGTTACACAGACCCTCACACGAATATTTTCCTGGTAAAACAAAAGAAATGACAAAAGCAATCATAGAAAACAATTTAGAGCTCTGTATTCATCCCTCTGTCTATCTTTCTTTGCTCACATTTGGCGCTTTCTGTATGATCTCTCTTGGCTTCTGTTTGTGTTTCAAGAACAGAAAACGAAAATTTATGAGAAGTTTTGTCGATCGTGAAAGGTTTTTTGTAAGGAAAGAACTTTTTAAAATATGATTTCAGTGATTTTAATGATCTTCCCCCGCCTAACAACCGATATCGTCGACAGCCATCAATGTGATTCAAAGTTCATACAAATTAACAAATAAATATTTAGTTATTCGGGAAAAGTCACCATCACAATGCAATGATCCCAAAGGCAATTCTTTCAAATTGAAAACAAACAAAGGAAAACTAAAAATATTTTAATGTTTTGAGCAATATTTATCTCGTTAGTAAAAGGTATCGTCTTCGCGTCGTTCATTTATTCCTTTGTGTATTGCGTCTGCGACTTGGATGTCTTGCTCGGCTCCTCAGTCACCAGTTCCCTCCATTCCTCGTTATCGATGGTGGGAGCCTGAAAAGAAAAAGTTAAGAATGAAGTACAAAATTTTCCATGAATCTACAAGAAAAGTTACCTTATCAATTCCTAGTGGATCATCCTTGAAGAAAGTTGTTAAATCCTCCCACGTTGGCGGCTTCTTCTGCGCGTCGAGCACTTTCTTGAGTCGTTCCATGTTTTTCTGCTCCCAATCGTAGGGATCCGACCATTTCACTTTCCGGGACTTCATCACCTAAACAAGAAATATTTTTAGATGCACTAGAAAAGCAAAAGTTTCATTTAAAAAAAACTTACACCAATAAGTCCATCGTAGAAGATCGTGTAGTCTGGGCGGCTGTAGCAGTCGAGCGTTCGCAAGTAGGGCACGATCTTGTGCATCTCTTCTAAACTAGGCCAGTCAATGCATGAAAATCGAAACAAACTTGGGAAGTTGAGGCATAGGACGGCGTCCGGCATCTGCATCTTCATCAGCTCGATCTTCTTTTTGCCGCGCACCGTCTGCCAAGGGAGACCGCAGTGGAGTTCGATGAGAACGTAGAAGAGGCTCCAAAGGTCATCTTTTCGTCCCTAGACATAAAAATCAGTAAGTGCTAAAGAGTTACGACATACCTGTTCAAGCCTCTCGTGCACCGTAGGGCTGCAGTAGCGGAGAGTCCCTCGGAATTCGGCCGATCCACGTGCTCGTCTTGCAACCCATTTTGTGGGATCCTTTATTGACTTGAAAGCGTAAGCGCGCGAAAGGCCGAAGTCGAGAATGTGGACCATTCGAGCCCTAAAAAGAATCAAAAAATAAGCTCCAAATTATAAAGACCAGCTAATTCCAGCATGTTCCAAATCCGAATTAAAAGCTCTACCTTTCCATGTCCTCCTTGTGTCCCATGACAAAGTTGTTGGGCTTGATGTCGCGATGCACGTATCCGAAGTCGTGAACTTGTTTGATGGCGGCTAGGCACTGAATTCCGATGCGCGACCACGTTCCGGCTGACATCAATTCTCCGCGGCATTCGAGCTAAAAAGAACAAATTAGCCAAGCAATCATTAAAAAATGATATCTGATTAAAAGCACTCATCAAAAAGTGATATCTCAAAACTTTTTTACCTTCAAGTTCTTTAGGTTTTCCCCAAGGAGCGTCATGATCATGTAGCTGAATTTTGCGTGTTTCGCGGCGTGCATGACGAGCGGGATGTGTGACTTTGACCCATCTTTGTTCAGGCCTCGCAGCACGGAGATCTAAAAAGAAACATATTATCCGCATACAAGATAGAGTTAGCTCCATAAGTTAATATAGCTAGCACAAGATTTTCCAAGCTCAACAACAACCAATTTTAAATGTCCAATTCTTGCCTCCAATTTGATTGCCGATCCGCCTTCCACATCGTTTGGTTCCGCCTTCAGCGCCGCTTGCATGCTCTTGTCCTAAAAGAAGAAAAGTTACATCGGAGGTGAAATAATATCGATAAAACTGAAAAGTAAGCTTACCTCCTTGTGCTCGACCAAGTACACATGCCCAAATCCTCCTTGATCCAACTTCCGTACGATCTTGAACTTCCCGAAGCTGAAATGAAAACAAAATTAAGCAATATAGCAACTCGGGTACCGAATTTAGTCAACGGAACCGTGAAAAAACAATAGACAAGTCATTAAATAAGTAAAATTAAAACAAAATTTCAATTCTTTCAGTAATTTGATCAAAATTTTCCATATTAGCCATTCAAAAAAGACATTTAAAACTAAAACTAACGGGAGCAAGCGCTAAGCAAGCGGCAACAAAACCGTTGCATATAATAACCGGTCAAAAGTTGGCAAAGAATAAAATTATCAAAAAAAACTCACCACTTGCCAGCTTGAAACTTTGCCGCAGGGTTGTTTTCGTCACCCATTCGATTTGCGTTAAGAAGACGTGGTTAGAAGAGAATGATGGGTTGGCCATCGATCCGATCGGGTTAACAAGGGCCGGTAAGTGCAAATTTAGAGACTTTCAGACGATATGCAAATTAATAAAGGGTAATTTTTGGAAGGATCTCTAGAGTGAAACGCTACGGTAGCTTTTTCCAAAAGTGCGCTTTTTAGAAAACGTTAGTCAAGTAGGACACAGTGATATGACTCGCTTTTTGCATCTTAGAAAACAGATTTTGTTATCTGAAGTATGTCTTCAACGTTCAGGAAACAAATGCAACAGGCTAGATTTAACTTTAAAAAGGTTACGGTAGCTTCTTTGAAGCGCCGGGGCGATGATCGGGAAGCACTACACGAACCCTCACATGGATATTTTCCTGGTAAAACAAAAGAAATGATAAATGCAGTAACACAACCAAAAAAATTCAGAGCTATGTGTGCATCCTTACTCACATTTGGCGCTTTCTGTATGATCTCTCTTGGCTTCTGTTTGTGTTTCAAGAACAGAAAACGAAAATTTTGAGAAGTTTTGTCGATCGTGGAAGGTTTGTTGTAAGGAAAGAATTTTTTTAAATATGATTTCAGTGATTTTAATGATCTTCCCCCGCCTAACAACCGATATCGTCGACAGCCATCAATGTGATTCAAAGTTCATACAATAAATGCAACTCCTCAAAGATTCTTAGATAAATGTGCTTTTGCATCCAATGTCGTCAAAATTCACCACTTTTATTACATTTAACGCTAGATAAAGCCGTTATTAGATAAGAATGAAGAAGTTATTACTAGTTTGACCAAAAATAAACGTAGGAAACACAAAATAAGAACATGTTAATAAAGTATCCACAGAATTGAAAACAAAAACAGTTAGCATGATACAGATAATAAATTATTAGCGAACTAAGTAACAAACTATATTTCCATTCGGCGTCCCTCGATACTCACACCGACAGCTCTTCCAAACTTTGTTTTTCGAGTGCGTTCTTTGAAATCCCGGGCAGCACGGTCCATTCGTCCCAGCTCACGCTTGCCAGCACCCTTAAATAAACATTGATTAAAGATTGAAAAATTTTAGATTTCAAAAAGTTGACCTTAAACTCTCCTTCGACGTTTGATTTGGGCCTGACGACATAGTCAGTTTTACTAATTTTGGGCACTCTAGCGCGACCGATGAAACCCTGTAATTTACCATATTATTTTACTATGCACCATATTAACCATATTAACATTACCTTATCCCCTGGAGCAAGAGTATTTCCCTCAGAGTCTTGTGAAGTTGATGGGCCAGCTTCATGACTAAACATTTTTTTTGCAAATGCTGTGAGTATCGGTAAACCTTTCCCTTCTTCGCTTGATGTTTTCTGGCATGTGCTCATAGTCACGTTGAATTCGTTCGTCCCGCGAGAGGGAGGCAAAATCTGTTGTCAACTAAACGACAATAACAGCTTTTTTTACTTAAAGCTTACATTGAAAATCGGACGTGCCCATTCACCAATAAGCCTTTGGGCAAGAAGTTTATTGTCCTTAGTTTCTTTGGGGTGCTTGAAGAGCATCATAACAGCCTTGCCAAGCCCAGATTGACGAAGCGTTCCCTGAAACGAAGATATTTTATGTAAACAAGGAAAATAAAAACCTGCTCTAGTCGATACGATTGAAGTAATTTAAGAAGCGATGTCCTAATCTCAAGGCAAGGAAGGCTTTTGTCAGGAAGTGGCGCTAGCCATTCACTAAAAATTTCCTTTGATTTTATTAAATAAAATCCATTTTACCTCAGAATTGACATCATTCCCCCGTCAAGCATAGCTTCCATCATGTCAAGCTAAACAAACGTTTACAATTAGCTAGAAACTAAATACTCACCCGCAGAAGCATGTTTTTAACTGTAGGCAAAAGCTTGCGTTTCTTCAATGCCGGACGCCTTTCAACATTTGAATGACGATCTTCCTAGCAAAAAAAGTTCTTAAATATTTTAAGAATATGCCTACCTTGGCAGCTTGTTTCATTGACTCAACTAGTCTTGCCACTTGCCCATCATCATCATTAATAAGGTCAAATCCATCGCTTTTCCTCTTTCGGCTTCGCTTCTTTTCAGCCTTCTTCTGTCGCATCATCACGTCGAAATCCCATTCAAAGCTAAATTTTTTTAGCAAATCTGTATTAAAAATAATAATTCAATTCTGAAATTTAAAACTTTAAAAATAAATACCCGTCTTCATCTTTAGGACCCCGTTTTGGCATATCTTCATCGTCGTCATCGACAGGCTTGTCCTCTTCTTTTTCATCATCAGAGCCACCAAAGATGTTTTCGACCAAATCTTTCTAAAATACCAGAGTTTTGTAAAAAAAGACAACTACCGCCGTTTCTTCATCCCCGCTTTTTGGGCTTTTTGAAGAATCGCTGTCCGATTTGTTTTTATTTTTGTCTCCTTCATCCTCAGAGTCCTATATTTAAAAGATGATTATGAAATAGTTTTTCAAAAGTTACTTCATCGTCCGATCCAAAGATTGCTCGTCGTTTCTTGACTGGAGATTCGGTGTCACTGTCCTTGTCCTCCTGTTGAGCTTCATCTTTATCACTGACCCCATCACTTTCATCATCCGAACTCAAAATGCGCCTCTTCTTGGGCGAAATTTTTGGCTCCCTAAAGTACAATGTAAATGCGTTCTTAAATTAGCACAGACTCTTCATCATGACTGCTCGCTGGCGAGGCCGGTGGGCTCATTGATTTAGACTTTACAGGGCTTGCTTGGTCCTCGTCATTCTTGTCGACTTGTTTCTCATCATGCTCTGCAAAAGAAAATATTATCGCAAAGATTAAAAGGACAAACTTGAGCTATTATCATCTGCATCCTTGGGACTCGTGCTGGGTTCCTCTGCTTGTTGCTCGTTTGGTTGATAATCCTAAGGTTTAAACACTATCATGAAATTCGCAAAAAAACCCACATTATATGGAGACTCCGGGGCATCTGAAGTGGGAGAGAGAGGGGCATTTTCTTCGTCGATGGGTGATTGTGGTTGTGAGGCATCGGGCGAATGTGGCTGTGACGACGGGGCATCAACGTCATCCATTCGTGGTGAGGGGGTTCGATTGATCGGACTAGCATCACCTCCTTCCATTGTTTCGCACCTAAAGTAGATAGAAAACTCTTGGAACATGAAAAAGGAAAGAAATTTACAGAGAAATTGATCGAAAACAACTAGCGGGAAGGCCGTTATGAAAAAGTGACTGAGAAAAAAGGAATAGAGCAATTTTTGCACCCGTTCCATTTGTCATTTGTATTCACTCGTAGTTTTTGTTTAAAGAATTCACTGACACCTTTCTTTTGCTCAAAATCGTTTTCGAAAACTTTGTGAAATTCATTGCGGCTAAAAATATTTCTAATTTTAGGTAATGGAGCTGAATTTAAAGCAAAGTGGAATCGTGCGGAGGATTTGCGTGAAAAAGTGGTTTCCAACGAGAAGCGGCCTCTGGAATAAGGTAAATTTTTGTGTTTTCTTATCATTAGCGATCTAGTTCGACAACGGTTCATAGATCTTCGATTGTTAAATAACAATTAATTCAGCCAATTTACCTTTAATTCTTAAAATTTCCTTTTTAGCACACACACGAGGAATATCTCCGTGACGACATCTCTTGTGGACTCAACTCGTGCGCCGATTGCTCGACTTTTGAGTGCAAGCTCAAAAATAATTTGGGTATACTTTGCAATCAGGATGCAAACATTGAGGTACTCTTTATCTTTTTTTCTCTCCAATAACAAATTTTAGGTTCCTTCAAAGCATGCCATCATCTTCGATCAAACGGCTCTTGTTCGATTCTACGATCTACTCGATTATGACGCTTTTCAGTGAGCCTTTATGTCAAGGGCCAGATTTTAAATCAATATTTAGAAATGTCGTCATTTGTCAATCCGTTTGGAACTATGTGAATCGGAAATGCATTATGGGATACAAGAAGTTGAACACATTGATCTACGAAGAAAGAAGTCCTCGCTTCTTCATTTTCTTGAACGATTACTGCGAGAAGACGGCTAGGAAACCGGAGCCACTTGTTGCCACAGCAAAGTATCTCGACGAGCATTGGAACGGAAAACTGGAACCGATCATTGTGTGCGGAGATGAGGGCGATGTTGGAAAATACAAAAAGCTCTATCAAAAGAGCTTCAGTCTCAAGAAGTACATTGAAGGTGCGCGTATTTTTAAAGTGCTTTTTTATAGTTTTTTAGGAATGCAAAGCAAACACCGCCAGGAATTATTGGACAAGCTAGCTGCTTACGCTCCTGTTGAAGAAGGACGTGCCATCTTTGAAGAACATTGGTCAAACGAAAGAATCACGATGGGATTAGCTACCGGGGGGATTAAGAAAGGCTCCTTCCAGGTTAGTGAGACGTTTAAGTTTGCAATTTTGCGTAATTTTGTTTAAGATTTCAAGAGAGAACTATCGGGAAGGCAATGTATTCATCGAGGGTGAGGGTACACAATGGTTTTTGCAAGGAATGCATTGTAACCGAGCAATTCATGGAGGTAGGATGAGGTTTAGACATCGATATACTGATAAATCTCAGATACTGTTGCTGTACAGTTGCTACCAGAGGAAGAATGGAGTATTCCAGAAAAGGTAACGGCTATATTGTTCTCTTTTTTATGAATTTTTATAGGCTCTTCGCCTTCGTGATGTGGAAGAGTACAACTTGAATCCCGATGAAGATGAGAAAGAAAATCTTCCTGATACCGAAGAACCAAAAGCCAAAAAGCGCAAGCAAGGCGCTTTACCTACTGCAAAGGTTGGGGAAATCTGGTGATCCTAGGCAAGTTTTTTTAGGTCGTTGGTATTATCAGGCGTAATTGGCGACCTTATTGCGGTATTTTGTTGCCATCAATACGAAAAGAAGGTCGTCATCATTTGTTCTGCCCAGCTGAGCGTTTGATTCCACGAATTCGAATTGAAACGGAACAAGCCGAATATTTGGCACAACAACGTATTATGGTGGCTATTGGTATTTTTCCAAACTTGAGTAGTAGGATTTATTGGTGTTATTAGATTTCTGGCCTCGTGACAGCAAGTATCCATTGGGGCATTACGTGAGAGCGATTGGAAAAATTGGTGATCGAGAAGTCGAAAACGAGGTGATTGTTTGCTGGATGTTTTTAAAGATTGCATTTTTAGGTCTTACTCTTGGAACACGATATCCCTCACGCACCCTTCACCGAAGCCGTCTTGGATTGTCTACCCGCTGAAGGAGCTGACTGGAAACCATTCGTCAGTTTTAAATTGGTTTTGGGAAAATTGCAATTCTTTGAATGTTACAATAACGATTATCTAGTTTCATTCTATTTTTGTGAGTTTTTTGGAAAATTATTGAAAGATTACTAGATCCTTAAAGATTCATTTAGTCACAAACTCATCGCGTTGATTGTCGCAATCTGGTGATTTGCTCGGTGGATCCTATCGGATGTACGGATATTGATGGTAAGTAGAAACTTTCGTATTGATGAAAGTTTAATTTTAGATGCATTGCATTGCCGTCAGATTGATGCCGATACCTATGAGGTTGTTCTTTAAATTTCTTTAATATAATAAAAGTTTAGGTGGGCGTACACATTGCCGACGTTACTCACTTTGTTCGACCAGAAACAGCCATCGATAAAGAAGCTGCGGATCGTGGAACTACGGTAATTTGATTTCTAATCCAAATTTTCAAATTTTGTTCTAGGTTTACTTGACTGATAGACGTATTGATATGTTACCGGAATTACTCTCGTCTAACTTATGCTCGTTGCGTGGTGGTGAAGAAAGGTAGTGTATCATTTTACCATTGTAGAAATAAATTGATCGTTTAGATTCACTTTTTCTGTCATCTGGACACTAACGAAAGATGCTGATATACTGTCGGCAAAGTTTCACAAATCGCTCATCAAAAGTTCAGCTGCTCTTACTTATGAGAAAGCCCAAGAAATGATTGACAACAATGAATTGGTAACTTTGAATACAAACTATGTCTAACGTTTCTTTTCAGAAGGACGAAGTCACAACATCGCTGCGTGGGCTCATGAAACTTTCCAAACAGCTGAAGTCGAGAAGAACAGCAAATGGTGCACTGTCTCTTGCGTCTTCTGAGGTTTTAGCTATTATAATTTGATTCTAACTTTTAAAGTAATAGGTGCGTTTTGATATGGACTGGAACACTAAAACTCCGAAGGCCGTTCAAAATAAGGAGCATCTTGATACGCATTCGATGGTCGAAGAGTTCATGCTTTTAGCAAACATCTCCGTAGCTGAAAAGGTAAAGCTCGAATCATTCTATCATTCTAAATCTAATGATCTCTAACAGATCCTGAGCGAATATCCAGATTGTGCTCTTCTACGACGGCACCCGGTCCCCGCTGAGTCCAGTTACAAAGCACTTGTCGATGTCAGTATTTTAAAAACTAAAAATGTTCTGAGATTCATTATTAGTTTATTATTTCTAGGCAGCAAGGCTGAAAGGATTTAATGTAATCACCGAAAGTGGCAAAGCTCTGGCTGACAGTCTTGATAGGTAAGCCTTTTACTTGCAATAAAAAATTAACAAATTTTACTCTAGATGTATCGACAAAACGAACCCGATGACAAACACTTTGCTCCGGATGATCACGACGAGGTGCATGACCCAAGCGGTCTACTTTAGTGCTGGTTTGTTATTGATGCTCTTCCTAAAAGATGTTTATTGTTTAGGTACGATACCTGTTCCACAATACATCCATTTTGGTCTCGCTACACCAATCTACACGCATTTCACATCTCCAATTCGTCGATATGCGGACGTCATTGTGGTTGGTAGTTTGACAATCGATACACAAAAGCAACTATCGCTCAATTTTTTCAATTGATGATGCTATCTTTTAGCATCGTTTACTTGCGGCAGCTATCGCAGCAGATGACATCGGGATAGGATTGCTTAGTCAATCAAATATTCAAAGCATTTCTAAAAATATTAACATCAGGTTAGCGTTTTTCATTATAGTTTCATTTTGATTAATTTAGGCATAAAAATGCACAATACGCTGGTCGCGCTTCGGTACAACTAACCGTGTTGACCTTTTTCAAGGACCGAGAAGAGAGTTGTGATGGTTTTGTGATGGGTATTCGAGAAAACGGAGTACAGGTAATAGTTGCGGACTGTATTCAAAAGCATTGTCTCTTTTAGGTTTTTGTGCCACGTTATGGAATTGAGTCGATGATTGTGATAAAGCCAGGTGTTCAGGTGAGAAATAAAGTAATTAATGTTTGCAATAATTCCGATGTGTTTTAGGTTGATTCGGAAGCGAAAACTGTTGGTTATCAAGGAAAAACGTTGCATGAATTAGACAAAGTGAAGGTGAGTTGCGCTTTGCTTTCGAATTCTGAATAAGTTATGCTTCTAAATTTAGGTTCGAGTCCGTGTCAACTCTTCAAACATCCAAAGGCCACGCATTGTTCTTGACCTACTCGACCCAATGATTCCTGGTCTTTCGGTGGATTTCGATTTGACAAGTTCCGAAGGAATGGCCAAGGATTCGCTATAGAAAAATTGATTACTTTTTGTTAAGTTTTGATTTTTGTTATTTTATTTGTCGCTTGTTGATTTTTGTTTTCTTTTTACACGATAAAGTATGTTCGAACTTGATCTCTCGTCACTTATAAGACAAACTGAACACAGTTCAGACAAACTCTAACAAGTTGGATCCGATGACTCATTTTTGATTCAATCTCATTTATTGAAGCACCAGAGTATAAGTAGCAATTTAGAAGAAAAAGGTTCAGAAAAGTGAAAGCATAGCGGTGGATGAAATCATACACAAGAAAAGAATTAAACATCCACAAAACATTTCAATCTTTCCCCGTCGAACCATCACAAGGCCCCATTGGTGTCTGATCCTTCACCGGCCATTGCGCATTCGAAGTCTCCAACTAAATAAAGAAAAATTACAACCAAGAACCTGAAATGCTTTAACCTGAAGTTCTTTGATCTTTGCTATTTCGAGGCGTATAGCTTTGGCAGTCGGTTTGAAGACCTGAAGACAAAAAATATTTTGCTTGCAGGTAAAAGGCTAAACTCGCATTGAAAGAGCACTGCAAATTGTCGGCAATTGTCATCGTGGCCGCATTATTGTCGAATTGGCCGCAGTACTGTGGAGCCGAAAAAATGGTGACCAATCTAAATAAAGAACGGTAAAGCTATTAGACTCGACTTTCAAGATCTCGATAAGTCCTTATAGATAAGCGTATCGATAATAGATAATGCTTTAGTAGATTTCCTCTTAACTTAGGTTTTCTGGGGTAATTCGATGCGCCGAATACGAATTTCGACATCCCAGACCGATATTAAAAGTTTCAGACAACTTATCGAGATCTATGTACGCTAATCTCAATAGCTATCGAGATCTGGTCTCGATAAGGTTTCGATAGTCAAGTCTAATAACTATTCAGATTGTTCAGTAAAACGCGGGAAACTGCATACTTTCGATCGGCGAAGAATTCGTATCCATCGGCAACAACTTGATGAGCTCGAGCAATCAGATCGATGTCAAGCCTATTTAAAAAATTCTAAATTTCTAAACATTAAATCAACTTACTTCTTGCAAAATTCATGGACCACATCTTCGCCGAACACGACCGAAACTCCACGGGTGTTGGGCCTGAAGCCTGAAAATAAAACATTGAAAATCCAACTCGGTAATTGATACTAACCAGAGATTCCCTTTTCCGGGTCCGCCCACAACAAATCGATTTCGATGCAAGGAGGATTGGGCATGATTGGACGGCGGAGACCCCTTCAAATTGATGAGTTTTAAAAAATAATCTAAAACTAACCTCAATGTGTCGAAACTCTCGATATGCGCGGAAAGTCCACCATGCATGCACAACACTCGTCCACCGACAACTCCCACAATTGGAATCATGTTAAAAACATCCTAAAGTAAACATAAAAACAACAAACAACATTGAAGTGCCTACCTGGAACGTTTGCCACAACCTTTGACTGTGATATCGACGATTGCACTCTTCGAGGAACCCATAGACTTGATTCACGTTTTGGCACTCGTGATTCCCACGGAGGAGGAAGAAATGCTCAGGGTAGATGATCTGTAAAAATGATAATTAGAAAAATCCGTGAAGAACTTACTTTGTATGAGAGAAGAAGTGAAATAGTCTCGAGATTCTTGCTGCCGCGATCAACATAGTCCCCCAAAAACATGTAATTCTTGTCGGGCGGGAAGCCACAGGCATTGAAGATGCGAAGCAGATCGGCGTACTAAAGAAATTGGGTATTATAGTTTGAAGAAAAGTTTAAGCTCAATACCAATATGAAAGAAAAGAAGCTGACCTGTCCGTGAATGTCGCCAACGATGACCACCGGCGGGTCGATCTCGATGAGTGACGGCTGATTCTTGAACACATCCCTCGCTTGGACGCACATTTCCACGAGCTCCTCTTCTTTGATATAAACAATTACAATCACAGAAACAATGTTAAACAACGAACAGTGGTAGTCATTCGTCCATTGGCGAGCCCAACTCTGAGCAATCGCTTGATGAGGTCCTGAATCGCCGGGTTTGGCTTTGGTTCTGCCTAAAAGAGAGCGATAAAAAGAGAACACATTAAACACAAGCGTTCTTGAACATTTGAACAGCTTGCAATTGGAGATAGTATGACCGGGGCTTGCCGGGTTTCTTTTCTGTTGCAGGAGGATCGTTCTGTTAGCAAATTAAGGGGTTTATCGTGAAAACTGTGAATAATTCAACAAAAACTTGATGAAAACTTGTAAAAGTCAAGAAAAATCGGAAAAATTACCATTTTCGTGGCTTCTGGGAGGACCATGGTAAGCGAGAATCGTAGAAAAGACAAATAAAATGAAGAATGATGTTTTCTGCGCCACTCGCCTTCTTTTATTGGGGATTAAGTGCAAATTTTTATCAAATGCAAATTTTGGTGGGAACAAATTTGGGTACAAATTTCAAAATTACTATTTAAATTGTTTCAAGAGGTTCGATCTCGCTCCAAAAAATCTTTCCCTTTTCTACGCCACTTTATTCCGTTTACAAGCAATTAGAAAAGTAAGTTATTTTTCTTGAAAATTAATTTATTTTTTGGGTTTAGATATGGGTCCAAACAAGAAAGAGGTAAGAATTTGACGGTATAATGACTTTTTTTTGGATGGATTCATTTGAGAAGCACGACTTAAACGATATCGGCATCAAAGAGTTCAAATCGAGAAGGGCAGAGTACATCCCGGTGCCGGTCGAATTGCCCGAGGTTTATTGTTATTTCAGTTGTTAGTAAATCTATAATTTTAACTCAATCTCGCCTAGAAGTCGTTTTTCATTTCAAATTTCACTTCTCTTTTAGGGATATCAATTGGGCAAATACAAAGTGATGAAGCGAATCGAAAGCGACACCGAAATGAATTGCATCTGCGTGGTGCAGGACAAAAAGAAGGACGAGTATGCGCTAAAGGTTTTTTGTGTTAAAATTTATTAACTTATTATTTACAGGTTGAACGTTGCAATGAAAAGGAGCCAATGTTGCGCACGGAACTCTTTGTTCTTCAACAAATGGAGCAAGCCGGCAGCGAGAGGAAACACTTTTGCAAAGTAAGGCTAATGCAACTTTGACATTTTCATCTCGTCTTCAGATTTTCGATCGAGGTGCCAACAACGATTTCAAGTATATCGTCATCACACTCACTGGAAAGTCGTTACGAGTAAGGAAGCATTTTAGTGTTTCAATGATCACTTGTTTAGGCTATACGAAAAGAGAGCAAAGATCAACGCTTTTCATTGGGATGCGCGCTGTCGGTAGGTATTCAATGTCTCAAGGTAAATCTACTTTGTGTCAATGTTCACTATGAAATTTTAGGGTCTCGAGACGCTCCACGAGAAAGGCTTCATTCACCGTAACGTTCAACCATCGAATTTCTGCGTTGGACGGGCTGAATTAAAAGAACATCGATTGGTATTGGTCTATCTTTGATTTTTTAAAAATTGAAACTAGATTTATTGCCTCGATTTTGGATTCGCCCATCAATACAAGACAAAAGAGGGGAAAGTGAAGCCTAAACGCGAAAAGCCGTACACTTATCGTGGAAGCTTGAGGTTTGGTTGAAATTTATATTGTGTATCATGTACTTCTTCAGACATGCCTCTAGAAACTGCTATAAAGGTGAGGAATTGGCAAGGGTGGACGACTTGGAAATGTGGTTGTACATGGTTGTCGAGTTCTCAAAAGGATCTTTGCCATGGATGAATGAAAAGGTTTTTTATTGCGGTGGATGGGGTTTTTTTTTAAGAGATTTAGAATCCAAAAGAAGTTTATGAATGGCAAGAAGTGGCACGCAAAGATTTTGGAATCAGACAACTTTTTGGGGGTATTTTAGTTTAAAGATTTCAAAATTTAGCCTGGATTCTAGGACTTCCAGTCGAGTTCGTTGAAGTTATGAGCCATATCGATGGGCTAAAATTCGTGGACACCCCCGACTACAACAAAATCTACGGACTCCTACAAAATGCCTTATGTGTCAATGGACTTGATGTGAGTGCTAGAGAAGATTTATCACCATAATTTCATTTAGGAATTCCCGTATGATTGGGAAGAAGACAAGCCGAAACCAATGGCCGCAAATGATGTAAAGGATTCGGCTGAAAATGGTATCAATATTCGGTTTTTTCATGTTTAACTCTGAAATTTAGCTGCAAAGGCTGAAAAATGACAGTACCTCACCGTACCGCTCAAATGGTCGAATGTTTAGCAACGATTTTGTTCAAGTTTGGTTCTGAATAAACATCTTCACTTAGAACTTGTAAACTTTATCACTATGGATCTCAAAATAGAAGTGGTTTTGTCTAAATTGAGCACACATTTCTTTCTTCTTCTAGAGTCATTTACAGAGTGCTTGGCGCAAGCTGGCACTTTGCCCACAAATAAAAAATGACTGTGTCCATTTGGAGAGAGAAATAGGGAGGAAGAAGGGTCCTTTTTGGAGATTCTTCTCCCCTCCTTTCTTTTTCCTCTCCCATAGGGGTCATCCACTCTCGCATCCGGGCATCATCCAGGCTCTCCTCTGCCCAATCCCGACGTCCCTTTCCATGTCTTTTCTTGTTCCGCTTCTTTCTTTAAGCCATTCTCTTACATATTCACATTCTTTTCTTTTTCTTTTGAAGGCATGGCTCTTTCCTCGTTTTTTTAACAAATTGCTCCATTCCTTTCTTTCCAACATTTTTTCACGCATGCGTTTTTTGAAATAAGCAACTCTTTTCCTTTTTAATTCATTTTCTATTCTTGGAGTGCTCAGAGATTTTTGGGGAACTTTAATGTTCAAGTTTGAATTCTACATTGTCCATTTCATAACAAAACAATTTTGAACTTCAAATTGGAAATTTTTGCATCCCTTTGAAAGAACGGATATTTTAAGTCGACCCCCTCCCCCGAAACAGTTGTGCTTCCTAGAGTTTGACCAAGAATTTGAAAACCTGATCTCAGAAAAAAATAAGAGTTTCGAATCTCGTAATATGAAACTTTTGTTTTTGAGAAAAATGATGATGATGATGATGATGATCCTTAGTTCGGGGAACAGCGGTTTTTTTGGTAGAAACAAGGTTGAGGCTCTTTTCTAAAAGATGTCCTTAATAGAAAGCTACCGTAATCGGGATGGGATTTTCGATGGAAACAGCTAAATTAAGCCTATTTTAAGCTGCTTATCAGTCCGGCTACCGTAATCTTTATCTGGGATTGAATTAAAAAGGCAGACATAGTACGGTATCCTTTCAAAAGGGCACTGTTTAGGAGACAGGAAAGGGAGTCGTAAAAGGCGTTTTTAGTTGAAAAGGGACATTTTTTAGAGTCGTGTACTGTAAACAAGGGTACTTTTTAGGAGACAGTTGAAATCAAATGGAGTTGAAGTACAATAGCTCTTAAAAGGGGTATTTTTTAGGAAAAAAATCTTCATCAAAGGGAATGTTTTTTTTTCAACATCACTCAGACAAAATAAAAATATACAGCAAAAACATATACCTGCAATAAATATATGACGTTCTCTGTATATTGCCACGCGTCTGATGGACAAAGATAGAATCATTTTCCGGCAGTCATTTTCGAAAAGCATTTTCTTTCCCAACTTTTGACCACTACTGATGAAATACCCGGCGAGAAATGTGATTCACATTTTTTCACGGCAATCCTTTTTTTCCTGGGACTTCTTGTACAATAAAAATCAAAAAGTCCCTTGTTGATCGTTTTTCTTGAATTGCAAATTTGAATATCTATACACTCTCTGGAAATAGAATATTTTTTTGTATCCTTTCATGCCTTACTTCTTATTGGATGTTCAGTGTGAAATTGAAAATGATAACGGTACTTTGGTTGGCCATTTTGTGTCTTAAAAGGCGCGCTTTTAAAACCCTACCGTACTCTGATTGGACACTCTGTGCTACGGTATTTTGTGCATTTTAGCAAGCGACTCTTTTGTTTTCTTGAGTGTGAACTATTGTAGTTGCGATCAATGCTTTAGAAAGTAAAAGATGTTTGCTGAAAAGTGATTCGGGTAAGTGTACCTATACCCGAATCACTTTTTACAGTAATCTAGCAGACACCGTAGCTATGGTGTCTGCTAGATTACTGTAAAAAGTTAGCAACTACCGTAGTATGAAAATTACGATACTTATGGCAAGATATAAAATGAAATGGCAAAATATATCCGTTTTCAACTCCTTTATCAGTGCTTTCAACTCCAATTTAGTTTTGTTCTTCTCATTTTTTACAAATCGATCTCCATTTCCTATTCGATCAATCAAAGTCTACAGTTTTATTTGAAAAAAAAAATCTTGTACCTGTCACTGATAATTTCTTTTTTTTAAATCGACAACAACACCAAAATTTCCCCTTCAGGTTACGCACTTGATTTTGGGTTTCGCAGAAATTCCCAAAAAGGGGAAAGCTCTTTCGTCGTCTCGTTTCTCTCTCTCTCTGGTCGGAACGTGTCCGCTCGCTTTTTTTCTGGGGGAAAAGGAAGAGAGATGGGCAAAGAATTGGAAAGAACTCTTTTCCACCTCTTCTTTTTCTTCGTCAAAAGAGCGATTCGAGGAGCCGCCCCCCTTTCGGCCTCTCCTCTAGCCCCTCTGCCCTCTCGCAGTCCCTCTGTGCCTCAGTCCTCCTCACCCCTCCTCACCCCAGTCCTTCCCTTCCCCTTCTTCTTGCACCTTTCATTTCACCTCCTCTCAAATCCTTGTCCTCTTTTCCATCATTCTGCAATTAATCCGCAATTCATTGCTATTCAATTTTTGAAATTTATCACTGCTTTTTTTCTGCTTCTCCTGACTCCGATCAACTTTCATTTTCATTTTTTTTCTTCATTTTACTGTACTCCTTTTACAGTAACTTCTTTTTTCCTTCATTTACTGTACTCTTCTTGATATTTGGAGTCTCTTGATAATTACTGTACTTCCTCTAACAATCCCAAGCTACTTACAAGCCTTGTGATCGTTTCTCATACTCACTTTGCTCTTGACCCTTTTCCCCTTTCTTTTAACCGTTCTATATCTTTTATCCATTACCGTATCTTACTCTATTCTTTAGATCAATCAACTACAACTACAAAAAGTGCCCTTTTTTGGGCCAATCATGCATCCACATCCAGACACAGAGGTCGTGATCATCGGTAAGTGCCCATAGAGAAGATCTTCAACAGAGAAAATCTGCCCTTGAACTTGGCAAAATCTTTTGTGATCTTTTGATTGATCAGAATGATGATGTGGTGATGGTTGAGGGTTGATAGTGTCACATGTGATGGTTGGGGAAGAAGCTGGTTTCATCGACAACCCTCCCCACCCATTTGTCTTTCCTTCATCATCAGCCAGTCTTTCGTCTAAAACCCTTGTGCTTCTTCTTCTTTTTTTTTGTTCGTTTTCTATTCCTATATCAAATTTCATCCACTTGAAATCCTTGAGTGCCCCAGTGCCCCAAGTTGGCCCTTTTCTCAACTCCCAAACCCCAAAAACCCTTACCAAAATTCATGAATTTTTCAAATTAAGTTTAATCACAAGTTTTTCAATCAATTAGCTGCTGTGCAATCCAGCTTTCACAAATATTATAAAAGAAAGTGAAAAGTTGTTGAAATGGACGAGGAATTGTGGAGAGAAGCGTTTCATTGGACTGAAGTTTCACAATTTTTGAGTTTAAATGGAAAAATTCAAAGAAAACCTATAAAAAAAACAAATCTATATAATTCTTTTCAAAGTTTTGTCTCGTTTCTCATTTGACCTGACACAAAATAGGCGAGAAAAAAAAAACTGAGAACTCTCTCCACTTTCCCGCAATTCGATCGGTCAACATTTTTCCAATAAAATAACTTTGTCAAAATTGATTTAAGAAATTTCGCATTTCTTGTTTATCTTGAAAAAAAACATTGGTTAGAATTTCTATGCAAAAAAAAACAAAACTAAAAGCAGAAAGAAGATTTGTGTCAGAGTAAACATGAGCATAAATCTCGAGATAAACAAGGAAAGAATTCTAGAATTTGCTTTTCTTTCTTTTTAAAGAAAGAAGAGCTTTCTTTCTTTCTTTCTTTCTCTTTCTCTTTCTCTTTCTCTTTCTCTTCTTTCTTTCTTTAAATTCTCTAAATTCTGAAAAAGTAGTTGTAGAACCTCGGTCTTTCTGTTATATACTTATTGACAATCAGACTGACAAATGAACAGGATTTCGTATAGAATTTACTAAGCTCTATTCTTTCTTCCTTTCTTTCTTTCTTTCTTCCTTCCTTCCTTCCTTTCTTCCTTCCTTCCTTTCTTCCTTCCTTTCTTTCTTTCTTTAAGTTTTCTCAAACGAAGATCAATCTTCAGCTATCAATTTCCCCAATAAAAATCAACCAAATCTTTTCATCTTTTCCTTTTTGACCCGTAAATTTCGGGTGCGATTTGAAAAGAGAAAAAATCTCTCTTCAATGTCCTTGAGAAGTCTGGCTTACTTCTTTTTTCACTGGCTTTCACCGGCTTTTCCCAGGGTTCTATGGGATTTAACTTAAATAACCATTAAACAATAGACAGACCATTAAACCTCTTAATTCTTCTCCAGGCTTTCAGCCAACTCAAACCCTTTCACAAGATCTCAAAGAACTACCTTCCCACGTGTACTAGGTCATCTCAAAGATCAGTGACCATCCAAGTGTTCATTTTTCAAAACAAAACCCATCCCACTCACTCACTCACTCACATTCAATCACTCTTGCAATCTACTTTCGTCTTCCTTTCGCTTCGAAGTGTCCACCCCAATTTTTGTGCAAACATTGACCCGTTCAAGTGGTCCATCTCAGCCTTTTCCCTACTCTTTTCCTCTGCTCGATCATCACAAAAAGTGAAGAGCTTTTTTTGCGTTTTTCGGTTTCGAAGACCACAAAACCCGCTGGCGCCACGGTTTTCCTTCTCATTTTTTGATGACTTTGATCTCCGTTCTCGATTTTCGAGAGCAAGAATTTGAGTGTACTCTAGAATGTACAAAATAGAAGCGAAAGGACTACAAGATAAAGCTTAACAAGTAGCATAGACAAGTGTCCGATTTTGAGCTGGATTTGAGCCTGGAGAGCTAGCTAGAGAGATGTGACTAGCTGAAAAATCCTAAATATATCCAATTCATAGCCTGGGTCTAGGTCTAGGTCCTAGGTGTAGGTTGGATTTGTGCCTGGCTGAAAGTAAAAGAAGCATATCAAACTGCATATCAAACAATCAAACTGAACTCAATTTCTTACAGGCAATGGTCCAGCCGGTCTGTGTCTGTCCGCTTTCCTCTCCGGCGTTTCTCCATTTTATTCGCCGATGACTCCACATCCCGATCCACTTCTGCATCAACGACTTTCAGAGAACGCGGCCGAGTCCCTTCTTGATCAGGTGGAGAAAATTTGAGGAAAATTATTTTTTGAAAAGATTTTTGTAAGCAAAACTAGACTTTTGTTAGTACTGTAGCTAAAGTAAAAAATTTTCTCAAAATCTCAAAAATCTATTGGATATCATTTTCGTGCCCTCCAGCAATCTCCTAACAAAAATTTCGTTGATTATTGATTTGGCAATTGAGGAGAAAATCGACCAGTCCTGTTTATCGTACCACAATTTTCCAAGTTCAATGAATTTTCTCAAAAAATGATTAAACGAAACGATTGTTTTAATGCTTTGTTAGCATTTTTGGGATGCACAAAGCTTAAAAATTTCGGCACAATCAGCATATTGGACAGAAATTCAACGTCATGTTTAGGTCATAAAAAGGGATAGAATTTCACACTCTTGCGAACAAAGTGATAAAGAAAATACACTCAAAACGGGGATCTCAGCGTGTCAGCAATGCTGCTTTCTCACCCAAAATCTCTAAAAATCTCTCAGTCTCTCTAAAAAAAAATTTCCCGGTTTTCCGAGAAATTTGGGCTCTTTTAGAGTTTGTCTAGTTTGTAGGCAACTCTTTTTTTTTTTTTGCCTCTTTTTCCCTTTTTCTCCATTTTTGAAGCCTTTCCCTTCAAATATCATCATTTTTTTTGGGGAAAATATTTTGAAATCCCATGGCAACTTAAACACAAACCACCTTTAGAGAATCTTTGGAATTTTGACTTTTTTGACCATAAAAAAACCTCTGAATCATGAAAAATTCATTGAAAAGCTTTTCGGCTTTCAATTTTTCATTTTTCAACTTTTTCAGCCTATCTTTAAAGCCCCTAGCCTTTTGAGGCTAATAAAATTTGAATGAAAACGAGCAACAATGTGGGTAAAGCGAAATACACACTACAGAAATGATCCTGTGAAGTATGATTTCGGCGAGAGGGGGAAGCGGTCACCTATGTAGCGGGACCATTTTAATGAAAACGAGCAACCGTATATCAACAACATTTCATTCATTTCCTAATCAAAATCATTTCCTATTGAAAGTCTAATGTGTGAGCCAGATTAGAGAAAAAAAAAGAAAAGAGATCAAAATCTGCCATGATCGCTGAGAAACAGCGAGGAAAAGACTTCAAGCCAATACAGGGTAGTGTCGTTGAGAAATCGAAATTCTTTTTGTTCGCTTTTCTCAATCTGGAGTGCACTGCTACTTTTGGGTAGAGTTTTTAGAGAAATGGTTGTGAAAATGGGTTACAGTAGGCGAGGCTTTAACTTTAACATCATAGATCATTGGATCTCTTGAGATTACTGTAGTGATCATTGAAAAATGTGATTTGTGAAGGTACACAATTTTTTGGAATAATTATAGAAAGATGTATGGTTGTTTGGGGCAACGTAGAAAAAAAGGGGGGAAATTGTTGGCCGGTTGACCATAAAAAGGTGCAATCAAAAGAGATTCGGAAGAGAAAAGGGATTATTTGTGTGTCCAATTATGGTCCTTTTACGCAAGAGATTCTCTGCTTTTTCTAGTTAGTTTTTGAGATTCATTTTAAATTACAAAAATCCCACTCAAAATAGAAACACGAAATAGAAAAAGGGAAAGCTTTTTTGAGGTTTCTTTTGGGATTTTGACGATTCGAGGATGAAAATTTGAGCGATAAGGAGGAGAAATTGGTATAATAAACGGTTACAGTAAGACAAGACAGTTGCTACAGTAGCTACAGTACATTACAGTAGCTACGGTACATTACAGTAGCTACAGTACATTCCAGACTACATAGTACTTCTTCTACAGTATAGTATCGTCGACAATTGCTGTACAATGCTGTAGAGCGATAGTGGGACTAGCTTGTACACGAGATTAGATGATAGTCGCACTAGTACAGTAGCTATAGCACTACCGGGCTACTGAAGACAGTGACTAGCTAGAGTACTTGTGCTACAGTACTTTTACTACAGTACTTTTACTACAGTAAATTCATAGAATGATCAATATTGTGATAGTTTCAGGACTTGAGTTGGGCGTATGGATGGGATGAGATGGGATCGTCGACGCTTCGACCAATGACTTCTCTTTATGATACCCTAGTTCGACCAGAGGCCGATCTTGGGTAAAAACTTTTTTAAGCTTTAGACTCAAATGCTCTCTTTTATTGAAGAATTTCTAGTAACAACATACCGCAAATACTGTAAAAGTACCCCCACCCCGATAATGACGGTGCGGAGTGTTGCGTAGTCTAGCTTTGAACGAGTTTTTCTCGACACTGGTTTATGCTACAATGCGCGCTTAGATATCAAAAATAGCCCTGAATTTCAGCTATTTTTTGATACCAAAGACGTATTTTTTGAAAATACGGGCGCTTTAAGAAAAATGAAATACTAAAAAACTTTTGCGACTACGCGACTGTACGAGGGGGTACTATTACAGTATTTACGGTAAATACAAGTGTTTTTCCAGTAGCCAGCTTGGCTCATGTCTTCATTGGGAACAAAACTCATCGAAATGTGTTGATCACATTGTTTTGGGTGAAACGGCAATTGGTGGATCGTGGAATACTTATGATAAAAAGGTTTGTTAAAATAATTTCATATAAAAATAAGTATTCAGGTAATAAAAAGAAAAGCTTCAATAAGTAAAATAAGTAAAATAAGTTTCCTTTTGATCGAAAAAAGAAAACTTTCCTTGTACGCTTATTTGTTCCTTGTACGCGTTCCTTGTTCCTTGTACGCTGTTCCTTGTACGCTGTTCCTTGTACGCTGTTCCTTGTACGCTGTTCCTTGTACGCTGTTCCTTGTACGCTGTTCCTTGTACGCTGTTCCTTGTACGCTGTTCCTTGTACGCTGTTCCTTGTACGCTGTTCCTTGTACGCTGTTCCTTGTACGCTGTTCCTTGTACGCTGTTCCTTGTACGCTGTTCCTTGTACGCTGTTCCTTGTACGCGTTCCTTGTACGCTTCTAAAGCAAAAAAAGTACAAATTTTTCTATTTTGTAAAAAAAAGATAAAATCTTTTTCACAAAATATTTGATTAATGTGTTTTGGAATAAGAAATCTTCTGATATTTTGAAAAAAAGCGAATCTTTTGACGCGACATCGTTTTAATGTGTTGACGCAAAATATCTGATGTGCTTTGGAATGGGCAATCCTAAATCTCTTTCATGTAAAATCTCTTTCACAAAAGATTCAATTGATGTGTTTTGGAATGAGATGTTTTGAGAAAAAAAAAGAGAGGATCTTTTGACGCGAAATCGTTATCGATGAGAACATCATTGATTCTACAAAGAAAGAAATTGTGCGCAAGCTTTAAGCCTGATCTAGGAGCTTTTTAAAGTACTTGAACAATTGTTCTTTTGGCTGCATTTCTAGAAAAATGGTATTAGCACAGTGAATAGACTTAACAAGGTTGAGACTTGGGTGATTGAATTGGCTTAGACTTGAGTGATTGAATTGGCTTAGACTTGTGCAATTAAATGGCTTAGACTTGAGTGATTGAATTGGCTTAGACTTGTGCAATTAAATGGCTTAGACTTGGGTAATTGAATTGGCTTAGACTCGAGTAATTGAATTGGCTCAGACTTGGGTAATTGAACCGATTCAAAAATCCCTTCAATTTTCAGATTGTCTTTCAAATTTTGCAAATTTTGCAAACTCACAAGTTCTAGAATTGCTTTATATAGTTGAAAACCTAAAAATGAATCTCATCATTGACAAAACTAAACTTTTTTCTCAATCCCATTTTCTTCACAATCAATCCAAATTTCGAAAGAGATTCTAGAAAAAGCTAAAAACCAAAGTCGATGAAACGATAAAAAAAAAGTGCTTTTCTGGCAAAATGAGGCTAAAAAGAGCAAAAATGAATGGTAAACTAGTCCATAAAAATGGAGGCATGAACTCTGTGATAACCCCCGATTTTTGGGGACATTGAAACAATGGGGGAAAAGAAAAACAGCTGAGGTTGCAGGAAAAGAAAAGACAAGAAAGAAAATTAAGGGAAAAACTAAAAAATCGTTAGTATTTTCAAATTTCTAGATGATTGCCGTGTCCTTTCACAACTGGTTGGACTTGCCCGGGTTCTCGATTTCCGATTCTCTAAGAGGTGAGAGGAAATGAAAGCAAATGGAATCATTTAGCTCGAGTAAATCTCTCAGTAAGGCTAATATCTCTCAGTTGGCTCAGTTCACTTGATATTACTTTTAAATCGATTTTTGAATTGATCTTTTGAATCGTTTTTTGAATCGATTATCATTAAAGATGCCTTAGCAGTGAGTCTAAAGCTTTTCTCTTGCAGGTAAGCTCTTGATTCCACGAATATCGGCGATGCTCTACACAAGATACATGGAGAAATACGCACAACATCTTGGGCTTAAAAAGAGCATCCGATCACAGACAAAAGTCATCAGTGTCAAGGTAAATTTGTTTATTTTCTAATTAAAAATGAGCACAAATGAAATTATTTGAAAAAAAAAAGCTGACCAAAACCTGTATATTCCCCTTTTTTACCAATTTCTTGCCATTTCTCGAGGTCACAAGTCTCCCATTTACTATCAAATTATCACATTTATCTCTGAAAGCTATTTTTTTTTTTTTTGAACAAATTACCAGGGGTTTACATGAAATTTGTAAAAATTTGATAAAAATACAGCAATTTAATTTTACAGCAATTCAATTTGCTTTTACAAATCGATACGCTAACGAAATGGGGCTCAAACGGCGCTTTAGTTTTCCAATTGAAAATTCTTATTCAATGATGTCACTGAAAGGAATTCAATTATTTTTTTTTAAACCCGGTCTTAGAGACTTAAAAATAGCTGCACTCACACCCACAAACCCAGGTTTAGAGATCGAAACAAAAAAAGAAAATGAGATTGACAAACAACTGTTCTTTCTTCTCATCTGTGATTTCTAGGGAAAAAGTGAACTTGATATTTTTTGTGAACTTGATAAGTTGCAAACTGGAGTGCACAACAACTGACCCCCTTTAAAGAGTGAAGAGCTTTAAAGAATGAAGAGCTTTAAAGAGTGAAAAGCTTTAAAGATTGAACTCAATGAGTCAAATGTCATTTAGAGGAAAAGAAAGAATGGCACGATCTTTAGGAAATTTTTGGGAAATGATGAAAGAGAGCAAATGGAAGGCAGAGTTGAGAAATAGAATTTGGTAAGAAAGTAGAATTTAGAATAGATTAGGAAGCTAAGGTATACGGTATTAATTTACCTGGATCTAAGCGTTTTCTAAAAGAAAGTCACAATCAAGCAGCCAGGATTAACTCAATTTGAGTCTGAGAGATGGCCACAATATCAGGAGTACTATAGCTGTGTAAATCAATCAGGTTTACGGTAGTCTTTCCCTAAAACCAGTTGGAGTATGATAGCTGTACAAGAAATCAAAAATTTTGCTTTATTTTAGAAAGAGGGTTCTTTATGGCGTGTGAAAGCAGTGACAACGAAATGCGGTGTGAAATGGCAGACATTCAGTCTCACGACAAGGAGAGTCGTGATGGCGTGTGGAAAAACGAAACAAAGAACATTGCAGGTGAAATCTTAAAGACTACAGACTTTGCAGATTTCTAATCTAGATCTAGATCTCCTTGTTGATCTAGATTAAACAAAGAACATTGTAGGTGAAATCTTAAACACTACAGACTTTGCAGATTTCTAATCTAGATCTAGATCTCCTTGTTGATCTAGATTCTAATCTAGATTAAACAAAGAACATTGTAGGTGAAATCTTAAGCACTACAGACTATTTACAGATTTTGAATCTTGATCTAGATCTAGATCTAGAGCTTGATCTAGATCTAGAACTAGAGCTAGATCTCTAGATTTGATTAAATTCTGATTTCAGGTTGAAGGTGAGGGTGACGAGAAACACATTGTTTATGACATGAAAACCCTCAGGAAGAAAGTCACCAAACTCTTAGCGCATAAAAGGTGAGTAGAAAAGGCTAATGGTTAAAAGTTATTCATCTTTTAACCTTTATACATTTATCTAGACAAGCTTTGATTTGAATTAATTCTATCAGAGTTCAAGTTCAAGGTTCAAGAGCTAGAACTGTATTCTAAACAAGCGGAAGCGGAAAAAAAACAGAAAATCTTTTGATTGTCAAAGCAAAATCAAACAGATGGGGCAGCCACGCACTACGACGGAAAACATAGCTGCCCCATTTATTGTTTTTCCTTTAAAAATGAAAAGATATTGAATATTCTGCTTTTTTTGCGCAAAGTATAGATTGATTGATATTGATTGATTGATTGAATTGATTATTGATTGATTAAATTGATATTGATTGATTGATTGATTGGTATTGATTGATTGATATTGATTGATTGATTGATTGATTGGTATTGATTGATTGATATTGATTGATTGATTGATTAAATTGATATTGGTATTGATTAAATATTAAATCAATACAAAAGTATTGACTAAATAAAAACCTTTACTTTCAATAGCAACTTTTTTAGTGTTTCCACTTCGGAAAAAATCCCAACAATCGTTGTTGTCGGTGATGGTATTTCTTCAGCAGATATGGTCGGTTTCTGTCTCTCTCAAGGCCTCAAAGTCATCCATATCATCAAGAGAAATGAAAAACAATTGAGATGTAAGTAAATGAATTCAAATTCAAAATGTAAATCATTTCTCTAGCTACGGTAATGTCTCGTCTCTCGGCTGGTCACTATGCCGAGTATCACTCGATTTATCGTTTGATGACTGGAAGGGAAAGTCATCCATTGTATGAGAGAAAGATCAATGCACAAGTCACAAAGCTGGCTGAGGGGAAAGCTTTTGTTTCTGTGAAAGATGGAGTGGAGAATGAGGTGAGGATTGGAACTGAGAACTAATTGAATGGAGATTTGTCTAGTACTTATAATCGATGAAAGAATACCGAAAGGAATTGAATGATTTCTAGATCGGGTACTCCCTTCTCGGCGTTTGTATAGGACGAATTTCTGAGGGAATGGGTTTGTTCGATCGAAAATACACATTCAATGATTATACTTCGGATGAGGATGAGACGCTGATGTGCGTTGGATCGTTTGCCGGTGATCATTTCGTGCGGTGAGTCAAGAGAATTTTAAGGGAAATGTTGACTAGATATTTCTGTTGCTTTATAAGTAAACTATAGTGTGTTTAAGGCTATAGGTACAGTAGTTTAAGACGAGTACGATAGCTTGTTTTCTTAAGCAGCTGGAGTACGGTAGCTGTTTTAAGGCGACAAGAATACGGTGTCGTAAAAGGTGGAGTATGGTAATGTTTTCCTAAAATAGCTGGCAGTTTTTCTTATAGCAACTAGCGTATTGTAGCGTACGGTGTTGCCTTTGAAGACAGTTGGGGTACGGTAGTCTTTTCTTATGGCAACCCGGAGTACGACAGATATCAGTTGGAATACATTAGCCGCATAAAATAGCCAGCTATGCCAGTCAGCTATGCCAGCTAGCTATGCCAGCCAGCTATGCCAGCCAGCCAGTAAGGTAATTTTTCAAAAAAAGACAGAGTACGGTAGCTTTTCGTCTTTCGTTTATCAATAAAAACAATAAAAACAAAGTAAAATCGATTAAATAAAGAATTTTTAGTTACCTCGTTGGCGGGTGTTTGGATGTGGCGCGAACGATTCACAAATCCCTCAAGACTCCGATCTCGATTAAAGACTCCGATCAAATGGATTTAAGTCGTTCTTTTTGTTCGTCTTCTTCAAATTCTTCTGATTCACTTCCATCGTGTTAATTCTATTTATTGTTTTTTTTTTTTCAAATTCGGGTTTTATGAGCGGTTCATTTGTTTTTTTTTTGTTTTTATTTTTTTATTAGCATTTTCCCTTTCCCTATTGTTGTGCTTATGAAACCAAAACGTAAAACGTGTTCATTTTTCGAAGCTTTGGTGCGTAACTGGTTAATTTTAAAGAAAAGACGGAGTACGGTAGTTTATTATAAGTCCCGTTTACGGTAGGATATAAGACGGCCAAGGTAAGGTAGCTTCTAAGACGATCGGAGTACGATAGGAGTTTATAAGGAAACCAAACAGAGTACGGTAGCTATCCAGGATACGATAGCTTATAAGTCAGCCGGAGAACGGTAGCCGGGTAGATAGATTTGCAACTCCATCAAGTTGCTCATATTATTTTTCGCCCCTTTAAATGCATTGTTTCCATTGTTGCAATCTAGCCAATAAGGGTCTTTTCCACAATATAATTTTGTTCGACTTAATTCTCTTTCTTAACAAAAAAAAAACTTCAATTCTAACTTTGTGATCATTGCAATCTTATCTATTCAATAATAATATTGAGATTATTTTTTCTTTTCTTTTTCATACCAAGTTGTTCTGCGTGAGATCTCCTCGATAAAAAAAAGGGCTTGTGTAATAAATGTTTTTTTTTTACTAGTTAACTTCCGAAACGTTCAAAGCATTTACAGAAAATGGCAGTAGAAAAACAAAAATTCAAATCAAGAATCAAATCATACAGTGTGTCCAAAAAAAATCCATTTCAAATCAAATTTTTAAAATATTTCCGATGGCTGGAGGGAGTAGATATGTTGTGAAAATGATTTTTCACAAATTTTGAATCTTTCACACGCTGATGGTGGTACATTTTTCATAATGGTCGGGAAATTTTTGATGTTTTTTGATGATTTGATGAAATGTCCCGTGCCACAATGATACCACCATCAGCCCATCACCATCAGCCCATCACCATCAGCCCATCACCATCAGCCCATCACCATCAGCCCATCACCATCAGCCCATCACCATCAGCCCATCACCATCAGCCCATCACCATCAGCCCATCACCATCAGCCCATCACCACCATTTGAGCTCTCTAGAAAAACATTTGTCTTATGGTGTGGGGAAAATCCCCTCAAGAAATAGTGTGAAATAGGAAACGTTTTACGTTGAAAACAACTGAATATCTTAAATATCTTCTACAATTTATAAGAAATTCTGTTCACTTTAAACGCACACGTTTCCTATTTTGCACTATTTCTTGAGAGGAACACACTCAAACCACCATTTCACCACTACCGCCACCACTATAAGACAACTGTTTTTCTAGAGAGCTTTTTATGTTTTTATTTCTTTTCGTTTTCAAATCAAAGATGTTTTTGTAAACAATTTCCTTTAGAGAGCTGTTTTTTAAAAGTGCATTTTCTGTCCAATTATTTTGTCGTAAAAACCTGACTGGAGTCAAACAAAAAGAATGTTTTACAATTTTCAACATTCAACTTTTCAATTTGTGTTATTGCAATGAAGAAGTGGTCGCCTGAGGATAAAATTATCGCCACTGGACTTATCGATGAGGGAGATTCTCGGTAAAATCCTTTCCCGGTAAAATATAAATACAAAAAAATGTCTAAGTTTTGATGTAAATGTTTTAGAAGATTATAGAAATAAATGGGTATGCATTTACAGATGGTTTGATGAACATTATCGTGTTGATAAGCGAGATGTTAAGAATTTTTATTCTAGCGTTGAAAATGGTCAAGGAACAAAACGAAGACTTGTACGTTAGTCATCTATAATAAAAATTTTTTTTGTTTAAGGGTTCCAGTAGATCAAAAACTCTTGAACAAGAAGAAGCACTTGCGGTTGATTTGGTTTGATTTGTTTCGTGAAGATCGTTCTCTCTCCGTACGCGAAGTACTTTTCTACGCCCTTTTCTCTGTCTATGCTACCGTTTATTGAGGATCCTAGAGGGCCCGACTCTCTTATTCGTTAGTGGATTACTCAAAAACAAAATTCAAATTCAAGATGCTTCTTTGTTCGATTTAATAGGATCATGACGATTGCGCCGTAAGCCAAAAACAAAATTTGCGCATACGAAATTTGCGCCGACGAATTTTACGCCCAAAAGACCAGAAGCAAAAATTGTGCTGCCGAATTTTACGCTGCGAAATTTGAGTTATTTCATTGAGACTTTACCTTGTTTTTTTGATGACGCAGAATCGAATTTAAGTTCAATCACAATGATTACATGTTTTTAAATGCAAACATTGTTGCTTGAGTGCTTAGCACACGGTTGATTGTTGGTGTTTCTTTGTAGAAGATGTAGAAGTAGAAGATGCATTTCGAAAGACCTTTAATGATTATAGTTGCGTTTTAAAAATGAGATTTTAAAATTGTATTAACAAATAAAATCCGTATAAAATAAAACCGTAAGTGAAAAGAGCCAAACAACAAAAAAAAACAATTTTTTTACGGGGTTAAAAGTAGTAACAACGTAAGAAACCTACCGTAAATGCTGTATTAGAATGACACCCGGAGGGGGTATTGAAAAATAGAATGACACCTCACTTACATGAAATAGTTTTTTATGAAACATTATAGCACCCCCGCCCCCCACCAAAAAGAAAGGTGGGGGGGGCGATAATGCAATACTCCCAAAAAAATATATAGAATGACAGATAATGCATCTGCAGAATAGTCCCCCACTAAAAGATTGACAAACTTTTGAACGGCAAATATCAAAGAACAAGTCATGTAATGCAAATTTGACCGTTCTCCTGCCCATGCGAGGCTACCCTTGTGGTGGACCTGCTATTTACCTAGGCTTTTTATAGTACGTCGAAGTTCAGTGGTATCAACCTCGGCAGAATCGTTGCTTGACCGTATTTGCACACATTTTAAAGAATTTCTCGCTTTTTATTTACTCATTTTTGCTGTTTATTAAGAAATAGAACGATTTGAAGCACTTCATGCCAGAAGATTTTCAATAGTTTCAAAATTTTGAAAGCCAATAGTTGAATTCCTTGAAACCTGAGCAGAGCAGCAATACTTTTTATGATCCGTAGTGGCCGAGTGAAAATTCGAGTGATTCGCGTGAAAAATAAAACGACACCTTCTAATAGAATGACACCCTAGGGGGGTATTGAAAAATATGACATGTCATTCTAATACAGCATTTACGGTATATCAAGTTCGAGGAGAAATATAAATAGATAAACCAAAAAGATAGTCAAGAGAAAGTGTTAGACGAATAGGATCAGTGATGGCCAAATGTCGCTCTCTGTGAAATTTTCTTGCCTGTCGATTTTGAGGGAACATCTGAAGAACGGTGAGCAACTTTGTCTGTGCATCATTGTAGCGAACTTTCAAACGCCTTTTGATGATGAAACAGCTGGAAGACCACCAGTTGAGCGGATGATTGTTTTTTCTGATATCCTAAGGTTAAAATTGAGAAAGAAAGTTGATAAATTCTTACCTTCGGGCTTCAGGCATTCTTAACCATCATCGTCTTCGACTAATTCTTTGTCTCGATTAGTGAGAATCTCTGCCATACCTAAATTCAATAGTATTGAGCTTGGGAGTATGAAATGACGGGGTCTTCGGACGAAATTTAAAACAAAACTAAACCATAACTTTTTCTAATAAAAATTGAAGTTTTGCTGATTATACGCCAAAATTTCATTCCAATCTTATGCAGAGTTTTTGAGAAATGAGAGAGGATGTGTCAAAAAGTCGATTTTTGACTACCACCCTTAATGTGACGATGTTTGTAACAAAAATACTTGACTAGCATCCAGTTTAAAACGGTTATTTTATAAGATAATAAATCAAGTTTGATAATAAAAATTTAAGATTGAAAAACGACGGGTCTGCGTCCTGGGAATAGGACCGTAATTATTCTAATAGACGACCATGGTCGTCTATTTTTCAACCAAAATTCGCTCGGCGCAAATTTCGTATGCTTAAATTTCGTTTTTGGCTTGCGGCGCAATCTTCATGGTCCCAAAAAATATTGTTTCTAGTACTGGGTTAGCGCTAGTTTGTTCGGCGCAATGTTCCCTTCTGGTCTTTCGACGCAAATTTCGTATGCTCAATTTTTCGCTTGCTGCGCAATCGTCATGATACCGATTTAATCAAGCAATACCAAAAGTTTTGAAAAAAATACGGTAATGTCTGAATTCTGTCGCCGAAAAAGCGCGCCCTTCCTACCGTACCCATACCTCAATTTCCCCCTTTTCCCCTTTTCGCCATTTTTCTCATTTTTGCGATTTTTGCAGCGTTTATGCATTTTCTTGATTTAAAATCATTTTCTTTAGTGATCCAGCGCTATTTAATAGAAAAATTGGATCTTTCGATGCTAAAAAGCCCTTATTAAACTTTGCAAATTTTTAAAAAGCCCTTATTAAAGTCTAGCTGGAAGCCCTACCCTCGCCATGTTCAGCCCAATTTTTTTCTGCTTTGTCACTAACTCGATCAAATTCTTTTATCTTTCAGGTAAATCAGCAAGCAATGGGACGTATGCACAACCCCGGAAAAGGTATGGCCAAATCGGCCTTGCCATATCGTCGCTCCATTCCAACATGGCTGAAGATGAGCAGCGAAGATGTGGTCGAGCACATCTGCCGACTTGCGAAGAAGGTAGTTTTCATTTTAGTGCTACAGGGTTTGGTGCGTACGAAGGTGGTCTTTTTAAATTACAATCGAAGTGATGTTCCTTGAAGCAGAGGGGATTCTATTTCATTCGAATGCTGCAAAAAGTTTTGTTTTTCGCGAACCACTGTTTAAATCAATAACAGCAAGAAATTGATGTTTACTCAATCAAAGGTGCAAAGTCTTTAAGAGCTTATACCATATTCAACTGGGATCTATACTGTTTATCGAGTCAATAATGTGAAAGGCTCATCACATACTCACTAATTTTATAGCATGCCTAGTTTATAATCATTTTTTTTCTTGCATAATCTTCATAATGGCTTTGTTTAGGGTCTCCGACCATCCCAGATCGGTGTGTTGCTTCGTGATTCGCACGGAGTTGCCCAAGTTCGACGCATTACCGGAAACAAGATTGTCAGAATTCTCAAGGCGAAGGTACACTTTTATTTTTCTTTTGTGAATAAAATAAGTGATGTTGCCGCAGGTTTTGACTGTCGGCTTAGCTAAAAAGTAATTAAAGCACCGTCAACAGATTCTATTTTGTCGAGCAATACTACTTTTTTTACTAGCTCAAAACTTAGAAATAAGCAACGTTTGCAAGGTAGATAACCTTTTGAATTTAAATTTTACAAGCTAACATGTAAACTTTAGGGCATGGCTCCAGAGATCCCCGAAGATCTTTATCATTTGGTGAAAAAGGCCGTCAGCATCCGGAAACATCTCGAGCGATGCCGCAAGGACCGTGATTCGAAATACCGATTGATTCTTGTCGAGAGCCGAATCCACCGTCTTGCTCGTTACTACAAAACTTCCAAAGCGCTTCCCCCATCTTGGAGGTATGAGAGTAGAGGCATTTTATTCATAGCTCATGTTTAGATACGAGAGCAGCACAGCATCCACCCTTATCGGATGAAGAATAAACCTTTATTTCGTAAAACATTTTCTTGTTGATAAAATGTTATTTCTTTGAGACAAATTGTTACACAAGAAAGACTACGTTGATGATTTTGCTGCTTTTAAGGACTATTGATCAACCACAATGGAGGCTTCGACAACGAAACTAGAAATCGCCACGAGTTCGGAGTTGTTTTTTGAAAAGGCAGTGGGCAGTAAATCTTTATTGGTCACTACGTTTTAAGCGGGTATCTATTGAAAATGTTGAGACGTATTTCTTATTCTTTTGGTCGCAGTTTTATTCGCATAGATAAGCATACACTAGTCAAATGAATACAAGATCTTTATTTTTTTCCCTTCCGACCTCGACGAGTTCTTGGAAGTGCTCGAAAAGTAATTGGAATTCGATTCATTATCTCCGACAGCGCTTTTTTCGACATCCCACAAATTGCAGAATCAGCCTTTTTGATCTGTAGATAAAGTTCATCAAATGCTACAGGTTTAAGTTGTAGGCAATGTAGTAGAAGCTCTTCTTGTTCGGGTTCTCTCAACCAACAGATGAAAGCCTCGTGCAATTCATCGATGTTACTTGGGATTTTTCCTTCCACTTCAAATGGATCGTCGTCAGTGTCTCCATTCTCATCTTGTTCCTCTCCAATTTCTGTTTTCTGCTTTGTGTTTTCCGAGGCTTGATCTTTCTTTTTCGTTGCCTTCTTCTCATCAGCCGAAGGAAGGTTTTTGAGAAGATTTTCGTCGACGATTGGATGAGTGTGCTCGTAAATATCGTGTAACATCTTGATTGCACGTTTTCGTCCCATCGGTTTCAGTCCATTCTTGGCCAGCTCAACCTTAAGCTGTTTATCTTCCATTAGATGAAAGTTTGGCTCTGGTGTCACATCATGGGTCTTCAGAACGCGAATATGAGATCCAAATTGAAAGCGCGGCTTTTTTTGCTTCGGAGTGAAAGTGTTGGAATTGCCGTTGTTTGCCGTGCTCGTTGCCGCCATTTCAGCAGTATCATCGACAGGGATGACATGAAACGAATCGAAGAACGAATCATCCATGACCACTAAAAAGAACGAAGATTGCGTAACGAATCAAAAATCAAGGAAAATAGATGTTTGTAGATTTTCCAAACCCATTCCTTCTTTTTTTGACAAGAAATTTAAGAGCGATTTCAAATGCTTAAAACTTGCATTTTAAATAGATTAGACAAAACAAAATTTATTTACATAATTAGCAAACAAACAAATAAAAAGATCCCTAAACTACCATACATAGAATATAAAGCACCAAATTATTTTTTGCCAGCTTTTGCGTTTCGAAGTAGTGCCCGTTTGCCTTGTCCAATGGGTGGCCGTACAACCTAGAATTAAAATGTATCTCTACAAAAATATTATCAACCTTTCCACGCAGCACTTTTAATTCATCCTGAACTTGTCGGTAAACTACATGATCGTCGAAGAATAAACCATGAAACCTAAAAAGTTCACGGTAAAGATCCAAACATTAAAAATGTAAACAACTCACCGCAACATCTTCGTTAGATAGTGAAACATTGGCAAATTTGGGTAATATTCAGGTTTTAGTTGATCCTTCTGTTCAAGAGGTTCGGCTGACATTACACGTATGACCTGTAACAAGAATTAAATGACAAAAACTCAAAAGATCGTACCTTTAGACTCTTCACATCTGTTGGGGTGGTGATTTCACCAAAAATCCTATTCGATAGTCGCTCGATGCGTTTTCCATATGGAGTCGGCTAAATAAAGCTTTTTTTCCATAAGCAAATTCAATCTTTAAAACTCACCAATCCCAATCCCCTGGTTGCATGACTAATCCGGGACGCCATGAGGCGTGTGCCCATTTTTACACAGTTACAACAAGAGCTGCAAATTACGGGTAAACGAAAACACCAAATTTTACAGATACTTGGGAAAAAATAATTAGGGCAGAAAACCCACTCAAAATTTTAAAACATACCGTAATATTTATTTATGTCAAGTTGCTTATTCAAAATTACAGACAGTACAAAGACAATGTCATAGTATTAAACTGAGAATCGAGCAAGAAATTACCCATAAAGTTGAGATACAACGTGAAAAATGATGTAAGTCAGAAAACGAGGTAGTATATCTAAACGAATAGAATAAAATTATTTCTTTCCAAAGAAGCTCGAAATGCTCTTCGTTCCTTTGCTAGCTTCCTTCAGTTGCTTCTGTGCAACCGACACCTTTGGCGTTTTCTAAACAACATTTTAGCATAGTTTACACAATTATAATCTACTGATACCAAATAAAGGGGGTGGGACAAATGCGACCTTTTTCGCGCATCTGGACATTTGGACACCTTTTTTTCGCTTGAAAATGCCTTAGGAAAGGCCCTAGAGCTTCCAAAAATGTATTCATATCAGGGAGTCGTATGCGTAAATTCCGAATTTCGACAAATCAGACCTCGCTGACACGTCAAATTTGGGCTAAAAGGCAAAGTTTTTGCTTTGAACTTTTTTTTTTACATTTTTGGAAGCTCTAGGGCCTTTCCTAAGGCATTTTCAAGCGAAAAAAAAGGTGTCCAAATGTCCAGATGCGCAAAAAAGGTCGCATTTGTCCCACCCCCCTCCCCAAATAAAATTAAACACTAACCTTTGCTGCTGGCTTGATATTTTCCCATTCTTCAGACATGACTTCACTTTTCCGCTTGAACGAATTCTGGTCCAGCACTTCTTCGATTGGTGGATCAGTGATCTCTAATTCCGCCTAAACAAATGTTTTCTCTAGAAAAACGTTCTAATAATACCTTAAGGATTGTAGCTACTTCTGTTGGAAGATTGTCACATAGAACGGCAAAAGTATAGCGATCAAGAACTTCCTCTGTAATAAAATTAAAAATTGTATGATACTAAAAATATCCTTACTGTTTTCGATTATGCTTTTGTGTAGAGAAGTGTTCTCGACCAAGGCTTTCTGTAAACGGTTGAATCGTCCACTCAACCACTGAATGGCTCGTTCTTTATTGAAACGAAACACTTTATCATCACCGATTTCTAAATCATATTTTGTAAATCTGCGTAAGAACTTTAAAACAAACCTTTACTGTCAGCAATTAAATCAACAGTACGGATAAATTGCTCGTTTGTCGCCAAAAGTGAAATCGCTGGCAGTTCGTCGTCGCACAAAATTTCGCCTAGCTCTTCGAATCGTGACTAAAATTTAGATTTTCCTTGAAAATTCCAAATTACTCACGCTTTTCTTGAAAAAGTAAGGTATAGCCAAGAATAGAGGATGCACTGGTGCACATAACCTAGAAATTATCTATATGTTATGTCCGTTTACGAACTAAGGTATCTTTGAAAGACAACCGACTTGGTGCCAAAATAAAAGATATGCAAAATATATGAATTTTATATCGTAAAACAAATTTCAGCTCATTTGGTTCGGTAGAAAATTTTTTATAGGGGTCCAAAGTTCACTTTAAGAATCTACGTAAAATTTGCAACAAAATGAGCCATTACACAACTTTTTTTTGCCTCAGTGTTAAATTTTTTATGGCCATTTTAAGGCATTTTTGGACCCTAACTTTGGACCCCTATAAAAAATTTTTAGTTCGTAAACGGACGTAACATATATAAGCTTAAAATTTTGCTTGAAAAAATTTCAAAGGTGAATACTAACCGAAAAGCGCCGTCCTTTACCACCGATTCACCATAAAAGAAGGAGCGATGCTCTTCTCCAGACAAAATGATCTAAAATTCTTATGAACGGATCAACGCGGTTGATAACTTACCTCTTCACAAAGCGTGGAGCTCATTCGATATACGACTCCCGTATTGAACTTCGGGTGACGAACTTTGTAGAAAAAGCTATTCGCGACAGTTTCAACTAAAGAGTTCATACAAATGAAATACGCAAACTAAGCAAACCTTTTGCTACAAGAAACTTTCGGTCGAAACTTGGCTGGGATGCGGGAATTCCCTTGGTATCTAACTAAATTCAGCACGTAAACTGATGTTGTATTTATCTACCTCAATATCCGCGCAATCCATTGAATCCTCCTCATCTACCTTATTTCGCCGACTCGTTCTTGGAGGAGCCATCTTAACACAACTTCGTACAAACTTCACCTTTACTTTCTTTAGAAGATAGTTTATTCAAATCAAATGCTTTCTTATGGGTAAGTCGATTGTAATCCAAATATTTATTACAGTTCTACACACATGTTGAATAATAATGAAGTTCTACTTGTGGAAAAGGAGGAATGATACATAATAAAACGAAACACTAATAGAAATCGCAAAATCGAAGTGGTATAATTGCATGATTTGCGCACGATATGCAGGTTTGCTATCCTAGGAAGTCCAACTTTGAAAACAAAAGCAGCAAGTAGAGAATAGGCGGGAAGCGAAGAGCTAACGAGACTTTGGATAGAAATACTACTAGCTTGATTAACCAGGAAAGAAATATCACAAAGCAGAAAAATAAAGAAAGCTACACAAAAAGCAAAAACCATTTTAGTAAATGGTGAAGAAACGGGCCACTCCTTGTCGGACTGGAAATATTAATTAAATAAATATGCAAAACAAAAAACGAACCTTAGATAAATGATGGCTGACTGAGGTTTGGCGTCACATCTTTCCTCCAGACATCTGTAAAAGTACTTATAATTTTAAGCTTTAAATTGATAAAACCTTTGAGAGTTGCTGCATCATACTTTGCAGGCCGCCCATGCCGCCCATTTGTTGCAGAACCTAAGAAATTGAATCAACAAGCATGAAAATGAAAGACTCACTCTGGGATCCATCATCTTGGCCATTTGTTGATTAAGTTTGACCATTTGAGATGGGTTAACTTTTGATGGGTTGATGTCACCGCCTTTGCCCTAAATTTGAAGTTTTAATACGGTTTTTAAATAAGGCCAAACCGAAAACAGTCCTTTCATTGAACCCATCTTCTTCACCATATCGGCGAATTTCTTGTATTGACTCAGAAGTTCCTTCACCTAAAAACATCAATATTATGCAGCATTAAGCGGTTGTATTTACTTCAACTTCCATGCTACCAGATCCATTGGCAACTCTAGTCAATCGACGTGGCTCTTTGTTGAATAGATCGGTAGCCTTGTCGTGGTCCAACTCTACAATAATAAGATTTAGAAAATTTAACAATCAACAAACCAAAATCGGACATCGAATCCATGATGGTCATCAGCCGTTTAAGTCGGCGACTGCTTTCTTGTTCGTTTCCTTTAGACATGAAATCCGGTCCAAAGCCAGGAATCATAGACTAAACAAAAGTTGTTTTTCAAAACTATCTGCTACATACCATGATTTGACTGAATGGTCCCATCTTCATTATGTTCTGGAACTGTTCGTACATATCGCGTAGTGTAAATTGACCTAGAAGATAAAATGAATCTAGTCTTTTTGGAAATACCCACCATGCTTGATTCGTTTCACGAGCTCTTCATTGTCTTCAATACCAATGTCCTTTACCATATCCACGAGGCCTTTCAAATCTCCCATACCTAAAATGATCTTTGCAGAAAAAAGAAAGAAGTATAGTTACCGAGCAGCTTTTGAACAAAAGACTGAGGCTTGAACACCTCGAAATCATCAATGTGCTCTCCTGTACCAATGAAGATCACAGGAGACTTAGTAACGGCAACTCTAAAAAGGAAATAATTTTAAAAACCATAAGAGAACGATTTCATTATTCGTATATTTTTGCAAAGGTAAACTTACGCAGACAAGGCACCTCCTCCCTTGGCGTGTGAATCGAGCTTGGTAATAATAACGGATCCGACGTCTACTGTCTCAGAGAAGGCACGTGCCTAATTGAAGAATATATAAGGTTTTTTGCAATATTTCTTACCTGGGCCTCGCAAGCCTGACCGATTGACGCATCCATGGTAAAAACGACATTGTTTGGGCTCTAAGTGTGAAAATTATTTCCTTGAAATCGGTTCAAAAACTTACAACAGCGTTGGAAACTTGAAGCATTTCTTCAAACAAAGAGGCTTCTTGCTTGTGTCGTCCAGAAGTATCAACAATGATGATTTCAAAACCCTCCTAAACAATAAATAATTTTTGTCAAGAAAAAATTGAATTACCTTTTTGAATCTATCAACTCCTTCGGCTGCAATCACCACTGGATCCATCTCACTGTAGCTTCCATAAAACGGAATTCTAAATGCGAATTTATTTGGAAAACAAGTATTTTAAAACCTGGCTTTTGTTGCGTTTTGTTTCAATTGGTCGAAAGCACCGGCACGGAATGTATCGGCACAAATCAGACAAGTTTTCCATCCTTTTCGTTGATAGTGATATGCCATCTAAAAACAAAACTTTAAAAAATGTTGCTTTTAATTCGGATTACCTTCGTACAAGTTGTTGTCTTTCCGGAACCTTGCAGACCAACGAACATGATTACATTCGGCTTTCCTTTTACCGGTTGATAAGGCGTCACACCTGGATCCACAAGTTTCAGCAACTCCTAAATTCATAAAAATAAATTTACCTATTTGAAAACACTATTTACTTGAAAAACCGTCTTCTGAATCAAGCGTCGTTTGTTTACTCCACCAACCATGTCCTCGAAATTGATCGCTTTTCTAAACCGAGATTGCTGCTAGAAACCATAATATCCCCTACTTGACATTATCCTTTAGTTGTTTCACATATCTGATGTTCACATCCGCTTCGATGAGAGCTCGGCAAACCTCTTGGAGCATAGCATCGAGCTCCTCCTGCAAGTTGAAGATTTACTTTTTTCAAAAGCCATAAAGCATACCTCATTGATAACGGTGGCTTGCCCGAGCTTCCCGAGAGCATTTCGAATGCGACGGCCGAGATCTGCTAGAACCATCCTGAAAAAAATTTGAGTAAAACAGGTTAATAAGACAGGACTCAAAAAAGTGTCAAAACGATGATGCAACTGCACTTCAGGAGATAAGAAAGCTTTGTATTGGTCCTTTTTTAGATTTTTGACAGGCTTGGGCACACTGACAGCAAAGAACCAGCATTGAGACATCAGTTCCTAGAGTTAGTCTTCAAAATTTATCAAAATTCTAAAAGCTTATCCTTAGCCCTCTTCCTGAAGTGTTACACCCATCACTAAAGTCAAAAAAGCAATAAATTGACCTGAAAGGTGTTAAAAATGTGAATGAAAATTAGATTTCGTTTCAATTCTCTTATAAAAGGCGCGAGATAAACCTAAACCTTCACGTGTTAAGTAGTGTTTTATAATATCTTTTCTTCAGTAAGTTGGCGCATAAAGGAGGAATGTAATTTGTTGTTATGTGTACTGATTTATGGAATGAAAAGAGACACGAAGAGAAACATTTTGCTTTGGTTTGGGGGTCAAAAGGATCATACGACCCCCTCGCGAGGCCTCGTTCACATAAAAGCTATTGACTAAAAGTGCAGTCTGACATGTGCCTTGGAGTCTAGAAGACACTGTAATTGAAAACAAAAACTGATTCATCTTCCACTTTTGCCACTTCCAGTCACTTTTGGATCCTTTAAAACCAATTTCCTCTAAATTAAATTTTCTTGCGTAACATAATGTTTCTATATTTTGTTTCAATTGTTAACGGTACTTTGTTTCTATTTTCCCCTTTTTAGATGGAAGTGACCGTCAATCGTCCGCTTTCCACCGAAATCGCCGCCGATGACACAGCCGCTCTCAAAGCAACCGTCTCCGAGCTCGCCTTCGACGTTGAGAAAGTGGCCGACCTCTTCGAGAAAGCCATCGTCGCCGAACATGACAGTGATGTGACGCTTCCGCTTTTTGTTGCCGCCTATGAGGAGCTAAACAAGTTGGTTTTTGAGTTTGTTGCACACTAAACATCATGCTATAGGTTCATCGGAATGCTCGGCAAAATCTTCCATTTTGTGCAAGTGGATATTCGATCGAAGACTACACGTTTGCGTGAGTTGAACAAAAAAGAGCCTGAAAAGTACGACTCCGTGGATGCTTTGTTTGCGCACGAGGTATGATTTATTGTATTTTTCAAAAAGTTAATCTTTTATTTAGGTAACGTCGAAGAATTATCAAGGTGCAAAGAGTCTTCTAGCACTGCACCGAGCTTTGCAATTTATCGGTTGGTTTTCATCTAATCCTCAACGGGCATTTTAAAAAAAAACTAAAACACGAAATATAGTATTTTTTATTATGTTTTGGTTTTAGTGGACTTCATGGAGGCTCTCGCCAGTGCAAACAATGATTCGAGCGTTGCGGAAATTTGCCGACTGTCTTATGGTCGGACGCTCGCTAAGTATTTTTTAAAGATAAAGGAATTTTCAACAAATTATTAATTTAGGCATCACGGATGGGCTATTCGACAAGCCGTTTCACTTGCTGCGTACACATTGCCGTCCCGGAAGAATCTGATTCTTTGCGTCGTGGAAGAGCCCCCTTCAGAAGAGTTTGTCAAGAAGGTGATTGCCATTTCTATGCTACCAGTGTTTTACTTGAATATTTTAATTTAAAGAATCTTTAGGCGATCCTGCGAGTCGTGGAAAGCGGAAAATCGGTGTTCGAGCGTGTCAGCATCTACTATGAGAAGCACGGCTTACATCAACTTATTTGAGGTCACTCTGTTTGTAAGTAAATCCGCTTGTCTATTTTTTTCGATGCATATGAATCTATCTTTTTCTGTCTGTATATGAATGAATTTCGATTGCCACTTCACTTTCATCTTGCCAAGCCTTACTTATATTACGAGTCACTCCAAACGAACTTCCTGTCTTCATAATTTAGGATAATTTTCTACGGTGCTGTGAGATAAGGTTATTGTGTATGGTTTATTCGCTGTGATTGATTGTGCACCAAAGGATTCAATAAAATGTAACGTCCAATTCATGTTTTAAGCATCAGTGCTATAGATTTGTTGCTTTCCAGACGTATTGTGTCCTCCCGAGCTTTCGGTCTTGACGGTCGGATGGTGGCTCGAATCATCTTAAGTATCGGATACATAATGTGGGTTAATGCGGCACATACAGATATTGCTAGTCATGAGTCGTCGGAACTCTCTGTTGAAACAAACAGCAATTACCCTGAAATCTTTATATTTCGATTGGATTACCCGTCTTACCCATCGAAGCTGTGCACTAAAATCCAGGCAATTGTGGTGCAAGTGAACTTGAATCCCCTATTGTCGACCAATGGTGGGAAAACGAAAAAGGTGATCAGCTCGAGAATGAAAATGAAACCTTGAAGACTGGCCTAGACTTGGTTTTTTTTGGAATTCGATCCCCTTGACAAACCTGCCAAACAAACACAATTTCTTCGCGCTTCCTTTGTCTCGATCTCGCATCACTGAGCGAAGCGATTAGCTAAAAGTTCAATGATCAATTATTGAGATTATCAGAAATACATGCTGCCCATGAATCCGACACTTTGTGAAGGTGATAAAGTCGAGAATCACGATGATGATGATCGTCGTGATGCTCTTGATAAAGTCGTAATACCTGTAATTGGTGAATTCAAACGACTTGCAACTGTGACCATACCAGGAAATGACCATACACTCGGGATTGCTGGCAAAAGTGTACGTCCAAATCGCATCGTAGTAATAAAAGCGGCAATCAGCTGCGAGAAAGTTGATTTAGAAATCTTTTTTTTTTCATTTACCGATTCGATACGCCCAAATGCTTGGCACAATCGCTGTAAACCAGCAGAACATGTGCATAAGTGTGACATTTTGGTTGGAGAATAAACGGTTGTAAAGAATGGGCACAAAGATCGCGACAACTCGGTTAATTGACACAAACAGATGACTGTAATGGAAGAACTTTGCGTTCTTTTCTCGAACATTTTTCTGCCTCATTACCTAGCGTTGCAAGCATCGTAGAAAATCAGCTGAAAGTGACCGAACCAACTCGAAACTTCTTCCGATTTCCATGTTTGAATGTCACTGAAAAAATGTGGAATTGATAACATGTACCGTAAGCAATATCACGAGCAATTAAAGCAGTACGACACCCTCTTTAAGTTCAATGCTCAAATTACAGTACTCAGTAATCGTTTCAACCTAAAGATACCATAGTCTGACTACAGTATACCTAGTTGTCTAATTCAAAAGACACGCTGAGTATCTTTAAAGGTTAAATTAAAGCTAATGAATTTCTTAATCATACTGTAGCAAGCATACTTACAAAATCAACATTGGACCAAAGTAGAAGCAAAAGCTACAGGCGTGCAAAAGATCGGCGGTCGCCTGGTTTCTCGTGAGACGTCCAAAAGCATTCTTAAAATTCTTATGGTGAACTACTGTAGAAGTTTTATTTATATACAATATAATATTCGATAACCCACCTGCATTGAAGCCAATCTCGAGATCCAGAAAACAACCGCCCCATTCGCGACCACACCGAGTAGGGAACACTAAATGGAATTGATTGATTCATTGCTAAACCTCGAAAGTTATTGGTAGCTTTCTCAAGAGCGCATACGGTTACTGTAGTTTGCTATAGTACAGATGAGGGTTACTGTAGTATACCTGTAGTATAAAGGGAATAATTTGGGTACTGTAGCATGTTTTGGTGGCTTTTACCGGGTTTTGTAAGCTTTGTTTTAAGAAATTTTTCAATCTGACTCAAACTGACCACAACAATGGCGATCCCAGCCACATGATCCGGCTTGATAAGTGACCACATCTCGCAATTTCTCTATGAGAATAAAAGATTACCTAAATTTTCATTTTTTAACAGTAACCAGTTGAGCAGTGCTTTTCTAAAAGGTTTAGAGAAAGTTTAATTTAATCCGATGGGTTCACTCAAGCGAAACTGTTTAAAAACAGACTACTCACAGGACCAATTATTTTAGGATTACATTAGTTACAGTAGGATTACGGTAGACAGGTACAGTAGGATTACGGGTTACGCTAGCTCAAAGACAACTGGAGTTACGGTGGCTCATGGACAACCGGGATTACTGGATTGAAAAGACAATCGGGATTATGCTACTCAAAGACATTCTAGGTCACAGTATACGGTTTGGGTTACGGTAGCCAAAAGACAACGATAGCCAAGGATTACGGTAGTTTTTTTTGCAAAAGAGCATCTTTTAGAAAACACTTTAGTCAAGGGAGAAACAGTCGGTCAAAATAAAGTTGTCATAGCTAAGGGAAGATTGATCTCTATGATTTCCTCCCGAAATCTTTGATCCCATTTGTGTTGAAAATAAAAAAGCGGAAGATCGACAAGTTCTTCTGCGAAAAACTTCAACGTTTCAATCAAGAAAAGAAGAATTTTGATTAATTTGCGCTGAAGTAGTTCTCGAAGATTTCCCTAAGGACCCGAAAAAAAGGTGATCACTTTTCAAGTATGTTTTATCAAAAATAAATTGAAAACGAAAGATCCAGTATCGGTTAGAAAATTCTTGCTGAATCACAAAAAAATAGGGAACTTTATACACTACTGGACAATGAAATATCATATTTGAAAAAAGATCATCACTTTCGCCCGTCTGTAACTCCTTTGTCTTTACCGTATTTCTAAATATTAATATTACCATTGCATAGTCCTTGAAAAGAGCTTTCAGAAAATGTATAACACTAATAGTTTAAACTCAAAGACAAGGGAGTTACAGACGCGCGAAAGTGACGATCGTTTTTCAAATATCATATTTCATTGTCCAGTACTGTAAACTAAAAAAAAGCCACAAAAGAAAAATGAAAAATGAAACTGAAAAGCAAACTAAACTTTAAGCTGGAATCTAAAGATTTAAAAGTTTTAAATAACAAAATGCTCATCAAATTTTACGGGTAATGTAGTTAGTAATGTAAAAATATATTATTTTCCCGGATGTACGATAGTTTTGAGTATACTTTGTATACTCTAGAATTCCCCGGAATCAGTTATCATCAATCAATCAGCTGCCCGCTTCTGAGAATACAACAAAATGCTTCAATTTGCTCTCGTTTAATTGCTGAGTTCTGGTTAGCAATTATTCAACGCAATAAGTTCGATGGATCAAAACTTTCAAACACAAAATCTCTGGCTATAGAAAGACATAGCTATAGAAAGTGAAACATTTAAAAACCTTGACATCAGCTAAACCTTGACATCAGCTATTCACCTTGACATCACGAGTTCAGCTTGTTTTAGCTATGCCAGGTCAATCAAAACAGTAAAATGTGATTCTTAATGTTTTTAAGTGATGTTAGACGCATTGAAAAGCTTTTTGTAACAATTTTTAATACAGAAAAACGGTCAAATGACAGATTCAAGAGATGTCGACTAGCGCTCATTCAAGTGCTTGTTAAATAAGTTGTATAAGTTGAATCGGAAAGTTTTTGGTGGATAAATGTCAAGAATTAAGGCTACTATTCTTTGAAATAAAATTTATTTTCTGATTTTGGTTTCCTAGCCATTTCCTTTCTTTCCTATTAACCTAGACATTTCCTAGCTACTTTTTCAAAACGTTACTGTACAAAAAGTTACAAGGCAAACTGGTGCACAGTTTCAAAAAGGTTTTAAAAGACAAAACTATTAAGGACAGAATTTCCGAAAAATCTGAAAACTTAAACGAAAAGCTTACGAAAGATTAAGAAAAAAGAGAGATTTTTAGTTTTCAGACACTAAATAAATTTGGATATTTTGAAATTAAATACCCAAAATTTCGAATTTCTACCCGAAAGTTTCTCCTTAAATAATCACTTTTCTTCTGCTCAAATAGCTAAATGCAAAAGGTTTTTTTATAGAAATCTCCCCCCACCAAATTTCTCTCTTCATTTCGATACACTCATCAGGGAAAAAGTGAGGATAATTTAATGTGCCTCAACCAAATTCACTTTTATCTAAGCCATTCGGGCAGAAGAACTTTCAATATTTTGCCCATTTTCCTCAAATTTTTTTGAATCTCCAAAGGATCATCATTTTTTTTTGCAATACGTGTAGTTTTTGACTGTTTATCCGCTACTTAGCCACTTCAGTGCACCCAAATAAATTTTGTTTTCCCTTCATTTTTATCCTTTGACTCATAAAACCCTAAAAATCGCTTTTTTTTCTCCACCTTTTCAAGTGGACAAGAGTTGTAGTCAATATCGGAATCTTTGAGACCAATAGGAAGATTATTGAACATAGATTTCCTTGTGATGAGTGAAGCTTGGCCTTGGCTTCTGGACTAACTAGAGTTGAGGATGACATGGCTTCTGTCCTTGGCTTCTGTCCTTGGCTTCTGTCCTTGGCTTCTGTCCTTGGCTTCTGTCCTTGGCTTCTGTCCTTGGCTTCTGTCCTTGGCTTCTGTCCTTGGCTTCTGTCCTTGGCTTCTGGCCTTGACTTCTGGCCTTGGCTTCTGACCTTGGCTTCTGGCCTTGGCTTCTGGCCTTGGCTTCCGGCTTTGGCTTTGGCTTTGGGTTTGGCTTTGACCTTGGCTTTGGCTTTGGGTTTGGCCAGACAGCTGTATCTAGCTTTGAACAATCAATGAACAACAAGATTAATATTATTGATGTATTTGCTTTCTTTTTAGTAAAGCTTCTCTTAAGTCGTTTTCCTTCAATCAAAAGGTAAATTCAGGCCTAGATCTTTCAGGCTTATTGAGCTTTTATCTCTGATTATGACAGTACTTGACGACTGAACTGCTGAAAATCTCATTTTCGCATAACCAAAGATAAAAGAAATCTAACCGTAATCAGGAAAAAAAACACTAGTAACTCTCGTTCGCGACAAGTGTGTTTTGTTGTGTGACAAATTATTTTGTCACGTACAAGAAACCCATGATGCATGGGAGATTTGAATATTGAATGTTCATCACGCCAACAATCTGCTCAAACTATAGCCAAAGAATGGCAATGACGCAATGAAACCCCGTCTATCGGTTTACCCATGACTCACTCAACAGCTATTCTTATCCATTCTTCTTTTTGCGTACAGCTGAATGACTTTTTCTGAATTTCTTGAAATATACGTTGTGTTTTCTGTGGAGAATTGTGCAAATCGGCTATTTTCGTTTTCGTATTTTGATTTCTTAGTAAAAAGAAGAATGGATTGTTTTTCCTGATTCTATAGCACGCATCAATGCGTTTTTTTTAATAAAATAACACATTCAAATCTCACAGTTTGTCTGTGCGCAAATCGGGGGATTTTTTGAATTGAAATTGAGAAAATGAAACTCATCAAAACGAAATAAGGCATCAAAGCACAGGGAAACCGATTTTCTCAAGTCTATTTCGATTTAGGGATCAGGAGGAGTGATGGTGCGGGAGAAAGAAGAAAGGAGAGATCGCGAAGTTGCCTGTCTGGTACGCCTATAAAGCACCACGTAACTTTCTGCCTCGAAGAACTTTGGGAAGTCGAAAGCACTAGTCTAGTCTTGCACAAAGTTACCATTTACTCTTCTTAATCATCTGACAATGAAAGCTACTGTAAACACTAGGCAACAAGAACTAAAGGATGGGTTAGAATTACGGCTACACCATTTCAGCAGATTGCATGCCAAACGCCGCAATCAATTCAAAACCCCTAAATGTTTTATAGAGAATTGAAGCCTGAATTCTTGCCTACATTTCTGTACCAAAAGATCTTTGATTGGATTTATGCAGCCGATTTTTCAGGCTCTCAAATGAGCTCAATCCGATTAGTCGACTTTTAACTGTCATTGTCAAAGCACTCTGGTGGTATCATCATTTTTTATACCATTCAAAATGCTATCTTTTTATGTATAAAACAACCAGAAAATTCTTCTTAGAAAACAGCGAAAAATCGACTAATCGGATTGAGCTCATTTGAGGGTCTGAAAAATCTTTTGGTACAGAAATGTAGGCAATAATCTTTCAAGATCTTTTGGTACAGAAATGTAGGCAAGAATTCAGGCTTCAATTCTCTATATAACATTTAGGGGTTTTGAATTGATTGCGGCGTTTGGTATGCAATCTGCTGAAAAGGTGTAGCCGTAATCATGGCGTACCCACCCTGTATTTTACTAGGGAAACGCACAGATTGATCACCAGAACTGGTGACTGGTGAAACTTTCCGACTCAACTTATACAACTTATTTAAAAAGCGCTTGAATGAGCGCTAGTCGACATCTCTAGAATCTGTCATTTGGCCATTTTTCTGTATTAAAAATTGTTACAAAAAGCTTTCCAATGCGTTTAGCATCACTTAAAAACATTAAGAATCACATTTTACTGTTTTGATTGACCTGGCATAGCTAAAACAAGCTGAACTGGTGATGTCAAGGTGAATAGCTGATGTCAAGGTTTTTAAATGTTTCACTTTCTATAGCTATGTCTTTCTATAGCCAGAGATTTTGTGTTTGAAAGTTTTGATCCATCGAACTTATTGCGTTGAATAATTGCTAACCAGAACTCAGCAATTAAACGAGAGCAAATTGAAGCATTTTGTTGTATTCTCAGAAGCGGGCAGCTGATTGATTAGCCACATACTGCATTTTACTAGAAAAAAAACCTGATTTCGTATATGTAATCAAAAACCACGAAAAGGTTTGTGGAAATTGCTTTAAAATGACCTCAAAGTTGATGATTTTTGAAAGCTTTTCTCGAATTTCTGGCACAGTCATTTTTAGGAAAAATATTAGGTTGATGCATAAGTGTTTTTGTTCCTTTTCGTCTGCCGTTTCAAGCCAACAAATGCACCAATTAAACTACGGTTGATTTCATTAGAAAAACCAATTATTTTTCTGCAAAATAACATTAAAACGGGTTTAAAAATATTTAATGCCTGGATTTTCTTGAGAGTATGAAGTCGGGTAGTCAAAAAGGGCTAACTCGATGATGCGGTTTAGACACCTTAGCTAAAGAAAACATATCTTCGTGTCAATAGATAAAAGATAGAGAAAAAAAACGTTTGATATTTCGCCAAAATTTCAGAGAAATTCATTCAGCCAATTTTTCCGTAGAGTTTTTTATAGATTTTTACGAAAAAGGCGTTTTTCACTCTCGAATTTGCTTGAAAGTGAACCGAAATTCATTTAAAAAAATGCAAATTGAACAAAAAAACACTTTTTTATAGAGCAAACTATAGATTAATTGGTGAATTTGTTACTTTTTAACAGAAGTACGAAAAAAACGAAAAGACTTATGCATCAACCTATTAGTATCTCTTTGAGCCATATTAAAGGTGAGCTCGTAAAATTAAAATTTTAAAATTTTACCCCTCCGGATATTGAAAGACCCCCCCCCCGGATACTCCACAAGTACCCAATATCGAGTTCTTCCATTTTTCCCAGCAGACTTTTGCATGTATCGATTGTTGAGCTAATCTCTTTCTCCGATAGTTTCGAATTTGTCACTGAAGAGTTTTTGCAGAAAGCATCGAAGGTTTCTAAGCATCCACATAGGCGTGTATATCTTTGGGAAATCGTACTAGCTTGGAAGTCAAGCCTATGCGAGCATAACTTTTTCAACTTGAGTCCATTCAAATCTTCAGATTTAAAGGATTTAGAAAAGCCAAGGCGTAGAGTCAATTCTTCAAACGCGATTTTGCCATAACCCAGAAATCAACATTTTTATTTTCAAAAGGTTATAACTTTTTATAGGGTTTATCAATTTTTATGCTTTTGGTATCAAAAGATAGAGAAAAGCCCGTAGAATAAAACTTGCGGCTTACATTTTTGTTTTAGGCTTTTGTTTTCAAAATTTTGCTCCGACAATAAAATATGGCTGAAATTTAACACAGTAATCACTAAAACTCGATTTTTAAAAAATTTGTCAAAGGGATTTCAAAAATTTCTTTTGTTTTCGGATTCAGCACATTTTTCTGCGTCAATCGGCTATTCAAACGTGAAAATCCTATCGAAAACACATATTTTCGCGCGGATTTGCAGAGGTACAGTAGCGGACATCATTTTGGAAACTTTTATTTTTTCTAAAAAAATTTTCTTAGTAAAATCTGATTCGGTATGTTTACTAGCGAAAATATGTAGACCTAAAAAGCACGTAATAATCCATAGACAGAACTGCTGAACTTTTTGAAAACTATTATTTTTAATGCTTCATCTATAAACCCAGAGGACATACACTACTGGACAATGTGGATGCTTAGAAACCTTCGATGCTTTCTGCAAAAATTCTTCAGTGACAAATTCGAAACTATCGGAGAAAGAGATTAGCTCAACAATCGATACATGCAAAAGTCTGCTGGGAAAAATGGAAGAACTCGATATTGGGTACTTGTGGAGTATCCGGGGGGTCTTTCAATATCCGGAGGGGTAAAATTTTAAGATCCGGGGGGTAAAATTTTATATACGTTATACACGACCCCTTTTAAAGATATTCAGCCGCTTAAGTGATTTGGTGGCAAATTCCCTTCAAATGTAAAGATATTCAATTTATTGAGGTGATTACTTGATTACGTGATTCGAGGTGATACTCGATCAAAAACGTAACTTCTACAAAATTTTTTTATGTCATTATTAGAAATGTTGATAATATCCTAGTTGGCGGGTCATTTTTTTTCTTCAAAACCATTTTTTGAGGTAGTTTTATGTGTTGATGGTTTTATATGTTGATGGCAAAGTTCTATTAACAAGAAAAACATTGGCATTTGGTTGGTTTTTGAAAGTTTACCCCGGATCTTAAAATTTTACCCCCCGGATACTCCACAAGTACCCGATATTGGAACACGTTTAGTAAAAGCTCATGTTGGATTGCATCATCGACATCTACCCGAGTTTTTGAAAACTAACAAGTGCTTAGCCAATATGGGTGAATAGCCAATATACCAATATCGGTGCATTCAATTTTTGGGCAAATTTGCGAGAAAATAAAACGTGGAGAAAAACTACAAGTGCTAAAATATGCCGCACAAAAATTAGCTCACAAATAAGCACAAAAACGTTTTATTATCTGACCAGGGACATTTTAATTAATCTTGTTTTCAATGTTGTTCTTTTAATAAACATTAAAATGTTATTTCAAAACGTTTAACATATACCGTTGCAAACTGTGCGCTCATTCCTTTTTTGGATTAATTCCTGTCGAGGCCTGAAAAATTCAAAAGCAAGGCATTTGTTCATAAAAAACAACTTAACCTAAATTCGCAGAGATCGACACATCATCTTGAAAAAAAGAAAAATAGCGAAAATGGTTTGATTGTAGCAAAAAAAAGTTTAATTTTGCTCTTTTTCTCTTTCGGGTTACGGTAATCTATCCGCGTTATTTAAAGGATTTAAAGGATTTAGAAAAGCCAAGGCGTAGAGTCAATTCGCGGATAGCATGCTGAGTCGAATATTTGACGTGATCAGTCGTCAGGGACAGACAACAAAATATTAAACTGTTATTGTTATAAATAGACCTTGTTATCATAAAAATTGAACAAAAATGCAAAAACGACACCAAAATTTAGGGGGTGGCGTATGGTTTTGCACCGGGTGAGTTTTCGTTTTTTGGCTGTTACATTTTCCCTATTCATGCTATGTCGACGATTTTTGAGGTTTAAGGGTTATTTTTGGTCCTGAATCTAACTACGTTTTCTGTTTTTTTTTGTCACTGGCACGGGAGCCGCAGAAAATTGAAATTTAGGGGGTGGCGTATGGTTTTGCACCGAGTAGAGTAATCTATCCGCGTTATAGTGTGCCCAGAAATCACACTTTTATTTTCAAAAGGTTATAACTTTTTATAGGGTTTATCAATTTTTATGCTTTTGGTATCAAAAGATAGAGAAAAGCCCGTAGAATAAAACTTGCGGCTTACATTTTTGTTTTAGGCTTTTGTTTTCAAAATTTTGCTCCGACAATAAAATATGGCTGAAATTTAACACAGTAATCACTAAAACTTGATTTTTAAAAAAATTTGTCAAAGGGATTTCAAAAATTCTTTTGTTTTCGGATTCAGCACACTTTTCTGCGTCAATCGGCTATTCAAACGTAAAAATCCTATCGAAAACACATTTTCGCGCGGATTTGCAGAGGTATATCGAGTACATATTACTACCCGCTGACAGCTACAGTGCACCTGTTTGTACTGTAATTCTACTAGTAATGTAAATGTATATCTAAAAGTACTATAAAAACTATCTGGGAAAATCTTTCAAAGAATTTACGATTATTTACGACTTAGACTGTATTCTGGGTTGTACACTGCATACAAAACTACTTTATTCACCGCTTTTTAAGATTTAAAACCTTTAAAAACCAATGGAAATCTAAAATAGGCCATCTTTCAGAGGCATGCCTGCTCTAGCTTTATTGCAAACTTGATCAGCAGAAAGTTCCCGGAGTGGATTTCAAAAATTCTTTTGTTTTCGGATTCAGCACATTTTTCTGCGTCAATCGGCTATTCAAAAGTAAAAATCCTATAGAAAACGATTTTTTGCCTTATTTCGCGCGGATGTGCTCTGTAGCATTGTGTGTATTTTGCGACACTTTTGAATTCTCTATTTTCACTTTCAATGATTTATTAGAATTAGTTTCATCGACGAAAAGAGTGTGCTGTTGGGTGGGGTGAAATTTTCGGTGATTCCAATTTGTGTTTTTTTATGATTCTAATTTGTGAATGCTTATTGATGGATGTGAATGCTACATGCTGTGTTAAAATCAAATGTGTTCACTCTCAGCTAATCCGTTTTGCTAAAAGGCATCTATTTTCAAACAAAAAAAAAACTGTAAGCCAGTTTTCATTCGATCAGCTCAATTTTTGCAACATTCGATGAGAAATCTGAGAAATCGATGAGAAAAGGCTCAATCAAATGATACAAAAATTAGGGGTAGGCTAATTTCCGAAATCTTTTTTTTTTTTGGCTTACATTTAGCTTATTTAGCGGGCGAAGATTCATTTAATTTCGTTTATTTTTGTATGAATGTTGACAGGGTCACTTGCGCAACTTGCCATAACTTTTTGCATCATTAAACCTTGTGTTTTCCCATCGAATGATATCAAAATTGGGGGTAGGCTAATTTCCGCTATTTTTTTTTGCGCAACTCGCTATAACTTTCTTCTAAGTGGACCAATCTTTATGATTTTGGTGTCATTTTGTTGTACTTATTGAGATCTACAAAATGGAACCAAAAATGATAAAGATTAGTCCACTTAGAAGAAAATTATGGTGAGTTGCGCAAATGACTAAAAAAAATGACAAAAAATTGCGGATATTAGCCTACTCCAAAAATTAGAGTGATCAGAAAAAAACTGATTGTTTACGGTAGTTTTCTGAAATAAATACCTTTTAGAGAAATGAATTAATCAAGAAGATTGCATTCTCAACTCGTGCTGTACACATTTTTCTTGTTGGTATTCGCTTTTGTCGATTGTTCCGATCTTTGTCCAGATTGGCTGGCGGTGAGTTGATTTTGCGTGGAAGCGGCTAGAAAAAGAAAAGAAAGAAAGAGATTTATCCCTCATATGTTTGATTAATCGAGTTCTTACAAATATGACGTCTTCTGATCAAACGTGAGAATTCTTTGTTGAAATAGATCGCGATCACACCGTCCAACGCGTGCACTGAAAAGGCGATAATCTCATGTTTACGAAAACATGTTTACTTTCAAAAATACCGTAATTAATCTCTAGCTTTAGACAATCTATCTAAAATGATATTTGGCCATTTTAACAACAACTTTTTCAGGATTTCGTATAGAATTTACTAAGCTCTATTCTTTTTTTCTCTTTCTCTTTCTCTTTCTCTTTCTCTTTCTCTTTCCCTTTCTCTTTCCCTTTCTCTTTCTCTTTCCCTTTCCCTTTCTCTTTCTCGTAGTTGTAGAAGCTCGGTCTTTCTGTTGTATACTTATTGACAATCAGACTGACAAATGAACAGATCTAGCTCAAAGCTCAATAGTGAAGTACATGTGCTCCAACTAGAAGTACATGTGTTTCAATTACATATGTTCCAATTAGAAGATATTTGCTTCTACTCGGAAAGATCGACATATTTGCTTCATAAGTTTTTCAAATCGGAAAGATCGACAACGTCACTAATTTGTTATATAAAATTCTATGAAAAGCTTATTTTCAGAATTTTTAACGATCAAATCTTGGCTACTTTGTGCCAATTTTTTTCCCGCAACTTGCCATAACTTTCTTCTAAAGATTGATCATCTTAGTGTCATTTTGTAGATCTCAACAAGTGCAACAAAATGACACCAAAAAATCATAAAGATTGGTTCACTTTGAGGAAAGTTATGGTGAGTTTGAAAGTTATGCTGAAAAACAAAAACTTTTGGGCGCAAAGCAGCCACCACCAATCAATCTTCTTTTATTCACCAAGAATCCAGGCAAGCGTGGTGAAGGCGAATTTCGCGGCTCTTGCGTCAACGAGTGAAGAAACGACGAAATAGGTGACCAGCTCGAGGATGAAAATGAACCCTTGTAGACTGGCCTAAAGAAGGAAAAATAGACACTTCAATTCAAAGAAAGAAGGAAAAATAGACACTTCAATAGTGTTGTTTTGAAAATTGATTATTTACAAAAATAATCACCCTAAACAAAGTCAGGGTTGGGCTAGAAGTCAAGATTTGGACAGGTTTTGCTTGGCTGGCCTGGCTTTACTCAGCCCTGATCTCTCTGGATCTCTTTGTTTCTTAGGTACCGTAACCCTTGGGTAAGATCTTCAGCTACCGTAACCCACGTCTGAGAGGACTACGGTAGACTATATGATTACAGCAAGACTACCTTGATCTTATTGTTGAACCGACTCAGTGCCGTTACGGTAGCTAGTCAAGATTTGGACAGGATCCCAGTAGCCCAGAGGATTACTCCTCTGGGCTACTGGGATCTTCAGCTACCGTAAGCCTTGCTTGGCTTTACCTGTAAGCCTGGATTAACCGGGCCTTACGGTAGGATTCACCGTAAGTCCCGGTTAATCCTACCGTAGTCCTCTCGAAGCCCTAGGACCCGTTTGGACACATTCCTGTTATCATTTTAAATACAAATTCTCACCTGTGTGACAAAATTAATTTCATCCCTTTTCCTGGCACGAGATTTTTCATCGCTTAACTGGGCGATTAACTAAAAATCTTTCTTTTTTTACATCTCAATCTATTCAAATTACGTGTGCTCCATGAATTCGACATTTCGTGAAAGTGAACAGATCGAGTATGACAATGATGATGATTGTGGTCATGCTTTTCAGGAAATCGTAGTACCTAAAGATGTTCATTTAGAGAAGAATTTCGAGAACACTTGCCTATCATTTGAAAGGTTTTTTTATCTAATTTAAGGCCTCCTTTTAATAGTTTAAAAAGCAAGAATTTCTTTCCAACCATCCAATCACTCCACACGCAGTTGTATTTGAGAAAGTGTACGTCCAAATTGGTTCATAGTAGTATAAACGGCAATCAGCTGAAAAGGGTATTGCTTTGGAAAGAAAAATTGTATTGGAAAGGGTATTGCTTTCATTTCTTTGATTGATTATTTCAATGTTCATCAATAACTTTTTACTATAAAATACTGTAAAGTTAAAGTAGTTTAGTATAACGATAATTATATTTGATGCCTTAAAAGATATTCAGTTTAAATAATGTCGTAAGATTGAGTCTTATAATGAATCCCCTAGTACGCTTAATAAATACTGTAATAGTACTCCACCCCCATAATGACCTAATCAATACACTATCGATATGACCTTATCGAATCCTTATCAATAATCGTTATTATCGTATCGATATCGATAGCGTATTGATTACCGTAAATACTGTAATTGGACCCCACCCCCATAATGATGGTGCGGAGTGTTGTGTAGTCTAGCTTTGAACGAGTTTTTCTCGACACTGGTTTATGCTATAATGCGTGCGTAGGTATCAAAGAATAGCCCTGAATTTCAGCTATTTTTTGATACCAAACACGCATTTTTTGAAAGTACGGGCGCTTTGAAGAAAATGAAATACTAAAAAACTTTTGCCTACTACGCGACTGTACGAGGGGGGTGGGGTACTACGTATTTAGTAGCGTATTTACGTAGCGTATTTACGCTTAATTATTTGAAAAATTCATACCAATTCGATACGCATAAATACTTGGTACAATTGCCGTAAACCAAGTGAACAAATTGTATAGGGTAACATTTTTTTGCGAGAATAAACTATTGTAATAAACTGGGGTAAAAATCGCGACAACTCGATTGATCGAAACAAAAAAATGACTAAAAAAAGCTTTGATCTTTAAAAGTTTCTTTAAAAATCTTACCTCGCATTACAAGCATCATAAAATATTAGCTGAAAATGACCGAACCAACTCGAGAACTCTTGAGTTTTCCAGTATTTTATGTCACTGAAAAAATGTGGAATTGATAACATGTACTGTAAGCAATATGTAAGCAATATCACGAGCAATTAAAGCAGTACGACACCCTCTTTAAGTTCAATGCTCAAATTACAGTACTCAGTAAACGTTTCAACCTAAAGATACCATAGTCTCACTACAGTATACCTAGTTGTCTAATTCAAAAGACACGCTGAGTATCTTTTAGCTAATATTTTATGATGAGACAAGCATCATAAAATAATGGGTTGTCCAGTTATGAATGCGCATTTTTACTATTTTGTAAATTTCTCAAGATATCGAACAGATGTATTGGGTTGGGGAGAATGAGTCGGCGCCGAAATTTAAAGAAACTTTTTGCACCCATAAAACCTTCTTTAAATACACGTTTTGTTTCATCAAAATGGTCCACTATTTCTTTACAAAATGGCTTTTGAGAGATTCCACAAAGCTTTTCTTTTTTGGGATTTTATGGATTCCCAAACACAGCTAATCAAAATGACAAAAAGTCCGACTCATTGCTTGAACAGTTTCTTCCACATAAACCTCCTTTGGTGTTTATATAAAAAAGATAGAGCACACTCAATTACATAAGTTACCAAATTTTCAGGAAGATCCCTCCAACCGTTTACTCTAGATGACAGTTTATCGATTTTGTGAAAAAATGATCCTTTGTTGAGTTGAGGCTCTGTTTGAGTTCTCTTTTAAATATTATTTTGTAGAGAATTAGTTACCCTTCTACGGATATCAAACGCATATCATTTGACAAAGTCTGCTATAAGTTTTAGAAATTTCTTTGATTTTCGGCGCCGACTCATTCTCCCCAACCCAATATATGAGTGTTATATACCATTCGAAAGCTGAAGATCTCCTCTACATTTTGGAATAAAAAAGTTTTTGAATTCATTCAACTTTTTGGGAAATTGACTGCACAAAGGGAGAGATCGTTTTCAAAAAAAAAAAAAAAACTTTCCAGCTTAGCTATTCCTCAAGTTTTATGGTGTAAAATGACCGCCCAGAAAAGAAAAGAAAAGTAAAGATGCTCTGATATTGTTATATTTTAAAAAAAATTTGTATTGATATATCTATTGGCCAAACATCAAACGGTTAACTCAATTTGAGCGGAGCCAAAACTTGATCCCAAAGGCACCCTTCCATTTTTTGGAAACCCTTCCACCTCTTCTTCTGTGCAGTCAATTTGCCCAAAAGCTGAACAAATTCAAAAACTTTTTATATCAAAATGTAGAGGAGATCTTCAGCTTTCGAATAATACTCATATATATCTTTTTCTTGATTTCGGTATCTTGAGAAATTTAAAAAATAGTAAAAAACGCGCATTCATAACTGGACAACCCAATATTAGCTGTAAATGACCGAAACCAACTCGAGAACTCTTGAGTTTTCCAGTTTTTTATGTCACTAAATTGAAAAATTTTATATTTTAATCATTTAGTACTCTAGTCAATAACAAACTAAAGAAAACAATCAGTACTTTACTGAAGAAGTACTGTATCGAATAAGTATCAAATTAAATAGTTAATGCATTAACTACTGTATTGGAATATCTTCTTTAAAATCTACAGCTACTATTGAATTGAATAAGTACTATAAGACTAGAGTTTAATGAAGTACTGTATTATCTAATAGCTAGTGGAGAATCATGAGATTATCGTACTTTACTAATATTCTTTATTTTAAACTCACAAGATCAACATTGGGCCAAAGTAAAAGAAAAAACTGCAGCCATGAAGCAAATCGGCGGTCGCTTGACTTCTCGATAAACGACCAAAAGCATTCTGCGAATTCTTCATTAATTTGCAAACTCAAATCCCACGAGAGACTTCACATTTTACTTTACTTTACAAAGTCTCATTAAACCTTTGTCCTTGATGTTTTATCAACAGCTAAAGAAGTGCGGTAGAGCTATGAGTCAAGGCAAGTCCTTGTAAGTTTGTAGCCAAGCCAAGCCAGACTCTTACTTATGGACGCCCAAATACTTTTTTAGTGGCCAGGAAAAGCTAGACAGGCCAAGACTGGCTTGGACAGAGATGTTCTGTGTTAAGGTAAGCCTTAAAGTCAGATCAGGAAAGCTAGGCTCAGGAAAACCTCGAAAGCTTGACTTCTGGAAAACCCAGATACTTTTCCTTTCAGTCTAGGACTGGATCTTGGGCTAATTTAAGGAATCGGGAATGCTCCAGCTGGAGGTTAGAGCCAGGCAAGGTTAGACTAGCTTTTGACCAGTCCTAGTTCAGGTACTTTTATAAGACGCTAGCCCAACAGTAAAACTTGGACAGGAGCAAGACTAAGATTGGCTTTAGCATGCTAGATACTTTTTGTTCGACAAGTCAATCCAGCCAAGCCAGACAGCAATAAAGCTAGGCTAGATCAAAAGCCAGGCCCAGTCCTGGTAGCTAGTCACGGGCAGAAGCCAGGCCAGCCAGCACTTGGCCTTGCCCGTGGGAAGCCAGTTTTAAATTCTTATCTGAAACGCTGCACGGTAAACTTGCCTGCATCGACGGCAGCTTCGAGATCCAAAAAACGACCGTCCCATTGGCGACAACTCCAATTGCCGCACACTATAAGTAAAAAAAATATTTAATAGACAAAAATAGGAAAGCTGGCTATAATGTCAAATGCCCTAGCTACCAACTTCTAAGCTATTAAAGCAATTCTTATAAACTTTCAACAATTTCTCACCAGCATGATGGCCAATCCCGCGTACTGATCGGGACCAAATTCAATCATTTTCTAAAATCCGAACGATCACAAAGATTCTGAAAATTCAAGAAACAAGTTAGCAAAACTTTTCCGGAAATCTAAAACTTTAAAAAAGAATTAAAAATCTCTTGGGGATACTTGCGTGCAAGATGACCTTTTCCAGTGATTCAACGAGTTCAGAAAAAATGCCATAGAACGAGTTTCATAAAATACAAAACTGTCCCAGTTTTACTTTTCAAGTTTTTACTTTTCAGATTTTAATTGAAACCATCTCTTGATTTCGTGAAAATGGCACTTGGAATTACTCAACGAGCAAAACACAAAGAAAAGGTTCATGAAAAAGACGCTCAAGTCAGCTCATCATTCTTTTTTTCTAATTTCTAAAATTCTAAAAGAAGACATTTCTAATTGCTCAGGAAAGCTTGTTTCTTTGAACTTGTTTACAGTTAAATATCTTCTTTTTATACAATCTAAAATGCAAAAGAGAAAACCCTATGTAAAGTGACTGGGATCGCTCATTTAAGCCAATCTATATCCAAAACTTTACCGTTTACTATTCAGTAGTACACACTACAGTATTGTGTAAAGTAAATCCAAATACCGTAGCTTAGCTTACATCTCATTTCAAAGTCTATAACACTGCTTTACTGTCCTTCAACACCTAAGCACTCAAGTTGGACGGATCTGTTTCCATATGCCAATCCCATCATTCTATAAAACGTCTCGTTTACAATCAAACATCAAAAAAGCTTTTTAAAATGAAAACATTATTTTCCTAGCTTTATCGATTTGTTTCTCTAGTTTTCTAATTTCTAAAATTCTAAAAGAAGACATTTCTAATTGCTCAGGAAAGCTTGTTTCTTTCAACTTGTTTACAGCTAAATATCGTTTACAGCTATCAGCTAAATATCTTCTTTTTATACAATCTAAAATGCAAAAGCGAAAACCCTATGTAAAGTGGCTGGGATCGCTCATTTAAGCCAATCCGTATCTAAAACTTTCACGAGCCCATTCCGATGCATAACCCATTGTACATCTGAAACAATTCCCCCAATTCCCCCAATTCCCCCAATTCCCACCCTTTCAATTCGGAGTACTGTAACTATACAGGGTGCGGCAGAATTATAGGTGCATGACATAAAGACGGAAAACGAGCCTTCGCTCTTGATTTTGCACTCGAATTTATGTTTTTGTTGTTATTTTATGATTGAATTTGTATTTGTAAATTATAATTTTTTATAACTTTGAGTTTCAGGCTATGGTTCGCGCTTCCCCGCATCGACAATTGATCGTGGAACTTCATCGGAAGGTCGAATCGGCGACCGTGATCGGAAGAAAGTTGGGATTGCATCGAAACGTTGTTAACCGAGCCATTCAACGCTACAACGAGTTGGGATCAATGTCTGATCGGCCGCGAGGAGGTGTTCGTCCATCTGTGGTGACGAAAGGCAACATCAAGAAGGTCAGGGATCGCCTGCGAAAGAAGCCCAATCAGTCCGCTCGAAGAATTGCCAAACATATGGGCGTATCCGATCAATCCGTCGAATTATCAAGGGCAAGCTCAAGTTCAAGCCCTACAAGAAGAACAAATCTGCTCTGCTTTCGGCAGACGCCAAATTGAAGAGAAAAGATCGATGTGAAAGCCTTCGTCTTCGTTTCAACGGAATCGACCACAGGAACATTTTGTTTACCGATGAGAAAATTTTTACGATTGAAGGAATTCTGAACAAGCAGAACGATCGAGTTTGGTCGAAAACTCAACCAAATGTTACCGTCGGTCGCAGCGGCCACCCAGCTTCAGTCATGGTTTTTGGCGGTGTGACGGCTTCCGGCAAGACACCACTGATTTTTGTGCCACAAGGAGTCAAAGTTAATGCGAACAGGTACTTGGATATGCTAAAGAAAAGACTTGTTCCCTGGGCTCAAAATCACTTCCAAAATCGCATCTGGACCTTCCAGCAAGATGGTGCTCCCGCTCACAAAGCCAAGATTGTTCAGGATTTCTGCAGAGCGACTTTTCCCGACTTCATTGCATTCAACGAGTGGCCCCCAAGCTCCCCAGACCTCAATCCATTGGATTTCTCGGTCTGGTCTGTTCTTGAAGCCGAGGCCTGTCAGAAATCTCACAAAAACCTCGAAAGTTTGAAGAAATCTCTCTTGAAAGCCTGGGAGGGTCTGGACGCCGCCTACTTGGTCGCCACGGTCGACGCCTTTCCCAAGCGACTCAAGTCTTGCATCGACGCCAAAGGAGGAAGATTCGAATATGATCAATAAAAGTTGTTAATTTAAGTTCAATAAATATGTTAAAACTGTTTTTGTGGCAAATTTTTCGTTTTTTGGTCATATTCCAATGGAACTTCTCTGCACCTATAATTCTGCCGCACCCTGTAGAATCTCTTGGCTGTTTAAAAAGAGAAAAATTTCAAAAAAAACAATTTCAAGTTACCCGGGAAACAAATTTTGGGGGCATTGACCTAAGATTACGGTGGTTGAAGAGAGTTGATAGCGTTTAGAAAACGAACTCAGGTATCTGAACTTTGTTTCAATGTCACAAAAAAATACAAAAATTTTGGCTGATCTGACAAACTGACAATAGTTTTCAGAAAATGGATGTTTTTAGAAAACGGAATGCATTTTAGTCATCTGGCTCTCAATGCGCCAATCACTAGAAAGTTCAATTTCCATTAGAAAGCGGTAATTTTTGAATAATTTTCGTGAGAACTAAGTTGGAAAGCTGTAATTCCGTCAAGATTTAAATAGTAGTTAGCGATTTTCTTTGCGTCAAACTTTCAGCTTTGTCTATCTCAAAAATCATTTGAAAATCAGAGAAGCGAAAGAAATCTCGAGATTTACCTGGAAATCCTTTTACTGCAGAACAATTCACGGACCAGTAGAGCAGAAAATGATCATGAGGTGTTGTGTTTTTATTTTTAAATCATTTATTCCAGTCACTTTTGATATTCAGTGTGCCCAGAAAAGCGTGAATTTTCAAGGCACTTTTTTCCTATAAAACAGCACGGAAGTCATACTTTTTGATCCGGAGTATGGGCAAAAATTTGACAGAAATGTGTTTATGAGAAGAGATTTTGTACTTCATGAGAATTTGTGTTTAAGAATATTCGATTTTCATTAAGAAATTCGGAAAGATTGATACTTTAAGTCAGAAACAGATTTCCGTAGTCCGTATCGAACCAGTATCGAACTTTGAGCTGAAATCATTCCCTTGTAAGTTAGAAAATCCCTAATCGGACTCCAGAGCTGTCCATAGCTTCTGACCTTCTGACATCAGTCCAGTTAGCTTCTGACCTAGACCTAAACCCCGGAAAATTGGTTCTGGAACATCGCTGGCTTGACCCAAAAGAGTATCACAAGTTAGACCATGACCTGCCCTAGCTTCTGGCTTGACTTACTTGACTTGACTTCTGGCTTGACTTACAGACCTAAGGCTACAAGGCTACAAGTCTACAAGGCTACAAGGCTACAAAACTCTCGACTCTTTCTCTTTAAATTTCGGTTAAACTTGTGTCTATCCTTGTCAGAATTGTCGCTTTTATTTGCATTCAATAAGTGCTTTCTTTTGTGATTTAAAAGAGAACTTTTCGTTTCATATTTGCTTTCGAGGTCTTCTCGCTTTTGTGATTTCTTTTTCCTTTTATGCCACTTTTTTATGTGTTTGCAACTTTTCTTCAAGCTTTGTTATAGAGCTTTATATAAAAAGATTTATAAAGATTTATGCTTATTTTGTTGAATTTAACATCACAAAATAAATGAGACTATTTGTACTTCTTTTTAGTCTTTTCATTATGATCCTTGCACAAGAACAAGTAAGTACTTTTTACTCCTTGAACTCCTAGGCTTCAGACTTTTTACTCCTTGAACTCCTAGGCTTCAGACTTTTTACTCCTTGGGCTCCTAGGCTTCAGACTTTTTACTCCTTGAACTCCTAGGCTTTTTACTTCTGGGAACAAAGAATGAACAAAGAATGGCTTTTTACTCTTGGTTTTACTCCTTTTTTTTACTCCTCTTTACTGTAGCTAGAGTAAGGAAAGGAATTTCGAAATTTGAAATGGAAATGAAGGATTTTCTATAAAAGCAAACTTTCTGACAATAGTTGAAAAAGAGAATTATTCAGGAGGCGATGGTTGGCACTAGTGTTCAAGAGAGTATCGTCAAAGTCGAGGTGAAAGTTTGAAAGTTTGAATCAAAAATATTTGGTACTATTTGCCTTACCGTAATCCCTTTTTACAGTAGCCTGTTAGCTGAGTGAAAAACTTTGTGTCTTTATTTAAAAATCTCGAATATCGAATCATTTAAAAATCTTCAGAAGCCATCGAGCGGTGATTGGTTTTCCCTTCTCCCACCATCGTTCTATTTGATTCCGAAAGCGATTATCGGATAATCTTTATAAAGTTTGAAATGAATCGAATAAATTCAAGTTTATAAAGAAATTTAGAACATGATCATTCTTGTAGACTGGATATAAGCGTCTATTTGCTCAACCTATTCCCAAAATTCTTTCCAAAATCTTTTTTCAACATGCTGGCTGTTTAATAAAAATTATGATTTGATCTGTCCTCGCACTTAGCGCAGATCACAACCCGCTTCCACATTTACTGAGGCAGAAGTGTAGTTGTGAGCCGAATACTCCGTGGCGGGGGGGGCTCGGAGGGGAGCCCATGGGAGTCGAACCCGCTGGCTGTTTATCTCTTCCATTCTTTAGCTTTTTATTATTTACGACAAAAAATGAAATGAATGAACAAACACACGTATTTCAAAATGAAATGAGAATCGGAAAGAGGAACAAAAAAAGAGAAGACAAGGAAAGGAAAACATCTACAAATCTTTGGCCACCGGGGAAAAAAATAAAAAAGAAAATTATAAGAAAAACATTTACATATTAAAAAATATATGGTTTAAGTAAAAAAAATGGAGATGTTTTTGATCTGATATGTTTACTAACATACCTAACATATGATTTACTAACATATCTGTGAAAGGTATGTTAGTAAATCTCATCTCATCTCATCTCATCTCATCCTATTCTTTCAATGACGGTAATGGTTTAAAAGTGTGCTCAGTATGGGGACTTCTCCTCACCGGAGCACTCATCACTCGGACACTAATCGATGCTTTATTAGGGAAATTGTTCTTTTGCAAACGATCCTCAGTGAAATCTGTTGGTTGACTTGTTGATGGGCCGGGTGATTGTGAAGTGGGAGGTGGAGGGGAGGAGACGAAAACTGGCACTGGAGATGCACCACCGGGTAGGCCGTCCAAACAACTCTCATCGATTATCTCCGGATATTGAGAGAACATTTGACCGAAGATGCCGGATCGCTGGAATGGGTTGTACTGTAGCTGGAAAACTGCTTGCAGTTAGATTTTTGAACGAAAAAGCAAAAGAATCGGCGTCGAGTGGAGTCGAACCTGCGACCTTTCTGTTCCATTCGTTTGAAAGAGACGCGCGTTAACCACTCAGCCATGCTCTTTCTAGATGGCGCAGTGCGAGCGCACTTGTCTCTCACACATTTTAAAACTTGGAAAATATCTAACGATCAAATTGTAAAAGATTCAATCTTTAGAATGTTTCCCTATCGTTTTCTACATGAGCATCATGATCTTCATGAAGCCGTGGAGAGACGCGTTCAATGGGAACACGATGAACACGATGAACGAGAGTTCATTATGTTCCCATTCAACGCGTCTCTCCACAAGTCCCGGGTTCGACTCCCGCCCGCGTTGACACTTTTGGTTTTTTAAAAATCTAAAAACATCTTTCACAACTAGATGAAATTCTATGTCAAACTAATTATAAATCATTTGAAACGGTTCACTGGGCGTAGAGGAGTAACCCTAGACAGACAAACAGACAGACAAACAGACAGACAGACAGACAGACAGACAAACAAACAGACAGACAAACAGACAGGCAGACATACAGGCAGACAGACGAACAGACAGACAAGCAGACAGACAAGCAGACAGACGTCTTAGTCCCTTATCTAGTAGCTAGTATGCAAATTTTGCTGCTAATGCTAATTCCTGAATCAGAGTCGAACACTTTTCACTTCAAACCTGCATTTGTGTGGGATGAAAGGGATAATTTGGTCGAAGATGATGATTCTGTGCTCCATTATAATGTAGCCATTGTGGATCAATATTTTGAATGGGATATGTTGGATAGACGATCGGTGGACGAGGGGTTTCTGTGTATGGAGGAGCGGCGATTGGTGGATTCGATGGATTGGCGAGACGGGGGGACGAGGGGGGAACCGTCGACTGGAATCATCGGCACGTTTATAGTTCTTGAAATTGGTCTATCGAAATATCACTCTTTAGTGTTGTTATCCTACTGTATCGGCACACTTGTTTTATACTTAAAAGAACAATACTATGCGACTATTGATGGGTAAACTTTACAGTTTAAAGTAGCAGAAATCTAGAGAAACAGTCTAAGTAAATAGGAACCCTGTAAATTCACTGATCTTCTCCAATCAGTCAAAAGTTTTCATCTTTAACAAAATGTGACCCCCACTATTTCCCTTATCTTTCAACTTACTGCATTGCCGTCCTGTGGACTCATTTGCAGTGCTTCTTGATATGTGGGCGGTGGATCGATTCCCCGCATCTCATTCCCATCCAATCTGCCTCCATTTCCCAGTGCTGCATCCGGAAATCCTCGTCGTGCTGTCAGTACATTTGGCTAAACATTTCAAATGCAATGCAATCCTTAAAAGAAACCTCAAATTTGAATACATCGAGTGTCGTCTCATTCATGGTGTTCCCATTCAACGCGTCTCTCCACGGCTTCATGAAGATGAAGATGCTCATGTAGAAAACGATAGGGAAACACAGTTGATTCTAAAGATTGAATCTTTTGCAATTTGATCGTTAAATAGTCTTAAAGTCTTTCCAAGTCTTAAAATGAATTAGATGGCAAAAGCTCTCTGAATTTGTTTTTAAAAACTCTCCATTTGATCCATTAGCTACCGTAATCCATTAGATCGATTGATCCATTAGCTACTGTAATCGTTAATCGATAGACTTACAATGATCGACATCTCAAAATATCCGACACTATAATGTGCAGCTTGATTGATCACCCAGGGCATTGTATTATAAGCTGTTGACATCATCCACGGTTTTAGAGATTGCGAAAAGAAATAGAGGAGACGACTCGTCGATTCAACTGAAAAATTTGAACATTTCTCCACAAATATAGTTCCTTTTCTCTACAAATTAGAATACTACTGAAGTTACTGAAGGATACTGAAGTTACTAAAGGATACTGAAGTTACTGAAGGATACTGAAGTTTATCTAAAAGCTTATCTAAAGGTCTATCTAAAAGTTATCTTTCTAAATCTTACTCCATGATTGATAGAGAAGCACAGCGGCTAAACAAATGAAAGCAATTTGAAAGCGAGATCGATTGATTGCCGCTCCTCTCGCCAGCCCATCAGCACTCGTATCCGATCGATTTTTCGGGAACACAGAGATGATCAATGTCTGAAATTAAAAGCTAGATCAATCTCTTCTACTCTTTCAACTCACATAAATAAAAACAGGCACAACAAGGATACTGTATGAGATGATTGTATTGGCGACAATTGACGAGAACATTACAATTGATGAAGCCCATGAGGCGACAATTGTCACAGAAATGAGCGAGCATAGAACGAGGATTGCGATAAATGTTGGACTGAAGTGGATTGGAGGATTCAAAAGGACAAATTTCAAGAACAAACCCTCCACTCTCATGCGAATTACTTTCAACCGAGCGATAGATAAACGAGGAATACGTGAGCGCACCCGTACAAAATGAAAGCATTGCTGTTAACACGAGGCATTGATCGATTCCAGAAAGGAATTCACAGCTAGAATTTTTTCATTCATTCATTTCTGTTTCTCTACAAATAGCTAAAGATCTCTGAGTCGGTCTAGAATGGTCTAGAATGGTATGTTCAATTATGTTCAATCTCTGGTATGTTCTAAGATCTACCAGTTCTTATAGACATCTCTATGAGTCACTGTACTCGGCCTAGAATGGTATGTTCAATTATGTTCAATCTCTGGTATGTTCTAAGAGGTATGTTCTATTTACCAGTTCTTATAGACATCTAAAAGTACAATACTAAAGCCTGGTTAGTTTAGATGGTTAGTTTTTCAGTCTTCTAGTTTTTTTAAAGCTTTTACTTACGGATTTGAAGTGACTACGTAAATGAATAGATCAAAGAAACGATTAATTGTGGCACATGTAAGCGGAATTGCCACAGAACGAAGGAAACCAGCGATCTAGAAAATATCGAAATATCGAAATATAAGATAAATAATATAGAAAAAGAAAAAAAAAGATCTAGATCTTGAATCCTCAGCTATATATCTAGATAAGTTAACCTTTTCTAGTCTTTTCTTACAGTTTACAAATCAAATACCAAAGTTTATTAACTAAATTTTATTAACCAAAGTTTATTAACCAAAGTTTATTAACCAAAGTTTATTAACCAAAGTTCATTAGATCTTTTCGATAAAACTCAAACCTGATCATGCCAAATTTTTATGAAAACCCTCCAGAAACAAAGCGTCATGAAAATCTGTAAGTAATGATGAGATTTTAAGTTTTAAAAATCTCTATGATTGATAGAGATATTGATAAATGATATTGATAGAGAGGACAAGGTTAAACTTTGCCCTTTATCCCAAGGATTCACCAGGTCAGCTCAGAGTAACTCGAACCCATTTTGTAGACTCAATACTTTAAACTAGGCTTAGTTAGAGTCGGACTAAGGCTAAGATCATCCACTTTGGCTCCAGCGCCAGATTTAAGCCTGCCTTTTAGCTCTGCCCCTAAACTGTAGGTTATTGTAAGCTAAGATCAGAAGCCAGGCTTGTAACCCAGACTTGGGGAAAATTGATTTTGAAAGACTCTTGTTGATTTTAAATTTGAAACCTCCATAAACATCGCCATCTTCAATCCAAATGATGCTAAAGAATAGTTTATGGAAATCGATTTGAGAAATGCTCTCACTTGCGACGAGTTCCGATCGGAAACCACTCGGCGCATTCATAAGCGCTTGTCGGGGTTGTTGCCAAATCGCTGTCGCATTCTTGTAATAGTTCTCATCCCAATGCACAGCTGATACGTAGTCCATTATCTGGAAAACACTCTAGCTTATTTGCAATCATCAGGGAAACGAAAAGGGAAATAATTGAGTGATTGAATGTTGTCAAAGACTGTCCAAGCTCATTCAGGTTCTCTTTGAAGCGAATGGTTTGTTTACTAGAAGGGCGGTGTTTACTAAATCATTCAGCTTTAAAGTACAACCCTATAAACGGGTTTATTCTTAACGAGTTTACATAAATGCCTCTAGATTTCTTATTGACAGTACACTTTCAAGGTAAACATCAATCTAATTGAATCTAATTGAATTAGATCGAATCGAATGGATTCATTTGCTGAGTCTATCGAATCGAATCCGATTGACAGTAGACTTGACTATCAATATTATCAATATTTTTGAATTAGTCACGCAAAAAAGCTTATAAATTTGCTTTACGCAAAACTACTCAAATCCCCTCATACTTTTCACCATTAGAAAGCCAAAAGTTCAAGCTTTATTTTGATATCAAATACTTCGAAGAGCACGTAAAACGCAGCACTAAAAAACCTAATCAATAGACTATCGATATCCTTATCGATATCCTTATCGAATCCTTATCAATAATCGTTATTATCGTATCGATAGCGTATTGATTACCGTAAATACTGTAATTGGACCCTACCTCCATAATGACGGTGCGGAGTGTTGTGTAGTCTAGCTTTGGACGCGTTTTTCTCGACACTGGTTTATGTTATAATGCGCGCTTATGTATCAAAAAATAGCCCTGAATTTCAGCTATTTTTTGATACCAAAGACGAATTTTTTGAAAGTACGGGTGCTTTGAAAAAAATGAAATACTAAAAAACTTTTGCGACTACGCGACTGTACGGGGGGGGGTGCGGTACTATTACAGTATTTACGGTAGGTTTTTTGTTGTTCTTTGTTCTTCTAATCCTACTGGTATTAGGTACCAAAATGAATCAATTGAATCGAGTTCGATTCGATTCATTTCGATCCAATTTGAAATCATGCCTATTTCAAGGTGTTCCCCGTGCCCCATTGCTTTTGTTTAGTAATTAGTAATTAGTCCTTTGGTTAGGGGATGAGAAGGACTCTCTGGGTGCTACTTGAAGCTAAGAAGACACACGCTAGGGCGCCTGGAGACTGAATATCAAGCAGACATGGCTTGGTCGATCGGGATTGATTCGATCAGGTTTGATCGAACCTGACCGCGTCTTTGACTTGATTTACTCCTGTTTTATCCAAAGCTTGGATCGAAAAATCGAAATTGATCGTTTGATCTAGATTTTGAGTCAGTTTAGAAGTCAGGTTTAAACCCAAAATCTGGCGGATCTAGGTACTTTTTGTGTGCAAGCAAGCAAGGGCAAAGCATCCAAAGTCCAAGTATAGCTTGATTCTGAAAAATGGTTTAGAGCAAGTCTACAATGGTGGCCACTAGGTGAATCAGGAAAGGCTTCTGACGGGCTTACATTCAAGTCAGTCAGTCAGTCAAGCCAACGACAATCAACACACAAAAATAGGGCTGTGTAGCTGAAAACTCTGAAAACACCCATAAAACTTGTATTCCGATTTTTTTACGTAAAAGCCCCTGAAAAAACAAGATTTCTTGTCCCATGACATTCCCCTCTAAATTACTGTTTCAGATATTTTCTTTTGACACAAAATCGAGTCGTTTCGTTGTACACAGCCGACCAATTTCTTTTTTTGAAAATTGACCCTTTTTAGTGGAAAATTGGGAATCACTGCCCGCAAAATTTGTCGGTTTCCCGGGTAACTTGAAATTGTTTTTCTCTTTTCAAACAGCCAAGAGGTTCTATAGTTACAGTACTCCGAATTGAAAGGGTGGGAATTGGGGAATTGGGGAATTGGGGGAATTGTTTCAGATGTACAATGGGTTATGCATCCGAATGGGCTCGTGAAAGTTTTAGATACGGATTGGCTTAAATGAGCGATCCCAGTAGTGACACTATTACATAGGGTTTTCGCTTTTGCATTTTAGATTGTATAAAAAGAAGATATTTAGCTGATAGCTGTAAACGATATTTAGCTGTAAACAAGTTGAAAGAAACAAGCTTTCCTGAGCAATTAGAAATGTCTTCTTTTAGAATTTTAGAAATTAGAAAACTAGAGAAACAAATCGATAAAGCTAGGAAAATAATGTTTTCATTTTAAAAAGCTTTTTTGATGTTTGATTGTAAACGAGACGTTTTATAGAATGATGGGATTAGCATATGGAAACAGATCCGTCCAACTTGAGTGCTTAGGTGTTGAAGGACAGTAAAGCAGTGTTATAGACTCATTGAAATCAGATGTAAGTTAAGCTACGGTATTTGGATTTACTTTACGCAATACTGTAGTGTGTACTACTGAATAGTAAACGGTATGGGTACTTAAAAATGTGCTTAGTGTACGATACTGTATACAAAAATGGTTGGAACAAATCAGGTTTTGGCTTTGTTTCAGATCGATTCAACGCCAAAATCAAGATCTTTTACTTTTTGCTTGACGTTGGCTTATAATAACCTTGGCCTGGGCCTGACTTGTTCTTGCTCTTGGCCCTGATCCTTGGCTTTGATCTAAACTTGGCCTCGATCTTGGTTTGGTCAAGATCTTTGGCCTTAGTCTTGCCTTGCTCTTGGTCCTAGCCTTGACCTTGGCCTTAATCTAGAGCTTGACCCTGATCTTGGTCTTGATCTTGATCTAGAGCTTGGCTAGAAGATTGGGTCCCGGCGCTGGCCCTGAGCCGAAAATCCCTAAGCCCAAGTTCTATAAAACCCAAACTTATATCCAGATATAAAAAAAATCATAGTAATCGATAAAATTACGGCAACAAATGCGTAATCATAGAAAAAAACATGCGTAAAAAAAGCTTCGATGAATTTGATCATTTCCATCAATATGTGTGCTCACAAAAACATAATAAAAAAAGAAAAAAACATCAAAAAACATAAACATAATTTCACCTGTTCATCGCCGGATTACGGTAATTTGAAAAAGAAAAAGGGAAAGCTAATTTTGTTTTCTCAATTTCATTTCTCGAGAGAAAATTGAATTGTTGACAAAAATGGACAGTGAGTAATCGTTTTAAAGAAAAGCTAGTTTTTAAAAAAAAAAACTAAAACTCTTTGATCGTCTCCATTTTGAGGGCAATTCTACGGGTTCTTTTTGCAAAAATATCGGAAACCCTAGAAAATTTGGGCGATGAGAAGCCAAAAATTGACCAAAAAGTAGGAAAACTTGAGTTTTTTTAAAGGATAATCTTTAAAAATAGCTCAAAACAGATAAAAAAGTTAAAGTGAAAGTTCAAAGTGTTTAAGAATTTCAAAAGAAATCGAAAAACCTAAAGTCTGTGAACAGTAAAGCCTTGAAGCAGTAAAGCCTTGAAGCAGTAAAGCCTTGAAGCAGTAAAGCCAAACCAAGCCAAGCCAAGATCAAGTCAGATTTTGTTACTAGTTTTGCCTGGTTTGACCTACACTACTGGACAATGAAATATCATATTTGAAAAACCATCGCCACTTTCGCGCGTCTGTAGCTCCCTTATCTTTGCTGTATTTCTAAATATTAATATTACCATTGTGTAGCCCATGAAAAGAGCTTTCAGAAAATGTATAACACTAGTAGTTTAAACTCAAAGACAAGGGAGTTACAGACGCGCGAAAGTGACGATCGTTTTTCAAATATCATATTTCATTGTCCAGTACTGTATCAGCCAAGATCTCTAAAATCAGAGTAAAAGTACAAAAGTGAGAAAGAAAGCAAAACTTGACTTAGTCTTGGCTTTCTCTGGACTTGCCGCTCTCAACATTTTATGGTCGCTAGCATCAAAGTCGCCAAACTAAGCCCAAGATCTGGTTTTGGAAATTGTCAAGACTGGTAACCAGTAATCGATATTCAATTGAAAGTTCAAAAAGGGGAAGTCAGTCAGTTTTTGGCCCTTCGAGACTTCTGAGAGACTCTGTCGGTTACTTGGGATACGACAAAGAGAAAAAAAGAGAGAGACAATTATATTTTCCCCTCTTTTTCCCCTCAAACCACAAACCCCTCCAATTAACGGACATTTATCAAAACTATCCCCTTTCCTATACTGAAATGATTTTTGCGGAAAAACAAGGAAATTCCTTGGGGATTTCTTTTCAATAAATCGCTTTTTGAATATTGAAAAATTAGAAGACAAACGTTTTATTATAAAATTCTGAGAATTTCGAGAATTTCGGAGTTGAATTGTTTTGTCATCCAAAGCGAAGAAAATTGGGCTTCTCCCAGAAACTGTAGAGACGGCCATGATGTTGAAATTGAATGATTGAAAATGCTAATTTCTTTCTGGGGCACTGAAGGTGGCCTATTTCGTTGATTTTCTCGCCTCCCATTCGGAAAAATGTAAAGTCGAGTGCACCAGAAAGAGCGCGTTGACATCATTTCCGAGCACAAAGTGCACCAATCAATTGGATTTGATTTTGTTTTTAAAAAAATATCTAAATGAAGCCACGAGACTTCTCTGTTTTCTTTGCCCCCTTCGAGACGATAAATCACTTCTTGGATATTGAAAAATTAGAAGACAAACGTTTTATTATAAAGATTTTGAGAATTTCGAGAATTTCGGAGTTGAATTGGTTTGTCATCCAAAGCGAAGAAAATTGGGCTTCTCCCAGAAACTGTAGAGACGACTATGATGCTGAAATTGAATGATTGAAAATTTCGAGCATAAAGTACATCAATCAATGTCTAAACGAAGTTTTCAAATTCAATTGAAAGTTTAGTTTCTAAAAGTTGAAGGCTATTTTCAATAGACAAACGGGCGAATAGCTTGTCCTTCTACTTTGTGCTCAAAAAAAAATCGTGTAAACACACGGCGTTCCGGCGTGCTACGCTATTTAAGCACTTCATTTTTTCAAAGTAAAGTCGACCGCTGATCACAAAATTTGTATGGATAGATTGGATTTGATTTTGTTTTGTTTTGTTTTGTTTTGTTTTTGTTTTTGACATATCTAAATGAACTCACGAGACTTCTCTGTTTTCTTCTTTTCTTCGTT